TTTACTTTAGATTTGTGACTAAAGTAATCGATACAAGTTACAAGTTCATTGCTTGATTTTCTGACAAAAGTTGTTCAAAACTACTCATCTCGGAAGGCTTTAAATCTTATTGCTATGTATGAAAAATTGCATAAACTAAACATCTCTAAAATAATAAATTAATCCTTCAAGTATTTCTTAAGAAAATTAAAAAAAAAATGTCAGAAACTCAAAGTATATATATATGTCATTCATTNTATATATTAAAAGATAGAGACGAAGGGAAATTATTAAAATGCAATATTATTAACAAATATTTTAAAACAGATTTTGTTAAAAAAAATTAGACACACAGCAAATAATTTGATATATATTAGAAAGGAATTTTTTAGATTAATAAACATTGCTTTCAATTATGTAAATAACTATTAAACTAGTCTAAGCATATATCTCTCATGCCGATTGAGTAAAAGTATTCTGTGATCTATCCCATCAAATGCCTTAAACATATAGATTTTTGAACAATAGTTCTAAATCGTCCTGTAAATAGACTAATTTCCTTATTGCTAAATTAATCAGAACATGAAAGTTATCTGGAAAAAAATGCAGCACAGACAATATCTAGAGAAAAAATAAGGGATAAAAAAAAAGCTTAGTAAAAGACATTTCATATGCGCTAATTAATTGTCAACGTATGAGTGTCACAAACGCGTGTTTTAAATCTGACCGAACGACTTTCATATCCAAGTTTTTATTTTCAACTTACAATTGTCAGCTTCTCACTCCGTTAAGTGTTTAATTTAATGTGTATCTTTTATCAAAACATGTATATAGCCATTAAGTCCTTATAGCTTAAAAAAAGAAGAACTAAGGATTATTAAAATCCTATTAAAAATCAACTAACAATTTTTTTAACTACAAGTTCAAAAAATTATTAGCTAAATATAAAAAGAAACACATACAATTTAATTCATTTAAAAAAAGCGTAATTAAAAAAGTTCAAAAAGTTCATTATCGAGTTCAAAAGTTATCTAAATCGTAAAAACAAAGTTTAATTAAACAAATTATAACAATTTGCATCACTTCCTGAATTGAACTTCATAAATACTAGTTTTTATGTGTTGAATTCCATTTTGTCTGCTAAAAATATAGTTTAACTACTTTGTTTTCCTGCACCAATTTTCTCCCAGACTGAATGGGTGAATATCAATTAGAGCAGAGCATTCTTTTCTACAAATGTTCTTACTCCACGTCTTTCTTTGAATAAAACCCAAGATTAAATAGGTTGCCTTAACTTATTTTAACTTAGTCTAATTAAAATTATAAACCAACCACAGCATTCAAAGATAATAATATAATATTAACAAGTTTTACTTTACTACATGAAATATTGCATTTTATTCTTCCTTAGATTTATATTATAATTGCATTTTATTCTTCCCTAGATTTATGTTCTAATAGCATTTTATTCTTCTTTAAATTTATATTCTAATTGCATTTTATTCTTCCTTAGATTTATATTCTAATTGTATTTTATTCTTCCTTAGATTTATATTCTAATTGTATTTCATTCTTCCTTAGATTTATATTCCAATTGCATTTTATTCTTCCTTAGATTTATATTTTAATTGCATTTTGTACTTCCTTAGATTTATATTCTAATTGCATTTTATTCTTCCTTAGATTTAAATTCTAATTGCATTTTAATATTCGTTATGTTTATATTACACTAGCATTTTATTCATCTTCATATCTCTCAATGCATTTTTTTCCTTCTTTATCTTTATATTTCCTATGAAACTTTATTCTTCGTTACATTTAATTTTATTCTCCGTTAAATTTATACCTTTTGTTGGATTTTATTTTTTCATTTATTTTTGATATCTTACTGTACATTATTTTTCCTTATATTTATGCCCTAATTGTATTTTATTAACCCTTATATTTATATTTCTTATTGTATTTTACTTATTCTTCTTTCCATTTATAGTTTTTTTTTACATTTTATTCTTCCTTATATTTATATTTCTTTTCGAATTTTATGATTTTTTTTTCTTAATAAATTTGTATTGTAAGTTAATTATGGGGAAAACTAGTTATTACACTTTACTAATCACGTTATTTTACTTATGTTATAGATTGTAAAATAAATAAATGAAAATAAAATGTATAATAATTAAAATAAATAAATACTAAAATCTGGTTCATTTCAATTTCATTTTGGTTCATTTCAAATAAAAATTTTGATACAATTTTTAATAATTTATTTAAGCAATTAGTAAGTTGTTTCGAATATAATTTTTTATTTTCACAGAAACTGCTTATGTCTTTTGCTTTCAGAAAAGAAAAACTATTCTTTTCTGATAGCAAACTTTAGTTAGTGCGGGCAACTGGAATAGTTAGGTTTTTTTATCACTCAAAATTTTTCCGTAAATTTTTTGAAACTGTCTAAACTATGGCACATAGTATGTTACAGTTGCATGAAGACACATTTGATTTTTAAATATCAATTTTTAAAATAAAAAGGATTGGTGAATAAAAGTAAATTCTTAATTTGCTTTTAAATTGTTACTTTAAACTATTTTAAATTTTTAATTATTTTTTGTAATTAATTTGAAATTTACTATTATTATACATTCAAGTTAGCCTATGCACTATCCAAAATTAAATTGAAAGTTCAAATTTTAACACTACTACTACTACTAATAAAAATACTATACGTATTCAAAATGAGGAATAGTAACCTTTTTTTACAAATTTATAAAAATTGTTCAATTTTATGAAAACTTTCTCTTCTCTCCTCTTTAGTATTTCTCACTAGTATTTCTGTTCTGATATTTTTTCATGATTTTGCATTCAGTTTTTATTTTCTATTTTTAAGCATTGACCCAGCAAAACAATAAATTAAATAGCAATGATAATTTAAAAATTAAGTTCTATGATATTTGTTCTTGCTGTACCCACAACTGAAGCAAATATTTAGAACAAAAGAAAACGTTAATGAGCAGAGTAAAACTACAGAAAATATTGATGTCTGTTTGAAAAATATGTTATAGAAGAAGCTAAATAGAAAGCATTAGCTATGGATAAACATAAGTTTTGACAAAACATTCTGTAGAGACTCAGAATATGTGCTTTAAGATTAATACTTTCATTTAGGTAAATGCTTTTTACAAAGCATCCTTCCAGATTATGCAGTAAAAGAAAAATTCATTTAAATAAAACGCAGATAACGAACAAATGAATGCTTAAAAGTAACAATTTGATAATTACCCTATTGGATAAATTGAAAAAAGTAATAAAAGTTTATTTTTTAAAGCTTTTTTTGTTGCCTAAATTCTTGATTTGCTGTTTAAATTTATTATAACTGCCATCGTTTAAATTAAGAAATAAATGCCAGCAGACAGAAATTACCTCAAACCTTAACTAGTTAAATTTCTTTTTTTAAAAAAAGTGCTAAATGAATCCTTTTCCAATGCCTATTAAAATACTAATAAAATAATTTGAAAAACCACCTAAATATTTAGAAATAATGCGCTACGCATTCAAAACGTATTAAAAAGTAAAGCTTTCAGCTGATTGTGGCTGGGGGTCATGGAGTTTAAAACTCTTCAATTTGATGACCAATGATATAATGGTGTTAATAAGGTCGCACTGGCCGTCTTAACTTTTCAGATAAGGTGGACTGATCTGAAACTAATAAAGCTTAAAGCTACCACTGAGGAGGGAACACAGGTGCTTTATAATGACAGCTGAGTGAGACACGGTGGCTCAGGAGATAGAGCACTCGCCTCTCAAAGGGATGACACAGGTTCGAATCCCAACAATGGCTGGTCAATACGAATTCTGCACCTAGCTCGCACCGACCACAGTGCTAACATAAAATATCTTCAGTGGTTGACGGATCATAGGTTAGAATCCACTCCTCGTTGAGCTAACCGTGAGTGGTTTTCGTGGTTTTCCTCTCCATGTAACTCAAATGCGAGTTAGTTCCATCAGAAAGTCTTCCGCGAAAGCAAGTTTTCACCAATATTTCATCCAGGAGATTCCTTCGCTTCTGGAATGGGTTTCAAAATTAGAAGGCTACGGAGATGAACATTGGTAGTCGTGAAGTCAAAATTGGGTCGGCTGTTCAACGGTTATAAAATAAAATAAAATAACAGCTGAGTTCCTTAACAGCTGTACTGCTAGCAATGTTTTAACTTATAGTTTCTCGCAATAAATATAATTATTTCTCCTACAATGGAATAAACTGAAACTGATTTCTTAATTTTTTTTGGCAATGTATTGCCCGCTGAAAATAGAATATAGAAGAAAAAAATTATATGTGAAAAAACAGATTTCTATACATAAAAATGTTCAGAAATTATATTATCTGACATGTCTGGGGCATGCGAATATTCATATTGAGCATGCATTTTTTTTTCTTACATGCCCGGTTGGGCATATAATTATGTAATCTTAAATGCTCTAAAGCACCGATTATCAATAGATACATCCAAATACTTTGGTTAAATAAGCATAAGAAAAAGATGTTTGGGCTTGCAGAAGTTTTATTCAGGCATGCATTTTGTTGACTAATGTGCCCGCAGTTAAAAATTTTAAGTTTTTTTGAACCCTGATGCATAACTACGTATAAAACGTTTTGGCCGAACTGGGCGTTCCAAGACCCCAGAGGGGAAAAAAAAAACCTGAATACCATAATTTTGACTGGACATGAATGGAACCGAAATGGTTAAATAGAGAACCCACAGAGGTTTAGTCCCATTTCATTAATATACCAAATTGAATAAACAAAAATCAACTCTTTTTAGAAAAGATAATGTTTTTTAAGCCACTGATAGTTAAAAATGCGAGCATGATTATTATCTAACTTTATAATGCAACAGACTGTACTTTGTCAGTCTGTTATAAACAAAGGAGCTCTCCATGTGACTATTATTTTCTCCCCCATAAAGCTTTTTTTTTCCATCAGGAATTTTGGTAACATAATACTAATGAGCACAATCATAATGAATTACCTTTAAGTATTTTTTTGAAAGACTTGGCGAGTTCTTTGGACAGGTCGTATATATAAAGCAGGACGTCAAAGCTCGTTTCCGCCGCCAAGTCCGGACGATCCAGTTCTCCAGCGTTGTCCATGATGATTCTGATTCTAGCAAATCATTACCGGCGTCAAAACTCCTGATTTTCGCCACGGGACGACGCCCTCTTGTGGAGAGGTATCATCCTTCTTCCCATCCGAAAACAAGAAGCGACGATGTGAACGAGGATGGGAAAAAAATAGAGAGGTGTTCTTTTAAAAAACAGAAAAATAGGTATTTTTGGAAATTGTTGGGGGAGGAAGACGGAGAATAGAATGTAAACATTCAGTTGCTCTTCTTATTATAATGGAGCCACGACAAACTTTGTCGAAAAGGGGCTTATAGTTCTTTCACTCTAAAACTGCGATATTTTCTATCATGACTCACAAATCGTATGTATCATTCATCGGCAGGTTACACTGCTTACGCTATATTACGAAGGACGCAACTCAAAGTAAATATGTGAAGTTATAACTTTTGTGGCGTCCCATCCAAATATAGTGGAGCAAAAACCTCGCCGCAACAAATTGCTAGAGCAATTTTTTTGAGCTTATGTTTTGACCGATTATCATAACAGACATTTATTTTATTATGTAATGAGAGCAAAAATTCAGCTGATAAAATACTGAGATCAGCCGATAGCGTTGAGATGGATGAGTATACAAAAGAATCTCATTTCTTTTTTTTTGTCGAACTAATTGGGAACTACCGAAATTCCAGTTTAAAAGAGATGAAGTGGTCGTGGGGGAAAATGCAATGGAATTTTTATCTCCTACCTTGCACAGTAAAATCTTAAAAATGCTCCATCGTGTTTCCAATATCTTTTCAAATCGAATGATCTTTTCTCACGATTTATCACAATTTGAATTCACGTGATTTTGATACTACGCCTAATTGTGTTGTCTTCCAATCGTGCCTTCGCGTAAACATATTTTATTTTATAACGGTCGTTGAACAGCCGACCCAATTTTGGGTTTACGACTACCAATGTTCAACTCCGGAGCCTTGTAATTTTGAACCCAATCCAGAAAACAAGGGAACTCCTAGATCAAGTATCGGAACAGTAAGGGGACTTTCTTTCCTTTTTTTTTCTTCCTTCCAGACACGGTAAGGGAACTGTAACCCTTGGTCCGTCTACCACTGAGGATATTATACGTCAGTACTGTGGTCTGAGCAAGCCGGGTGCGGAATTCGAATCGGCAAGCCAAGACTGGGATTCGAACCTGGGTGGAATCCCAGCGATTAAAAGGCAAGCGCTCTATTCCCTAAAATCCCACCAAACGTATTGGTGATTTTCCAATCAAAGAATTTAGGCATTTTCCCCCTCCCCTAAGCATATTTATCGTTACACTCACTATATCGTTACACGAATTCAGGCAAATCGTAGTTGTCAACTCTTATTGAACCACAAAGCAAACATGTTTTTTACAGCTTTATTTATAAACACTGTGTTTCGAGATTCGAGTGATGTACCCCTCATTTAGGTAAAAAAAAAAAATAGTATTACGTTTCAATACACGATTGCATTATCAAGTTTTCAGAGTTTTATTTGCAGTTTTAAATTCTAACACACTTTTACTAATAAGTTTCTAACAAAACTCAGAAATTCGCATTGCAGACTAACCGAGCATTTTGCATTTGAGCCAACTTAGTGCAAAAATTTCTACTCTGTAAACAACTTTAACATTGAATAAAAAGGAAGAAAACTGCAAGAAAAACATAAGCCTGTAATTTTTTTTTCCAATATAAACAACAGGTGAAAGACAGTCATTAAGCGTCGCAAATATTTACTTGGTAAAATAATTTCGTTTCCGCGATAAAACGCTTTATTTAAGATCTAATAAGCCGTAACGCAATATATTTGGTGCATTGTGGGCTGATATCACTTAAGTAATTTTGAAACTTTCCTAACGTGTTAAGAAAGTACAAAACACCACGTATAAAGTTTAATAATGGTTTTTGCCAATTAAATGAATGGGAAAGGTAAGAAATACCTATTTCCGCTTATCTACGATTTCGTCCATTTCTACTTATTTTGCCTGCATGGATACAAGCAACATTATGACTTATCACATTATTTCAATTTACAGTGTTCTTTTTCTTTAAATCTTAATTTTTTTATACCTATATAAAAACGAAAAAAAAGAGGTATCAATGCTAAATTTGCAACAAAGTTTTAGTGTAATAAACATTTATTACAGAATAATCAGTGAGAAATTAAAAGAAATCTATGTCTGACTCAGGGATGAGATTAGCCAAAAGGTAAAAAAGCTGAATTTCCACGATAGTAAATTTTACGCAAGCGCAACCCTTTAATAATAAATTCCGGACAGTTTAAGGTAATAAATAATGTGCTGACATACAATTGTGTACTAATCTATTATTATATAAATGATTACATTGATACTTAACATTTAGTGAAAATAAAAATTACCAATTGAAAAAATAAAGCTGGAAATTATATTTTTCCTCAGTTCACATAAGAGACAATTATTACTTGAAAAACTACCTGGTTTAGCAAATTAAAACTACTGAGAATATACATTAATATTTCATTTCTTTTAATAAATACTGTTATGTGATTTATAGCAAATATATCAGTAATATTACTTTTTAAATTATATTGGAAAAAAAAACTTTAACAATGGACCGAATCATTATGTTCATATTATAGTCTAATCTAACTAGAGCCCTCTGAAACATATCAATAACAGTGAAGTAGAAATATATAGTAACTCCTTAACATACAAAAATTGCTATTTTAGTTTGAAAAATTACATGACAATCAGCAACTGTTTAGATAATTGTTTTTTATTTGATAAGAATTTTGCATTTTATAGCATAAATAACAGCAATTATAAATAAAATTTTGATGATGAGTTAATTAACTCTTTTTCCCCCCAAATTTTTTTTTAATTAAATCCCTTTTTAAGTGATTGCTTTTGTTTGCTATATCTTTTATGTTTGCTATATTTAGTCGTTAGTCCATCTTCAAACATCTTGTGACAAATCCTATTTTTTCTTCTTTGCAAGCACAGAATGTAAGTTTTGAATATATTCCCTTCCAGTTTCTCTGATGTTGTAACACTTACATATACTAATAATCGTCGTTAGAAAAACAGTCACCTTTATAGTAACTAATTTAAAAAAAATTTACTTCTTACAAGAATCGCGATAGTTGATCTTAAAATTGCGTGAATATGAATAACAATTATGGATTTTGAAATCACATGAATATGAAACTAGATATACGATTTTGAAAATGAGAAAATACAAACTGGGATATAGAATTTTTAAAACGCGTAAATACAAATCACGATTCATAATTTTTAGATCGCGTAAATACGAATCATGATGCGTAATTTTTAGATTGCATAAATAAGAATTATGATGCATAATTTTTAGAATGCGTGAATGCGAATCCCAATGCCTTATTTTAAAATCACGTATAAATACGAAAATCAATGTTTGATATTATAAACCGCATGAGCAAATCAAGACATTGAATTTTAAACTTACGTGAGTATGAATCACTACATAGGTTTTTAAAAAGGCGTAAATACGAATCACAATATCGGATTTTTAAATCTCGTAACTAAGAATAGCAACATACAATATTCAAATCGCGTGAATAAGAATCGCAAAATGCAAATATGAAAAGCTATGTTTGATATTAAAATCGTGTGAATTGAGAATCGAGATATTAGCAGATTCCAGGCTTGGGACCTTTAAAAGGCTTGTCAGAAACAGCGTCGTTTGAACTCCGAAAATCGAATCTATCTGGAGGGCGGGTCAAAAATTCGGAAAATCTTATCTGCTGCGTGTAAAAGGGGAGAAAATAGCTAAAATAAGTAAAAATGAGAAAGAATTGGTAGCTATGTAGTTTGAATTTTCTGTTTCTCTTTTAAAATCGGTGAATTTTCTAAAAAAGGGGAATACTTATAAAAAAAATGAAATTTTTAGAAAATCTGAATTTTTGATAAAAAAGCTGAAATTCAAGAGATAAAAGTGAAAAAAGCGGAAATCCGCTAAAAAGCGGAAAAATCTCATCCCTGCTGACTGAATATTACATTTAATGACCAAACACACATTTCATAGAATGGTCAAAGCAATGAAATCAAGCAGTGTTTCTCATGCAAAAATAAAAGAAGGAAAAATCACTGATCTGAATTAAGGTTCAAAATGTTACACTAAAAATATTTTATTGGTATTCCTTTGAGAATTTTAGAACAGGATATAGAAGGGAATATATATATATATATATATATATATATATATCGAAATTATGAGAATAAGGTAATCAACTTATTATATACTTTAATACGTAAGAAGTAACTAGGTATAAAGAAGTTGTAATAACATTTTCTTTAAGCGTCAAAAATGTGATGATAATGAACCAGCAAAATTAAAGGTATATGTGTGATTTTAAATTTTAATTAGTTGAAGAATCACAATTTTTTTAGAACTAATATATATATATTTTCTTTTTTGTTTGAATTTAAGCAATCAATTCTCACTAGTAATAAAATGCTTAATGGAACAAAAAACTTAATTTTTAGTTCCATTCTTGAAAAATTTCACATAATTATAAAACCAAAGATAAATTCAATTAAATTTTTTTAAATAATTATTTTAGATTAAATTAGTTCCTCATTTTGTTGCTCATCCAAGCATGTCATGCTTTTATGTTCCCTTCAAAAAAGTACAAGAACATGCAATACAGTGAGAGGCTACTTAACTTATAATTAATTTATCATTAATTATAGGGCCAGAATAGCCTGGCTGGTAGAGCGCTGGATCCATGTTCGAGAGATCACGAGTACGATCCCTGCAGAGCAAGGACTCCCCCTGCACAAAATGGCGACAGATGCACGCAAAATCTTTCAGGGTCACAAAGTCCCCCAAGTTCCAATAACAAATCAATACCTCTGGGTGTACTGGATTAGAGTTTGATCGTGCTCTGGTTCAGGTCAAAATTTTTATCTGTGGATGATGGTGTGCGGATATGTCCTCCCTGTAAAACGGTATGAGATGTATATATGTTATTTCCACATCATCCTCAGGAATGTTTCCCAGACCGTCGCCAATAGCCCAATATACAGCTCTAGTGTGACGTAAATAAAAGTACTGTACCGTAATTTATAATTGATAAACCAATTTTTCAATCATAAGATTCAAAACTATTTACATCGTGTCATTTCCGTTTTACATAAAATTAATTTTAAGATTAATCAAATTAAATTTAAATTAAATTAAATTTAAAGATTAAATTTTCTTCTTATTTAGAACAAACACTGCTGAGTCACTCACTTTTCATTTATGAAATCATTACTTTTGGAAAAATTTAAATCTCAGGACAAACTTGTTTTGATTTAATACAATTATTATTGGAATAAATATGATTCAATTCTTTTAATGCCTTCAGCCATTATAAAGTCCATCATACTACATTCGTAAACATTTTAAAAATTATTCAAATAATTTATGAATGCAAAATAGTGATAAATAAAATTTTAGTGCGGCTAGTATCTTAATTGAAATTTTATGCCTTGGTTTAACATGATGTAAACACATTTCAAAAATTATAATTTAATATTTATACCAACATATTTTTTTAAAAAATTTTACTCTTATAATCATAATAATACACAAAAATTTCTAGTCTTTTTTCGGTAAATACTATTTCTAAAAACATAATTTTTTTGTAGAGAAGTATAATATGAGACATTATATAATCTATAAGCAATAGTATTGTTATTTTATTTATCTATTTATTTTTTACTATTTCGAAGAAACAAAAATCATTAAAAAAAATTAGTACCAATATCATCATTTAATATCTTTTTTAAAGTCTATTTAATATCTTTTGAGTTTTTCTGTTCATTGTTGTGTAGGAAAATTTACATAAAAAACAATTTTAATTAGATAATTGATTATTTTATTCAAATCTGCATTTATCTTATTAATTACAAAATAAGCATAACTGATAAGAAAAACATAAGTAATAAAATATACACACTAAAAAAATATTAAGTTCCTTATTTATGAGCCTTATTATAAAATTTTGAGGCCATAATCTAAAAAGATTCGAACCTCAAATCCCTCTACAATGAAACAAACATTGTTTTAACAGCTAAAAACTTAAAATATTCCAGAAATTTCCAGATGCACACAAATCGAAAAATATATTTTGTCAAATGTATTTTAGGAATATACATTATGGAATGTCTGCATTAAATTTAGAAAGGAAAAGATTTATAAGTAAAATGCTTCGCATATTATTTTTGGTTTAAAATCAATTATTAAGCATGTATTTTTTTTTCCTGTGTAGAGGAATTATTTTAATGAATGTGTGTTTATAGCAAACTTACATATTACCATAACTAAGCATCCTTTTTGAAAAATACTAAAAAATTGTATTTCTTTAACAATCGCATATCAACCAATAGTTGAAAATGTTTTTACGAAGCCATTCTGCACATTATGATATGAATGGAAACTAAATAAATATTTTAGTTGAAGTGCAGGACAGAGAGTATAGAGCTCAGAGGAAACATTTCAATAAATAAGGGGGGGGGCGTGGGCTTGAAGAATAAACTACGATCAATTTGTGAAAACAGTTATGTGAGAAATGTGATGTGAGAAAACAGTTATTGATTTCGTTATTCAGTAATTGATAATCAATAATTTATTAGAAAACTTATACTTTCTTTAACAAGCTAAATATTTTATGTTTCATTTCTTCCATAGATATAGTGGCCAGGATAGCGTGGTTATGAGGGCCCTGGACTCACGTTCTTGAGATTGGGCGTTCAAATTCAGTCAGCCGAAGACTCCCCGTGTAGTAAACAGTGACTGGTGCACGTTAAATCTGTCAGGTCACAAAGTCCCCCACGCTCCCATAACAAATTATACATCTGGGGGTACTGGATTGGAGATTGATCATTCTCTGGTTCAGGTCAAAATTATGATCTGTTGGTGAATGAATGGGTCGGTCTTTTAAAACGGGCTGTGACGTATGGGTGTGGCAGAAGTCGAATTCTTGGCCATAGATGGAGCCACTGGAAAAGAACAACAATTGCACCCCCAGTACCTTAATGGCCTATTACAACAATTGATATAGAAAATGTCCTACTCTAGAACATTGAATATAGAAAATGTCCTATTCTAGAACATTGAATTTGTTGTTATAAATAATTGAAATGTTTTTTTTTAATCCATCTTTAAAATACATAAGGAGAAACAAGTAATTTTGTTTTATAATTTGTAAATATTAAGTTTGAGCATCAGTTCCCTTTGAAATATTTTTCTTCCACTTCTTGAGGCCACACACATTTACGAAATTGGTTCAGACAAATTCCCTTTTTCATTCTAAATTATTTGCTGTGAAGGGTTATTTTTCTCTTATCTATTATATTAGATACATGGATGTCTCAGAAAATAAAAATTGGGAGGTTTTTTCAATGCACAGCATCCTTATTGGGTAGAAAATGCAGCAACATTTTCTTTGAGTACAACTGTTTGAAAACATTAAGAAAATAATTTATTTTTAAACTTTCTACATACAGAACCGCTCTTGGAGGAACTGGATCAGAGTTTGATCATGCTCTGGTCTGGTGACGTGTGTATGTTGTCTCCGAATCATCCTGAGGGATGTTTCCCAGACTGTCGCCAATAGCCCATTATGCAGCTCTAGTGTGACGTATATAAAAGTGCCGTAATTTATAATGGATTAACCAATTTTTTAATCATAAGATTCAAAAGTATTTTCATCAGGTCTTTCAGTTTTATATAATTCAATAGGGTTGAAGAATTCAATAATTTTAGAATTAATTTAGATCTCATTTATTATTATTAATTAAAAACTATTATTAATAATATGTTATTAATGATAACAATATATTATTAATAATAATAATTAATTATTGATCATGTATAATAAAACATACAGCGAATGAGAAATAAAATATCAGTATATTACAAACTTACTATGATGTATGCTTCAAAACCTAGAAAATGAACCACCAAAACCACAACTTTCAAAATGGTCTTTAACTACATATCATAAGCATTTCTTTTAGTATTTAATAATACTTTAAGACAAATATTAAATAGATCATACAAAAGACTTTGTGCCAAATATTTTGTAAATAAGTATATTTTGAGGTGAAATTTGCATTTTCAGGTATGGGGACATAAAATATGAATGAAAGCACAGGCACCAATAAAAAGAAATCTTCCCTGCAATCTACGGAGGATATTGGGCATCTTAAAGAATTAATTATGAAAATTAAATAAAGCTTACAACCATATTAATAAGTTGTTTATCATTTACAATGGTTTCAAAAAATTTATTTACAACATAGTATAAATCAAAAACTTGTAATTATGATCATTAAAGAAATATATCACGAAGTAGAATGCTCTCTATTCATATTCAAGATACAAATTAGAATTATTTCTTGAGCTTACATGTTTTTTTTTAGTTATGTTAAAAAATGAAAGATAATGCTTTATTTAGAGTATTTCTTAAGGGCAAAAAAACAACAACTATAATATATATTCAAAACAATAAATAAATAATGACTAAACTAAATCTACATTGAAATAAAATTGATTAACTTAAATCACAAATATATGTCAGTTTTTATAAATAAAGAAAACATATGACAAAATGCGTTAGCACTTAACACATGCATTTTATATTTGCTTTGAAATTACGAGAATACTGTAGCGAATAGTTGAATAATAAATTTATCATTTCTATCATGTTTTCATTCATGCTATTGTTTAAACATCTGTTTAATGATAATAATGTTTACAATTGAAAAAAAAAATTATGGTTTATTACATATTATGGTATATTACATATTAAATAATATTGCAATTGAAAAAAAAATGGTATTTATTAGGCACTTTAATTATATTTTTCATACATTATACAATTCAATACAATATTGAACATACGATTTCACTTATCATTTAACAAAACAAAGATTCAGGAGACTAGAAATAAAAAAAATCTACTAATCAGCTAGGTGCAATGCACAAAAACAGTTCAAAAACTATATTTTACATAATATTGTATTTGTGTACATATAACTGCACAATTCACGTTACAAAAAGGCGTAACAAAATATGAAGTTCATATGATGAAGCATGGCAGAGAGATCTGTGTAGGAGAGATTTCAAAAAATATTATGAGCACTGTTTTTTGCACAATGAAAGTTAGTGAGTAACATTGCCATTCTGAACATGTTTTGTAGTTTTTTCAACAGACATAGTGCTATAACAGGCATCCAAATAAGCCCAAGTGATTTCAGACACTAAAGAACGATCAGGAATTTGCTGTGCCATGCCATATATAGCAGCCTACAAAGAAACACAATATAAATTTACATAAGTTTATTTACAAAGGTGATAATACCAATTTAAGTCTAAAGTGACACAGAAAAAATGCATAAAATTGTAAAAAACTTTCTTTCTTTTATTAATTAATATTGAAACATGAGATCAGTGATGATTATTGTCATCATGACTTTCTGAATAAAGAAATTCATTTCAGTAATATCTTGGAAACCATTATTATTTTAACAAAAACATAACTATGTAATTTAGGAGCATAGCAATATTGAATATAAAAAGGCGTGCTTATCCCTGTAGTCTAGGAGTGCCTTTTGTGAGTGTACAAGGTCAGTTTTTTGTTGCTAAGCTTAATTACGTGAAATTACCAAATTACAAACATGTTCTTTAATAATGTACTGTAAAGTAGATAAATGACAGATACCAGCAGTACATTTTATTTACATACTTTATTCATTTAAGTTTTTTGTTGTTTAAACGTGATTTATTGGAGTGATTATGAGTTAGTTCAGTTAAAAAGTTTTGATGTTTTAACATTGTATTGGTAAAAGCAGAAAAATGTGATGTCTACAAGACCTAACTATTACACAATGCTCTAGCAAAAATTAAATCTCTCCTATTTACTATAAACATATATCACATGCTCATTTCAAAGAGCCATCATAAAGCATGTGATTTCAAAACATATTTTTCCCCTCATGTTTAGAACAGTGAAACCTCCAGGAAATACCACCACTGTTTACGAACACTTTTAGGAGGCATGGAATTTTTTCCATAGATTTTGTGTTGAGGCAAACCTAAAAGAGAGAACATTAAAACCTTTCCGAGCAACTGGGCAAACATCTGCACCAAATATGGAAAAGATCAATTAAGGAAACACGAAAAAATGTCAAACAAAAAATTTAACGAAACAAATGAATAGATTGAATGTATTCAAAATATTTGTATGAGACTCTATACATTAATTATTCAAAATATTCAATAATTAATATATTCAAAAATTAATTATTCAAAATATTCAATAATTAGTATATTCAAAAATTAATTATTCAAAATATTCAATAATTAATATATTCAAAAATTAATTATTAAAAATTAATAATTCAAAAATTAATAATTCAATAATTAAAAGAATAATTAATATATTCAAAATATTTAGATACCTCTTTTTGACGATACAATCTCATGTTGCACTCAGAGTGCACTAAAAATGATGCTATCAATGATTAACTTTTAGAATTGAAAGTTAAATTTTAAAATAAAGTCATTTTATGAAAAAAAAAGCATCTCAAACAAACAAACCTCTTCTCATTCTTTAAAGCTAACTAATTTTGATGATATAAAATTAAAAGCAAACTTAAACAAAAAACAGAATTGTTTATTTATTTAAAATAGCTTTATCATTCATAATTAGTAAATTTGTTTATACACATAATTATATCAATTAGGATCATTTTTATAGACGCTAAGCTTTATTCATAGATCAGTTTTTTTAGGACGCTAACAGAAGTGGCATTTCCGCAACCAAGAAAACAACACTGACTAAAACTAAAATCGTTTGCAAAAAATCATGTACCTTCGATAATAATTTTGAGGTCAATGATGGTAACCTCTAAGAACAACCCAGCTCCATCAACGACCATTTTACTGTGGAACGGAGAGTGGTCACTCCCAAGAAGCTTTACAGTATATTCAAAAACCACATGAGAGTCATACGGCTCTCATTTTGATTGAAAAGTCTAATCTATATGTCTTTTAAATCTTATGGACATAAAATGCGATTTTGTGCCTAAATTACAGATTTTTAAATGTCCCAGAACAGTACTCCAGATATACGTTAGCTGGGGATGAGCGAGAAAGCGCATAAATGCTCTTCATGTTTGTACGTATGTGAGAGTAGGTACGAAAGGGTTAAGGACTGAATGCTCAAATATCTATTTAGTACTCACTCTTCCAGAGGTAGGAACACCAGGGGTCTTCAATATATCTTTAGTGCATTCTTCCACATCCGACAAAAATCTATCAGCCACACCTTCATAGGTATGTTGCATTGTGAGGCAAATATGAAATGCTGATGGGTACTGGAGCACATTTAAGTTCCAACCTTTCTCTGTTAAAGAGCTTGTCAAACGGTAGACATCAAAGACTTCGGATCCAATTGCTATGACAGACACATCTGGTTTACCAACGATGTGTATTCCTTCTATTTTTCTCAACCTAGACATTTTATTTCAAAGTGAACATAAGAAATCAGTCAGTATTATTGAAGTAACAAAATTTAATGAATACGAGAAAAAGAACTTTAAAAAAAAAAAAAAACAATAAGAAAAATAATTTAAGTTAAAAGTGTATAACTCTGAAAAAAAAATTCAGTTTTTTTTTCAATGGTATACACTTGTAACTCAATGATAGTTTTCAAAAGAAACTAGCATGAAGATTAATAGAGGAAATAGAAGCTATTATATTTACACCAGTACCAGTACTTATTCACGAGCAAACTCATTTCTAAAGAAATTAAGTTGAAAATTTATATAACACTTATAGGGTATATATAGTAAAGACTAAAGAGATAGACGACTAAAGATTTTCAAACAGAAAAACATCATTTAATCAGAGAATGAAGCAATAATTTTAAAAAATACAGGTTTTTTTAGAAAATATAAAAGAAAACTAAAAATATTACTTGATGCATATTTTTTTTAACATGATCATAATCATTACATAATTAAAAACTCACCTTAATTAATATCTTACCACAAGTATTAATTTTATCAACAAAGTTACAAGGATTTTAATAATATAATACTAATATTAAAATTTTCTTTTCCAATATTGGATTAAAATGAAATTATAATTTTGAAAATAAACAATTAAATCTATTTTTAAATTATTTCTTTAGGAAACACTTCTTTTGGCAATTTTTAACTTTATGTGGCCAGGCAGTAATCAACTATTTGCGTGAGCTTGAGCTGCGTCTATTTCTTACATTAATTTACATTTAATTTCAGTTATGAGATAATGGTTGCCTTCATCAATCAGTAATTGAGCGCTCGATACTCTTTCTGTTAGAGTAGAAAGTTTGTCAGGTTTTGCTTGAGGTACATTTCCCCTTCATTCGAAGTTTTTAGGACTTTGTATTTAGCATATGCATGCTTATAAAATTGAATCATTTTTTGAGAGATGTAAATATCCGCCGATATTTCTAAAAAGGCAATTTCTTTAAAAGAAAATATAAAACTGTTTTGCTTAGGCTAAAAAATCTGCTTTCAATTGTTGATTAAGCTGACCTTAGACCTGTTAAAAACTATTTAAAATATCAATATTTTTGTAAAAATAGGATTTATATGACTATTTCAGTAATAAGTGGCTGGGTGGCGCAGTTGGTTTGTCGTTGGCCTCCAGAGCCCAAATCTGCGGGTTCGATCCCCGGTCCAGACTTCGGATTTTCGGGATGCAGAAAATCCTCAGCGGCCATGTCGTATGATTATGCGGCATGTAAAAGATTCCTGGAGTGCCTTATTGGCTCTTGGCATTTCCGGCAAAATTAAATTTCTAGTGCACTTTAGCATCCAATTAGAGTCTCGGTGCTGCCATCTAGTGTGGCAGAAACTAGACGTCCAAATTAACATGGCCAACGGTATCTCACCCATTGTGGTGGTCCTGAAAGAGAGGATACCACTTCTGGAGAACGCACTAGGTCTGCTCATCGGGAAAACTGATTGTGCAGCTCATAGGGAAAAAAAATTTTCAGTAATAAAGGATGTTTTTTAGAATTAAAAAGAAATATTTAAGAAATATAGGATCCACTAGGACTTTAACCCCAATTTGATTCCTAAAGTCGAGATGCTTGGCCTGGCTAGGCCATTTAGGAAGAATGAACAAAAATAAGTGTTTGAAAAAATCATAAATTGAAAACCAATGACTCAGAATAAGACCTCAAAAGAAATGGATAAATAATATCCCAAAAGATATAACTATATAATGGAAATTTCGAATTTGGAAATCCAAAAACGGAGAGGTTTAAAATAACATTATTCTGATTAGCAAAGTAAGGCCCAATACAGGCTGTATGAAAGGTGGTGCTGAAAAAGGAGGATATACTTTTTAAAATTACAAATAAATAAATATTTTTATTAATTGAACTCGAATTCTCACAATTCATATTGATATGTTACATAAATAATGTCATTGCAATAAGACCTAAAAATAAAATACTTTCAAATCAGTGACAGGGCGTCCTAAAAATTATTAACGGTTTGAAAAATTGACCAAGAAAAAAGGAAATATATAAAATTGTATAGTTTGGTGCATTCTGTTTAGAAAACTAAATATTTATTCATCCCTAACTTAAAAATTACATACTAATTTCATCAGAAGATGGCATTGTCACTTCAGAAAAACTTTAAAACTAACAATGATTTCAAAATAACAATCATTAGCGAATAACATGTCACACTCTAAGCACAAAACCAACATATATTCATGCAACATTTCTAGTCAGAATAGTCTGAAATTCAGCAGAAAACATTGTTTTGCAGTTTTTACCATTCAGCAACAATATTTGGGTTGAGGAAATTTGTAAATAATTATGAAACATGGTGAGGATATATATTCTGGTTACAAAATGCAACAAATCGTATATTTCTATTCTTTGTAATTCTTATTAAAATGATTTTTCAAAGCATTGGGTATATTTGAGACACTCAGTATTATGAATTAAATTACAATTCAAATTTTCCAATTTCACCAAATTCAAAACACTTATAAAACATTCAAAAGTATATATATATTACTGTGAATGACTGAAATTTCTAATTATTGTATATATACTTCCTCTGGTATATTTCCACCACTTCCAATATATATTTCCACTGGTGAATGTTGACAGTCACATGGTGTTTTGCTGAATGTCCGAGATATATACTTGGTCTAGTTATGTGCCACTACGAGGTATACATTTGCCCGGGATGACCTATATCAATGTTTTTTTTAAGGTCAAATGCCACTGTCCTGTATGCATTTAAACGATACTTCGAATACTGATGTTTATCCTAATCTGTCCTCAGCAGATATTAAAATATCAAATAATTATAATAATATCAGCGAATAAATCAAAATTAAAATCATATATAATAAATATTTCGGACATTCACCAAAGCAACTATGTAATTGTTGACATTCACCGGTGAGAGTCGCATTCTCTTGGTATCAGTCATTCATGGTAACATATATAATTATTTTGATCAAAAATCTGTTCTAGAAAGTAATTTTTCTAACATTTTGAATGCAATATTAATGCTCTCAGTGTTTATAAAAAATGTTAATAAGAAAGAAAAGAAATAAGAAAAATCAAATTGTTTATTTTTTTTTAAATGAAATTATTATGCCCATATCATTATGTAAGTATCATGCAGTTAGTATTACGTAATTTTACTCTATTGATAACCCTTCAAACATAAAAATTTATTTTTGCCTGGTTTATCTTATTTCACAAAAGAAAATTTAGTTTGTATTTTAAGAAACGCTAAATATCGGGTTGAGTAAAAAGTTTTCCACCAAAAAAAAAAAACAATCTTGTAAAATGATAAATACATAGAAAATCAGCAAACCTAATGAGGATTGTAATCTCCATTCAAATCAACAATAGTCTGCCAACGTTTTGGCAACTTTTCAATCCCTTGTGTGAAGAACTGGGGGGTGCGCGAGACCAGAAAGCAATCAACCTCATTTATGACCTCGTCATTTGAACGGAAGATTGTGCCATCAAGATGCAGCTGCAGATGTGAAAACAGATAGTAATCTGAAGGCGCCATGTCTGGGCTGTATGGTGGATGTTGCATCAAATCCCACTCCAGCACGTAGAAGGTCCAGCCGGTCATTGCACTGACATGTGGCCGGGCGTTATCTTGATGAATTAGAACCACCTTTCTTCTGAACTCGTTTTTTCGTTTTTCGTGAATGACATCGCTAACTTCGATTAGCATATTGCTGTATATTGTACTGTTGATAGCCTGCCCGCTTTTCGGGTACTCCTTGTAGATAATTCCACGACAATCCCACCAGATACATAGAAGGACCTTCCTGTTAGTTAGCGTTCGTCTTGCAACCGAACCTGCTGATGCCCCGGGTGCTGACCACCCTCATTTACGGCTAGTATTGTTGTAGTATACCCATTTTTCATCACAGGTCACAATTCTGCCCAGAATGTTTTCTTTGATCTCTGAGCAGAACCAAATAAGCCGCTTTTCTTTTGCTCTTGTCTTCAGCAGTCAATTTGTGAGGCACCCAGCTGTTAAACTTAAATGTTAGATTTATGCGTTTGAGGGCATTTACTATTGTCTTTTGGCAAACATCAAGCACTAACGCAATGGTTCGTGTTGAAACATTTTTGTCTTGATCAATAATTTGCTTTAATTGGTCACAATCAACCTCAATAGGGCGGCCAGAACGTGGTTCATCTTCAATGTTGAAATTCCCACTATTAAACTTTCGAAACCAAACTTTTACTGTATCATAAGAAACAGTATTGAAACCTAAACTTTCACACATTTTCTTGTGGCATTCAGTTACACAGAGTTTATTTCGGAACTCATAGTACATGATCGTTCTGATCCGCTTACGTGATACCTCCATTTTAAACACTTTTTTGGTGCACAAGATGATAAAGTTTTGACAAACAAATTACACAGTTGTGTAGTTCCAACTTTCAGCCTTAAAATGCAAAAGCCCGTTTCAGAAAAGGTTTACTACCACGGGAATGGCTGCTGCTGGCACGGAGGTATCTCCCCTTGGCGGAAAACTTTTTACTCAACCCGATATTTAATAAACTATGAAAAATAGTTGCATGGTTGCTTTAGCAGTTGAATTTGAGTTATGGTTCTCAGCAATGTTGAGAACAGCTTATCACAGATCTATATAGAACACAATATATATGTTACTGTGAATGGCCAAAATTGGTGGTCGCTGACAATCACATAGTCGCTTTGGTGAAAGTCTGAAATATATACTAGGTCTAGTTAAGTGCCACATTCCGGTACTCCGAACACAGATGTTTTTCCTAATCTATCCTCAGCAGATATTAAAATATTGAATAAATATAATAATATCAACGAATAAATTAATATCAAAATGGATATTTCGGACATTTACTAAAGTGACTATGTGATTGTTGACATTCACCGGTGAAAGTTGACAATCACCAATTTCGGTCATTCAAGGTAAAATATACACTGGATACACTTGGTTCTTCTTCTAAAAATCAAATAAAAGAGATAGTTAAATAATAAAATTTAGGATTTAAGTAACATTAATTTCAGAGAAAAACTTGCATTTAACATTCCAATTTTTAAAGTATATTTGTTGAAAACCAAAAATCTTGTTCAAACTTTAGAAAGGAGAAAAAAAGAATACATGATGCAATATTTAATAAACAAAATAATTAGATTTCAACCACAATTATGCATTTGAATGACAATCAAAAGTAAATAAATAAATGCATTATCAGAAATCTGCTCTAGAAAGCAATTATTCTAAGATATTTTGAATGTTATAATGATGCTCTAAAAATATTATAATTTTGTTTTACAGTTTTTTTTTAAAGAACCGATGCCAATTTGAAAACAACTAAACAGAGTAAAGAGAAAAAAAAAATACCCTTTTTCAATGTATTTAGCAACAGACATTATCTTCCTTGTGCATTCAATGTAATTTTCTTCTCCGTGATATAAAAGAGATGCCCAGCATGTTGCGATTAGTCCACCTGAACGGCTTCCTACGAAATATATTTAAAAATTACCATCGCGTCTTTTTCGAAAATAAAAAGCATTAATTAATGAATAAGGTTTTAAGATTTTTTAGAATTAATTTATATATTTATGAAATAAAAAGAAGAAATTTATCTTCAAAATATAATATTTTAATTTCAATTAAAATTGGGTAATTTTTTTCAACATTATTTTGGGAAGCCTGATTGATAAAAATTTCTATAAATCCAAAGACTATAAGATATTCTGCATTAAAAATAACAAAATCATATCATTTCATTGACATATTTAAAGTTAAATTATTCAATAAAAAAGGATCCAACTACCATGTTATGTGTTTTGTTAAATCTGCTTACAAAAGAAATTTTTGCTCAGCTGATATGAACTTTTGGTATATAAATTTAAAAGTACACTGGGGCCAAATTTAAAAAAAAATGGGCTGTGCAGAAAAAAAAAATTGACACAGTAATAATCTTTTTAATTTTGAAGTAAAAAATTATATTGTTGCATGATTCTTGCATTATGAAAAATTGTGCATGTCGTAATCACATCATATTAAAGAATCGAAATGTTAAAAACTGTGAAAAAATTTGTTGCCATAGCTGGGTGCCACAAATTTTCGTAACATCATGTAGATTTATGGTTTAGTACTACGAATATTGTGGCACATAGAAGGTATCAACTCTACCTGTTTTCTTTTGTATATATTTAACTGTTTTTTTTCTTCATATTGTTTGATACAAAAACAGTGTATCAGGAAAGAATTTTTTTCTTCCAAATTTGCAGGGCTGGAAGTCCAGAATATGAAAATTAAGGACTAAATTGTCTCCAAATTTAAGGACGATGATTATCTAATGGGAGCAATTTCTAGGAGACCAACACGGATTCGCAGATACACAATTGGTAATAGTTTTAGTAGTTTCTGCACTTAAGTAAAAAAAGAAACATTTTTAAGAAAACTCAGATTTTTTTTTACATATATAAAAAAAGTGTGAAAAAATAACATAAATACGGAGAATCGTTAAATAGTCGCGAAATTCGAGGATTCTCTCATAAAAATCAGTAGAGTATGATAGAGGGAGAAAAGAGAGATTAGAACTTTTTTTATATCTCTCCCACATTGAATGTTCAATACCATCAAGTCAAAGGTCTCTAACAATGGAAGTAAACTAGTACCATACTTGACATGCAATAAAAACTTAGGCGTTCATTTTGTTATATACTTTATTTCATGGCATATAACAAAATTTCTGAATTTGAAATTTCTGCAATTTTTTTTTCAAGTGGATAATATTTATTTTTGCTGTTAACTTGGAATACTAATAACAAAAATTTGGAAAATACAAAAATATCAGGACATTTATTGAAATTTTTAATAATTAAGGACATTTAAGGAAACTCTCTTTTTTATAAGGAAATTAAGGACAACTTTGAGTCCTGAATTAGTTTCTCAGCAAAAACATTAGAAGATTAAATATGGTTCTTGCAGGTACAGTTTTCAAAACCCAAACAGCACTAATACTAATAAGAATAAAAAACTGAAAAAGTACCTGACAAGTTAGGTGTGCCATAAATTCCACCAGGCCAATTAGGTTGGACAGAGAATTGATGGTGTCTATATTTCTTTTCTTTGTAAAGAATAACAGAAGTACCTTTAGGAGCATAGCCATACTGAAATAAGTAATGAAATATTAAGGCATGAGCTTCTTATGGCATGATATAAGACAATTGAATATTAAATAAAAATCCTAATAAAAAATGAGAGACCTGGCAACAGTATGTCTATAAACTCAGGACATGTTTGGAACAACCGCACAGTAAAAGACAAAAGAAAAATCAACGTATGTGAGAACAAATTCAAAATTGAGATTTTCATATATTTGGCACTTCTGTATGATAAGCTTCTTATTGCAAAAGATTTTCTTCTTAATTAAATATTGTTTTATCAGTTTTTTAAAATTCTATTTCAGTGTTCACAGCATTAGAAGCAATAGAAAGAAAATAGATGTCAAGCCACGAAATCTACTGTGAGGTATTTACATTGATTTTTCATTTGCACAGCAGAGTTGTTCTCTCAAATTCGAAATATGAGGAAGAGCTCGGCAAGTGCATTAGATGTCTATATCTTTCTTAAGAGCTGCAGTGGCTCAGGGGATAGAGCGTTCACCTTCCAATGAAGTGAACCGGGTTCGAATCCCAAATATGGCTGGTCAATACGAATTCTGCTTCCGGCTCGCAAGGACCACAATGCCGACGTAAAATATCCTCAGTGGTAGATGGATCATGGGTTAGAATCCCTTTGCCATTAGGCTAACCGTGGAAGGTTTTACTCTCCATGTAATGGAAATGTGGTTTTGTTCCACAAAAAAAGTTCTCCGCAAAGGCAAATTTCTCTCAATACTTCCTCCAGGAGTTCCCTTGCCTTCTGGATTGGGTTCAAAATGACAAGGCTACAGATTTGAACATTGGTAGCTGTAAACTTAAAATTGGGTCAGCTGTTCAACGACGGTTACATTGTATTATATCTTCTATAAGGAGCAAAGAGAGTCATGAGTGACATTAATACTTTGGAGATGCTTACATAGGCAGTCTTGGGCAAATATAAAATGGAACATTATGACAGAGTTCTTATTATTTCTCACTGTGAGTTCTTAGAAAAAGGAGTATTTGAGGACTTTCTGAAAAATAACTTCACGGAATGTTATGTTTGAAAAAACAATGACCTAGTTATATGGCTACCATGACCTAGGCATTACCCTGTACTCCAAAGAGGGTAGGAGCCCATTGAGTCATTTATCATTGTTTGAGAATGAAATAGTACTTTGCAAGCCAGTGGATTGAAGGGTGGCTTTGAAATCTGATAAGAAAATAACTTTTGTAAACATGTCCAGTGATTGTAGCAGTGCTCAGTGAATGATCGTCATCTCTTGTCAAAAGCAGTTGTAAGTGAGCCAATGGGTGTTTAATTAAAAAAAATCTACAGTGCTCATTGAATTACCTGTTCTGGGACCACCAGTACATAAAAAGTAGTAACAACTGTTCACAAATGTATACCAAAATTGAAAAAATAAAGATTTATGTATTTAACTTGTATACTTAAATACATAAGTTAAAACATATAAGAATGAATGAAATTTTAATGATGAGTAACTTTTAATAATAAAGATAAGTTTACAAATTTTATTAGTTTTCTTTTGTTGTAACATTATGGTTTAAATCAAATTATAAAGAATAATTGAACTTATTAATTATTTGGAATAAAAAATAAATAAACTGTACAAATTTTGCTCCAGATCATTTTCTTCTTTATTCAACAATCTAAATTTGTTGAAAACGATTTTATTTTATAAGGTACTACTAATGTAGAAAATAAATTATTTAAATGACTCTTCAGGAAAAAAACAAAATTTTTGAAACTAATAATTATTATTGATCCAAAGGAAGGAGGATAAACTTTATCATCCATAAGCATAGTAATATAAAATATGTGAAAATGACAAAGCTGTTTGTCATAAATTAGTACTATGTAGCACAGCAAATTGAAGAGTTGACAATGCTATAGAGTCAACAGTTCTCGGGAACCAATGTGCAGTTGTCAGAATCCACTGCCTTTTAGTAATCATATAGAAATTGAGTGATGGGGAGTGTTTCGAAGTTATCTCACTTTACCCAATGTTCTGATCTTAGTTTGGGTGATTTTTTTCCTTTTTGAACATCTTAAAAGCAATGCTCACCTTTCCTGCAACTATCCATAAACTAAACTATAAGACTGAGCACTTTAATTCACTAATGTGTGCTGCATCAAGCATTTGGAAGTTTTTATAACAGACCATTAAATGTTAATACCAAGAGGGAGTTCATCTTTCTAAATGCTTTCTGTACAAAGAAACAGTTGGTAATATTCTGTAATGAAAACATAAAATACATATTCCCATAAAAAATATTTTTCCTGTTTATATTTGTGAAAATTATGTATGTTACTTCAAATTTTCCCATTATCCTGCAACATTCTGTAATTCTGTACTCCAATGCAGACAATCTAAATGTTTTTTTTCTGTTACACCACATAAGAGATGAGTCAAAATATGTTAACTGAAAGTAAATATATTTTCTAATAAAAATTTAAATATTGAATACTTATCAGATAACCTAAAATAAGTAACAATGAATACAAATAAGAAACAAATTAGTTGCACAGATTAAAAATTAAATATATACTAGTTATTAGGATGATAAATATTAAGTTTGACACTAGTATATTACTTTATGCGTATCACAGGAAATGCTTGTAACTCCACGAACAGAGAAGTCAAATGCAGGTATTTTGAAACCAGCTTGTTCCATAAAAGGTATTAAAAATCCTCCTAAACAAGCATCCACGTGAACAGGAATAGATTTCTTGTAACCTAACTAGAAAATAATTACACTGAACTAAATTAAATAGTTCCATGAACATATTAATACAAAACAATAAACATTTATCAAATATTAATTTTTTGAAATACGAAAACACATGAAGACAAAGTGAGCAAAATGGTATATGTCAATGAAAACTGATTCTAAGAAAAGCTCACAGACCGGAACCCATTTTCCACAACATGGCTAATCTTCACTGTGTAATAACTCTGGGAGAGAAAATGGATTTTCCACGTTATTGACTGCTCAAACTTAGTAATCCTCAAAATGCAACAGATGGCGATCAAATCATCAGTTTCGTGGAAAATGAACATAAACTGTTTTTCTCTTTTTGATCTTCATACATTATACCAAACCATATACATTATAATAAATCATATACTTTCAAAATCTCAAAGTTGAAGGAACTTTAAAAAAATTTCAAAATCGCAAGTTTTCGAGATAATAAGTTCAAACCTAAATATGTTCTAATAGGTAGAAAAATATATTCTAAAATATTACTCTAAAAAGTAAAATCATGAAACATAAGAATAACTATGATCAAATAAGTATGCAATGATAGTTGACCATAAGCCTAAATACAACAATGATAATTTTATCTTTAAAAGTAAGACAAAAATAATAATGAATTAAACAGAAAATAATTGGTTTATAATGAACTTACATTGTGATTTTTGTGAGAAAATTTATTTTCTATTTCAAAAAAAAAATTCAAAATAGCAAGGTTTTGAGAAGAAACCCTTCAACATAGGAATTCAAATTAACATTGGGTGGATGTGTAATGCCAAGAAGAAAAATATTTTTTTGACATAACAAGGTTTTCGAGATATTGAAGTTCAAGATATTTTATACTATTAGTATACTATTTTTTTTAGTACAGTATGATAATAAAAATTTTGACAAAGTAGGATTCAAGCCATTTTCAAACTATTATTTTTTAATTTTTTTTGCAATAATTTGCTTATTTTTTAAACTTGAGCAAAAACTAAAAAATATTAATCTCTGACAAAATTCTTAACAATTCAAACATTATTTAATTTCTTTTTAAATGCCATAAATAGAAATAATAAAAGAGTGGAGAAATGAAATGGTTGACTTTACCTGTCCAATAGCTTCAATAGGATCTATGCTTCCATGAGGAAAAGCAGGAGCTGATCCAACAAGCTTTAAAATTAAAAACAATCAATTAATATGAGAAATAATCAGATTTCACTTATATTAGACCTCAAGTCTAATTTACGGAAATACAGCACATGTAATTTAAGGCATCTAATTTTCAGAAATAGAGTGCACAAAATAAAAACAGAACCCCTTCATAATAGCTGATCTAGGGATAATCGGATTTCCATTTACTAATGTAATTTCAATGGTGCGAAGAATTACCTTAAAGATGATAATTACTGACAGCCAATCAGAGCCGGATTATACCCTTCGTAGGTCCTAGGCATAGCCGTTTTAGGGGCCCTCCCCTCCTCCCCTCTTTTCAAAATATATGCTAAAATTTTCTTGCAAATTTTTTTTTTTACATTTTTATTAATATAGATTTTAATTTACAAATTTGTTTATCGAACTTTAAGATCAATTTAATTTCGATAGTTATTAAAGATAAACAAGTTTATCTTTAATAACTATCGAAATTAAAGATAAACTTGTGAATATTTTTCCTAACGTTCACATTGCATTAAGAATATATCTGTCGATTCTTGGATCAAATGCAGAAAGATCTTTCTCCAGATCAAAATTATTTGCGTTCAACAATGAATCAAGGTCGTTTGGCATCGCTCGCACTTATGTCTATTGAATACGACATTTTGCGTAGTTTGGAATTCGACAGCATAATACAAGATTTCGTTGAATCCAAAAATCGCAAAAAAGTAATATATTAGATCATAAAATTCTGCAAAATAATTTATTACCGAAAAATATTATATTTTTATTTGTATCTTCATAATGTTGTGCAAAATACACTTGTTGTTTTTAAAGCTAAATTATTTTTGTCAACAAATTTCTTTCTCCCAAGTTTTTCTTAGGCCCCTGAATTTCGTAGGCCCTAGGCACGTGCCTAGTGTGCCTATAGGTTAATCCGGCCCTGCAGCCAATAATATTTTGGGCCACAAAATTAGGTACAGTTCTTGACCATCTGAAAAATATGATCTGAAAAGTTTAGTTAGGAAAGCGGCTGACCCCCATAATGTTAATTTTACTTTTTATCTACCTTGCTATTTTTGGAATTGAAAAAAATATTGCATTCAATTGTGAAACTTATTTATCGAAAGATAATTTCATTCAAAATATAATTGCGTGCCTGAAATTTTTTTTTTGTTCACTGTAAAATCAAAGAATGAAAAAGAACAATTAATTTAAAAACACGTGCTTTACATGGAATTACTAGTTTTACAACTATGTGCAGTTTTTTATATGTTTTAAAATGACTAGTTTTAGAATTGTGCGGAAAAAATTTTATTCGCTTAAATTATTCAAAATAAACAGCAAAATACACTAATTACAAAATTAGCAATGAGAAGTCCAAAATTTTAACAAATGCTCTAGGCATCTAACCTTCATCTTGCCAAGAACCCATCAAAAGAAGGTTTGTTTATTCAGAGAATTTACAATTTTGTGGCTTTTTTTACAACTTTATAGTCTGAGCACATTTAAGGTGAGCCCTTAAACAATTAAGATTGCATCTTAGTAAGCAGCAATCCAATGACTAGATCAAAAGTTATTAAGGTGTTCATTTATTTTCCTTATGTATATGAAAATAATGACAGTACGCAATAGTTGTAAATTAAATAACAGTATATAAAGAAAAAAAATTGGTTTCAGTTTCAAGTATTTAATAAACTTCTAATCAGTAATCTCATATCTAACTTAATTTCTGATTTCATCAATTTCCATTTTTTAATGTTATGTTCCTCGTGTTAAAAAAATAACAAAATAGCATGAATACAAAGTTGCATTTAAGTCAGCATACTGTTTAAACTGGCATTCAGCATATGTGCACTGTTGATATCAAAATAATTTAAATAAGGAAATGTAAATAATTTTAGAAGTTAATTAATATGAAATTTGGAGTAATATAATCATTAACTAGGTAATGTTAAAGTTATAACAACTTCTCTTTTGATTGGAAAAAAAGAATAGAACAGAACCATCTAATACTCAAATGGTAGAAAAATCTAAACATCATCAACAGCCATGCTTTAATTATTGCATCAAAAAACTAAAACATAAGTTAAAGTGCAATGAACATCAGTTTAAAATGAACTCCTACCATGATTGTATTTTTATCTATTGCTTTTTTCATAGCTTTCATGTTGACTTTGGTTGTTTCAGGATCAAATGGAACATGCTTCACTTTGATTTTCAACATATGAGCAGCCTGCAATCACAAATTACAAATAAAATATTAAATTGAAATTCATTTCTAGTTAAAGAATCAACAGAGATTTCAGTGAAAAGTTATTAAAAATTACTACAATATAAACTACATTCATATCTGCATCTGTAGCGTTTCATTTAAAAAAATAAATAAATAAGAGATTGTAGATATATCAATAAGCTATAGTGAAAAAAAAAAAGGCTTTAGGCAATAAATTAGTCTTGTTTGTTCCATTCACTTGAATAGACAATAGAGTTACATTAAAAAAAATAATTTTAATTTTCAATATTTAAAAATAAAATATTTAATATTTCAAACATACTTATTAAACAGAAAAAGGGAAATGTTTTGCTTATACCTTAAAAAATATTTGATATTTGTTGTTATATCCCTTTTAAATAAATGTTATTAGGATTTTCTTTTTATCTATATTCTACATTTAATTTCAAAGGGCAAAAATTATAAAATTACTCACTAAAAATAAAGAAAAATTATATAAAGTTAACTTCAAGAAGAACAATATCAAGATATTTTTTGTTATATGCATAATATGTATAAAATGTGTACAGGAAAAAAACTCAACAATGCATCTTAATTATGTATTTGAACTTTTGCAATATATTTTGAAATATGTTTCACGAATCTTCCAAAAAAATAAATAAATAAAAACCATCCTTAAAAAAGAAAAACTATTTATACACAATGTGGCAATAACATTATATAGCTTAATTGAAAGTTAGTAATGATATATAGCTTGGTAAAAAAAGGTATAATTTTAGAAAAACGTCTTTACTAATTTAATATTGGTCCTAAACCCTACAATTTCAATATTATATCAGTTAAATGAAAATAAAAAAAAACTTAATATAGCTGAATCAAAAATAATAATAATAATTAAATGGAAAAAACTGTAAAGTTAATTTAGATATGAAATATGAGATTCAGTGCAACTGATCTTAATTATTTTATATCACCACTGAAAAATAATGCTAATAGAAATCATTTTAAGCAAAATAAAGCAGAGAGTCTGGATTAAAAGGTGAAATTTAGTTCAATAAATTTTTGTAAGTTTTAAACCTTTCACAGCATAACTATAACAAAAATTAGTTTAAACAGAGCATAATTTATACTGGGGAAATAGCTGTAAATTCAGAGCAAACAATAACACCTATTATAAACTGAACACTAAAAAAATAATACTACAAGCTGAATAATATAGTCACATGGTATTAATAGACATGGGATAAATGCAAATAATATATTATACCACTGAATAAATGAAAATTGAATGAAAAAAAAAATATTAATTTTCAAAAATGTAACTGTACCTTATCAAAGCCTGCATGAGCTGTGATGGGAATAACCCTATAAAGATATAGACATGAGATTTAAAATTAAAAAACAAAACAAAAAAAAACAGATAAATTTATTCTTAAACTTAATAAACATAATGAAAGAAAATGTTATAAAAAGAAGATAGAGGAGTTGCTTAAATAATACTAAGGATACTTTAGACAATAATGAAAAGAATCATTTAATCCATCAAAAAAATCACAAATAAACTTTGAGAAAAATTACAGAAAATGATCAAAATATATCTAATTTCTCCTTAAAAAATTAAGAAATGAAGGAAAAAATGGAAATTATTTAATTCCAAGTTCAATTATTCTAAGTAATTACAATTTATCATAAATTAAGATATCATTTGTGGATCAATTATATAGCTAAAATGTAAGCAAGAACATAGATAGACCACTAAGAAAGTTAAAAAAAAAGGAGTAAAAATACACATGCAATGAAAACTTTTAATGTATAAACTTTTTTAAAAATAAGACAATTTAGTTTCATATGACTAATACCCAAAATTGTATAAGGATTAATTACATAAAAATAACATTCTTAATTTCTCAAGGCTTCTAACACTTCCCACTAATCTTTAATAATATTATTTAGATATGAAGAGCCTGGGGCAATATAATGATAAGCTACTCTTTTTCAAAGAAGGAATTTTTTACATTTTAGTATTGTTTTCAGATAAGTACTTTACAAGTTTTTGGAATTTTTATGACATAATGGCAAAATATTCTGCAACAACTTATTACTTACATGAAAATCATTGAGTTTTGTTAGTTTTGAAATGTGGATTTGAAAATGTTTGTGGATTTGAAAATGTGGCTTATTATCATATTGCCCCAAGCCCTTTATAAAAGCTTGTAAAGAAATTTTCTTTTATAAAATACAGTGTTTTACTCTTTCAATCATGCACAAGTAATAACACACAAATTAAGCAAACATTTTATGACAGTCAATATTAAAACAAAATGCTCAGATTAAGATTAAAATAACTTACATATTTGGATCTCGTATCCCTTTTTCAAATTTAGCATAATCTCTGTAAGCTTTGCAAACTAGAAAAATACTTTCTGTTCCTCCACTTGTAACCTAAGGAAATAAAATATAGATGCATAGTTATAAAACAGTTCAAATTACAGTACATCATTTTGAAAAAATCATTTAATAGAAAAAAATTATAATAATAATAAAAAAGTTAAATAAATAAAAACTAAATGTTTTTAATTTACTCACTGTTCCAACAGATTCAGTAGCTTTGAAAAGAGATGATACCATCTGAACAACTTCAGCTTCCATGATTCGAGAACCAGGGAATACATCGGGGTGTAGAGGGTTAGTATATGCAGTTAAACCATAAACATCTTTCATCAGAGTTCCTAGTTTAGCATCATTTCCCAAGTAAACTGTCCCTGATACATAGCCATCTTTAAATGAATAATGTCCATACGATGAATATTTCTTAATTGTATCAATAATAGCTTCCTATAATGCAAGAAGAAAAATATATTAACACAATACGGTAATAAATTGAAAAATATATTAACACAATAAGGTAATAAATTACATTTCAAATAGCAAAAATTTTATTTTTACATGTACATAGTTTCTCAGTAACATAATGTTAGGATAAGTTTTTTTCTTAACACAAAACAAATATAATAGAATCATTTGTTATACCTTGAGCGATTCATTACATGCCTGATCTCTTTAATAGTTATTTAATCTTTCTCTACATTTACATGACAACTACAATTGCAACTGCTCTAGCTCCTGGCTCATCCACCTTACATTAAATAACAAAACTGATTTAAAAAGTTGGTAAAAATCATGATTTCTTAAAGAAAAGAAAAAAGAAGAAAAAAAAGACTTTTAATTTAAATCTGATTTTTTTAAAATTTAAACCTCAGTTATTTTTTTTTTTTTTTTTACAATTATTAACCAAATTGCTTCATAAAATATACTAAAAATACTTAATATTATTTAAAAATAATATTATAGCTGAAATAGGTTGGTAAAATGTTGAAATTCACATTAAAGTATTAAAAATTAACTAAATAAATAAAGTTATAATTAACTTTATTCAAATTCATTACTCTAATGAATTTTACAGACAGAAGAATCAATTTGTGAATTAGATATCCAATGAAGAGTAAATTAATTTGGATTGTAAAACATTATTTAAAAAAATATTTCAAGCTACTCTAAATTGAACAAATTTTTTTTCATTATTTATGTAAACTAACCACACATAAAGTGTTAAAAACATTGTTTTTTTTTCAATAAATATAAATAAATGACTATGTTTGTAATATGTTCATTATCTACAAATTATTTTATACACACCTAATGAAAGATTATAATTTAAAAGTTTAAGCCACTCTCATCCATTTTTAGTCTTATTTTTTAAAATTTTTAATCTATTTTGATTCGTAAAAATTTACATTACCCTTTCTTACTGTTTAAATTAAACACTGAAAAAAAATCACATCTTAAAGAAAATTAATTTTAACTATATTATGTAAAAAATATTTTAGACTCAATTTTCTTTTTTAAATCAGTTGCTTTGAATATTGATGATTCTTTTTTTAAAAAAATAATGTGATTTAAGTAACAATTTTAATAGGTCAAACTATATCAAATAGGCATTATAATTTGACTCAAGTGATTTAAATCATGATGGCAATTAATCGTGTGATTTAAAGCATGATACCTATTTGATTTTATTTAAAAAGTTATTCCTTCTATTTTGGTTTGATTCCTTCCATTAAACTCAAAATATTGGTTAAATGTATTTTATTATTTGTCAAGCTGTTTCCTTTATTTTTAACATTTTCTAAAAAAAAATATTTATAGACAGAATGAACTTTCATTAAATAATTTAGTAATCAAATCTAAAGAAAACATGTTAAAGTACATTTAATTTTTAATTATTTTTAAAAACAAAATGAAAATATTAAAAAAGTAAAAACTAGGCATAGTTTTGCTCACAAAATTGCATAAATTTTACTTAAACTGAAATATTTCAACTGCAATATTGCTATGTAGCTTAAATTGTAATAATGCACAGATCTATATACGTGAACTTGTAAAAATTACTGTTTCTTGTGATACAAACAACATTAGAAATCAATATGAATGATTAATTTCGCGGAAATTTTTCAAATACTTACTGGTTTATAGGATTGTTTAGGCAACTTTTGGTGATAAACAACATCTATGCCAGCTTGCACCTGTTTTTCAATTTCATCTGTCGTTTCTTTCAATTTTTTTGCAACACCTTGCTTGATGATTGGCAGATGTCTTAAAAAATATAAAACTTGTTGTTTCAGCCCCTCCTCTAAAAATATACAGAAGAAGTTTAAAAAATTAATAGTAAGAAAAAGGAATGACAGACAGAGAGAAAAAATTATAATAACAGGAGAAAAAATAAATTATTCTATGCAGAATTGGTAAAAAAAACATTTAACTCCATTAAAATACTTTCTGCATAAAAGATTCAATTATAAAAAAAAAATAAATAAAAAAAAAAAAAAACATAATAATAATAAATTTGTCTTATCATATCAAATAAATAAAAATTAATTAATAAATGAAAAATATGAAACAAAAATAATTTTAATTAAAATCACTTTTTGTAAGAAAAATTCAAGCAAACAAAATAAAAAGATTTTTATTTGTTGATGAATTTTATTTAAAGTAAGTTAGTTTTTTAAACTTTATCCTAGGAACTTACATTATATAATATTATTATCAGATGAAAATTGGTCAAATTATACTATTTTATAAGTTAAATGTTAACAACTACCTACAATAATTAATTATTAATACTAATATCATTAGTTTAAACAACATCTTGTTATGCAACAAATTAATCAAGAATTTAGTACAAATTTAAATTAATTTTTGATGAATTTTTCAACAATATAAGTACTAGTTAAAATATGTTACTCATTCAATAATAATGATATTATGCAAATTATTATTAAGATATTTCAAATTTGGAATTTTATTAATCCTGCTTTTGAATAAATATCTGAGTTAGATCATAACAAAGGGAAGATTTCTCCACATTCATATTTGCACCAATATTACCACCAAAATAAGTCAGCGGCAAGAAATTAAACAAGTATGGTAAATTTAAGTGCCTTGTGATTTCAGTTGGTACACTTAAGTAAAAGTATTTAAATATCCCATATTCAGAATAGCTAAATAATTAAAATTTAGTTTGATACAACATAACAAGTCATCAAGCAGAGAAATTATGAAAAGTTGTAAATAATCTATGTAACTATATACATATATAAAAATATAGCATACCGTATAAACGTCTACACACATTTCTGAAGTAGACAAACAAAAATGTAGCTACTGCAGTACTGAAGATCAGAAGCCATGGTTCCATATCAACACAAGCATCATTTATGTGGTTTTTAAAACAAGTTAATTTCTGAACAACAACTGTAAACACTTTCTCCAAAATTAATTGAAGATACTCGACATCCATTTTTCTGTAAACAAAGAAAAAGATTTATTTTAACTTCAAATGTAATGACTAAACGTAACAGTTATATAAATAAGAAGATTAAAATTATGTAAGTTGAATAATGATAAAAATCCCATGGAAGAAATTGAATTTAAACAAATTAATCAATATAATTAAAATATTTTTAAAAAACACGAAAAAGCAAAATTATGCATAAAAAATGAGAAGAATAACGAATGAAATAGAAAGAATTACTCGAAATAATCATTCAAAAAGTACCAGTCACTCACAAACGAGCAGGAAAGAAGAAAAAGTATTTTTTTTTTCTTTCTTTAGATCATAATCAATAAATCTTTATAATGAGATAATAATCAATATATCTATCCAATGGTAGATGCTTTGGAGACAGATACACAGAATTTTAATAAACATCAGCAGTTGTTTATTTTCTATCCAAGTACAATCGAACCTAGTTCCCACATCCGTTGATCAAGGAAAAGTTGCGAAATATTTTATCGTCTGCTAAAAAGCTACAGAAACCACAGTTAGAATTAACAATTGATAAAACGCGTTCAAACAGTATTAAAAGTTTAAATTTTCGAACAAACAATAATTTCTATTAGAAGAAATCTGCTGCATATCAGCTTCTGTCTCAAATGATGTAAAATTTAATTACAACACTAAAATAAAAAGTTAAAACTAATAAATTAATACATTTATTATAAAAATTTTCATTTTATCATCTGTTTCCAATATTTTTTTTGAGAAACAAAAACAAAATAGATTTATTTTTGCATAGCAACAGTTTTTTGTTCCGACCGTAACTTTTTGTTTTTTCATCGTCTGCTCGTTTTCCAAATTTTGAAGTTCCAGTTATTTATTTTTTTTCCATCAATAATTTAAAACCTTTTGAAGAAAAGTACTCCTACCGCTTTCTGTTATTTCTTTTTCTTGAAATTCCTGAATCTGGGAATTTTAAATGAAATTCACCTGTACATTCTTGTAATTCACTTTTACTTGTATTTGCACTTTTTTTGTTACTAACTTATTTGTCATGTAAAATTGCTTTTCTATAAAATCTATCACATTAAATTGTTTTAATCATGCAAGATACCAATCATTATAACTTGTGTATTTTTTTTAGCATCCTTGTACTAGTTGATGTAAATGCCAAGAATTATCTTTTTCTTACACTTTCTTAAAATGATGAGCAACTACTGTGTTTGGCTCTCCTGTATTTCTTTATTATCTCATTTATTTTAAATATTAACAAAATATAGTATATTACTTATATGTGTTTAAACAAAAAGATTGTTTAATGTTAATTTAAATTGTGTATTAAATGATTTAAATCTTTGATTATTTTTAATGTATTCTGGTAGATCCACAGCAAATTTTAATTAATTATGGATCAAAGAATAATCGTTGCTAGTTTTTCGAATCTATGTTTTTCTTCTAAAATTTTGAATAGAATTGTCAACATTAAAAATTGATTTAATAGAATTGTCATAAATATCTGTTTTGAAAATTATGTTACATTATTTTAAATTATTATTTTATTATGTTAAATTATTTTAAACATCATTGCTGAATTCAAAGGGAAGTATTTCAAAGTCTAATTTAACTGTTCTCAAAAACGTTTTTGTGCTAAGGTAAAAGTGCAGTGGATATAAGACGAAATAAGCAAAGTTTTTGTAAATACAAAAACTTTGCCAAGCTAAAAATCTTGTGATATTCACAAAACTAATAATACCAACATTGTGTAGTTAATTATTTTTAATTCTGTGATGAAATTTCAAAAGAAACATGGTGTGGTAAACATGGTACAAGAAATTTAATCGTTATTATCAGATAAATTTATTTAGGTATAGAGAATTTTAAAAAAAATGATCTCACTTTGAAATACTTTAGTTCTAATCAACAGATTTTTAAGATCTTAAGTGTCAATTGTAATAGTTCAAGTATTCTATATAATTTGTGCAAACCATGAATTAAGTATGTTATTAGACTTGAAAGTGTACTTTCTTAAAATAAATATACCTTTTTTTTATATTCTGGAATTTTGCTCATCAAGATAATAGGAATAATGCATAAAATATAATGAAAACTTTTTTGTCAGAAGACAGGTTAAAAGTTTGTTCCTCTTATTAATAATATCACTTTTTGTGTGTTTTGCCTTCTTGTTAATTTTTTTAAAGAATCCTTTTACAGCAATTATAAAATTTGTTTAGCTAAAGTTATTTTCATGTAAAAATCAAATATTTTTTTAAATTTAATATTTGACTAGATTTAATATTTGATTTGATTAGTCAAAACAAATTGAATTGTAAGGTATACACATTTTTATATAATTTTATACTATGTAATTTTAAATTGTAAAACACAAAATTTGAGTGAAATTGATTGAAAGTGTCTGAGTTATGAAATTTCAAACTAGTCTTATTTTTAAATTTTCATTTCCTTAAAACTATTCAACTGATTTTCATCAAATTTTATATTTTTAAAATATTATCTGTAGGTTATTAAAAATCTATTGGTTATTCTTATATAAGCAAGTTTTATAATTATGTGCAAAAATTTTTCAATTACCACTTTCAAAAGTGTTAGTAATATGAGATACAGTAAGATGTGAGAAAAGTTCAAGGTCGAATGTTTTACCATTCTCCTGACTAAATTATTAGGGCTATATTTTCTAAAATGTTCGCTAACCACCCAAATTTTGATAATCGAGAGTTTGTCGAGAAAAAGGTGTGTTTATTCAGAGAAAGTCCACTTTTTTGTCTGGTTAATAAATAGTTATCCCTAATAAATTAAAGTGCTCGGGTTCAAACCTTTGAACCACTAAGATTTCTATTTACTATTTAAAAACATGAATTGTTAAAAAATAAGCATAAAAATTTTACAATTTATAGTTTTTTGTATTGATTGATATTTAAATTTATCTGAGAAAAAATTATAAAATACATTGTAAAATGTTCTTTTTTAAATTATTCAATTCATTCACTGGAGAACTTATGGAAAGTAGTTAACAAATTTTTAGTGTTTTCTTTCTAATTTGTTGTTAATTTTTCAAGTGAAAAATTTTCTGTTCATATTTTGGCATTTCTATATTATAAAGGCCTCAAAAATTTTGCCTAATATCCCTATGGATATAAAATATAACTCAATTGAATTTTTTAACTGAATTTATGAAACAAACATCTGCATCTGAATTATTTTTTAATCAATAAATTAATTTTTAATTAAATGTAAAAATGTTAGTTATTACAATTATAATATGTTTAATTGGTAAAATATATTATAAATTAAATCTTAACAATAATATGATAGTTATTTATAAAAAATATATTATAACCAAGTAAATTACAGTATAGTTGTATTATAAAATAAAAAACTTTATTGATATGATAGAGCAGAAATAAGTTAATGTTTAATTAAATTTAAAATTGCTAATTATAATATGTTATTGTACTTCATAAGTTATGTTTAATTAGTAAAATATAATAAATTAAATGTTAACAGTAAGATAATAGAATTGTGTTTTTTTATCAAAATATATTATAATCAATTAAATTACAGTAAAATTGTATTAGAAAATGATATTTTATTGATATGATAGCAATACTATTCTATTCTGATGTTACCAAGCAGAAATACTCATGTTTACGCTATTATACTGCTATAATCTAATAGTGAAAACCTATTTTTATGAAATTCATCTAAAGTAACTTGGTGTTTTTGAATAAAATTATAGACTTGATGTAAGGGTTGTTCAAATAAAACTTGAGCATTCGTGATATCTTTAGCAATATATATATAGTAGCATCACCATTTGATTATAAATTTAAGTAGTTAGTTTTATATTTTTGTTGTATTTTAAGTGTTTCTTTACTCATTTGGTTATCCTAGACATTATTTGTTTTAAAAGCAGTTACCATTTTGGTATGTATTTGGTATACATTACGTTCTTTTTCTGGCTCTAAAAATTGTTCTACTAATTATTGTTCTGTTTTGGACGCATCTATCTTTAGTAGGATTTAACATTCATATTAAATATTCTCATAACTTGTTAATTAGTTATAGGCAAATTGTTGTGCACTGATCCTACTTTCCTATAGCTAGTGACTATGGTAACTGTGGGTCCTTAGGATCAAGGACTTCTATATTTCTGGGTCTCATTTTAATAAAAGCAATTCTTTACCTCCTTATCCGTCTATTAATATTGACATTCATAATGTTTCTCTTTATTGATAGACTAAACAAAGAATTATAAAATAAGAAGACATTTGAACAATTAAGGTTCACCGAACCCCTGATCAAGTAAAAGTAAGAATAACAAAATTAGAATAACTCTTAGTATCAAATAATAAAATCTGATACTAAGAATTATCCTAATTTTCTCCTAAGCTGAATAACTGATCATCCTGATCAGTTATTCAGCAACTCCGAGGAGGAAATTAAATTTAGCATCCGTAACCCTGACTTTTGCTCAGTTTTTAGGTCAGAAATTATTGCTATTGGGAGGGCTCTTGAGTTTGCCTTTACTACTCATTATAGTAGCATTTGGATTTTGACTGACAGTAAAAATATCACCCATTAACTTAAAAATTGTTATGATAAACCTGACCAGGATTTTCTAGGACTTCTATCCGAGCTGGGTTCGAGGAAATCAGTATATCTGCAGTGGATTCCTTCGCATGTTGGAGTGTACAGTAATAAGATTGCAGATACTCTTGCTAGAAATTTTTGTGATCTTTTGATCGCCAACTCTGTTGAGATAACTCCTTTAGAAATCCACTTGCTCCACGAAAGTAATTTACTTTCAACTTGACCCCTCCCACCAGTTCATATCTGTTACGCTGCAAAGGGCCTCTCTCTGTTATGCAACGGCCCAAGGATTCTGCAATCTGTCTTGGCAAGATTCACTTGAAATTTCAGAATGGGGAAAATATTTTTTCTCCTTGCTCCTGCTCTCTTCCCACTAGTCCTACTCACCTTCTTAATTATTTAAGCTCCTCCTGGAGGCAGCTGTTGGCTGAGCAGGTGAAGATTTTTGATGTTCTTATGCGACAGGGTCTTTTAGACCTAGAGTTGGCTTTCCTACACCAGGGGAATAAGTAACAAGAGCATAGTTCAGCTATAATTTTTCCTACATAAATCTGCTGTCTAGCTATTTTTTTCTGATTATAGCTTAGCATTATAGCTTAATTTTCACAGCCCCTTCCTTAAGATTTTCAACATGTTATAGTAGGATATAAGAGGCATCACTGGTTCTGAATGGTACTGTTATCACTACCAATGCTACTTCACATGTCCAATTTTCATTTGGGCAATCCTTATATCTAACTAAATTACTTATTTGACTAAAACTTTGATTTTTTTAGGAACTAAGAAATGCTTAAATTCTAATTTTTATTTGTTTTCAAATTTTGTAGATGGTAATGAAATGGCCGTTCCAGTTATTAGGCGTAAAATTATTGATATTGGTGCAAATCTGACAGGTAATTTTATTGTTTATATGAAAACTTCTCTGTTTTAGTGTTGTTGTTTTTTAAAGATTAATTCTATATAATGGTGTACCATGATTGGATCTAAAATATTCTGCTTCTTTATTCTGATACACTTGTGCTAACTAATAAATGTGAGTTAAAAATGTGCATTTATCATTTGCAGATAGCTGTTTTTTGTCCCTATCACTCTTTTAAAATTATAAAACAAAATTTTTTCTCTTAAATTTTTAAAATTCAGTTTAGTATTTACTATTTTATAAAACCCTTAAAAAATTTTTAAAAAAATGCCTCATGCCTAATGCCAAATGCTTAAAACATTAATCTAATAATTATCTGTACAGAATTTTCTCTATTGTCTACATTTTTTCATTGTAAGTATGTCAAGTTAACCATTTTGTTTTTCTTGCACCAAACATAAACAACAAGTTTCATTTATCATTTGTACTTGGCTGTTAGTTACGTTTTTTTAACACCTTTTTTTACGTTTTTTTTAACAAGTTTAATTTTTGATTTTTTTTGTAATTATATAAAGTGATCAAATTTTTATTCACCGTTTTTCTCAGTGTATAAGTCAGCCTCCTAGTTTTGATTAAAAGTTAGCAAATTTCTGGTAGGTTAGGTGTATAAGTCGACCACCAAAAAAATGAATAAAAAAGCACAAATCTTAATCCTAAAGTTATAAATTAAAGTTTTTAAAATTATAAACTAAAGTGGCAAATATCAAATATCCTTTATAATATATATGTGTGTGTATGTATATCTATATATATTATTATTTTGCAACAATTATAAATAGGGAAAAAAAACTATTCATAAAAACTAAACAAATTCTGGATTTTAATTCAGGTGAGGACAATGCAAAAAAATAAAATAAAATAAATTTCTTGACTACTAAAGTTGTCCAATGGTTTCTGTGATTCAGAGTTCTCATGTTGCATGATATAGTTTGGGAAAAATAACACAAACTATCTTTGCAATGTAATGTTAAAGAGGATATTATTCAATTATGAAATTTACAGTTTGTGTGAATGTGTTTTGGCCTAAAGCATTATATGACTCTCATATGTGTTAGTAATTCATTTATTATGTGAATAACACTGGCGATACAGCATTAGAAACTGATCAGCTAATAATGTAATTTGTTTTAATAATAGGTTTTTTTTTCTAAAGCTATATATAGCTTTAGAAAAAAAAAACTTCATATGCATCTTTTTTTCTACTTTAAAGAGTTATTGCTGGAAACCTGGTATGCCAATTATAAAATGCACCCTAACTTTTCATTATAGCAACAAAAATTTAATGAAATTTAAAACAAACAGAAATCGGGCCAAGCAATAGCCTGAATTAGTTTGGATTTGTAAGTTTATACTATATATATGATCAATTATTAGGTTCTATGTAGAATTTTTGTTTTTTGAAATTATATGCAAGTGAATTATATGAAATTATATGCAATTATATGAAATTATATGCAAACTTCTTAACGTTTTTTTTTTTACTTTAGCTGTCGAATAAATTTTTTATAGTAGTGCTCCTTCTCGTGTTTTCTCGTAAACTCTTGAGCCGTTGCGGTTAATTTATCTTTATATTGCATTTGGTAGAATTTTCAGTCATATTTTAATATTTTTAATATCCTTTTCTATAAGGATGACAACATAATGAATTTTCTATGCTTTTATTGAGAAAAGAATAAAGAAATCTATTTACAATTTATATACAATTGGAGCAAAGCTCCGAAAAACATCTTTATCCTTCCATTTCCAAAATATAAGTGTACTTTTTAAAGGGTAACATATGTTCATGTCATGTGATCTATAAAATCCAGACCCTCTTTGTTAGAATCGGCGATGAAAGATCAACTTAAGTAAGTTTTGTAAGATGAAACTTCAGATATACGCGAAGAGTTAAGTTAAGTAGGTGAAAGAGAAATTTAATGTTCTCAGAAACCAGATAAGCTTATCTGCAGATTAGTTATAATTCTTTTTAAGTTTAGTCTCAAAAGATCCTTTTAATTTTATAAAGCTAGTATTTTATATGTTACATATATATTATGTCAATTATGTTGATACATATCATAATTATATTATTACGTCTTATATTTTAATACTTGCCAGTAGTAGAAGAAATTTATTATCTTATCTTTGGAATTTAAAAAAAGTTGATTATGATAGAGAAAACCAAATTAAACTTTGTAGTTTATAAAGTGTGAGGAGAGTATTTATTTAAAATTAATATTAAGTATTTATTTCAGATCCCATGTTCAGAGGAGTATACAATGGCACTAGAAAACATGTTGACGATTTACATGAAGTTTTGAGGAGGGCCGTTGCTAATGGAGTTGAAAAGGTTTGCATTCAGTTTCAGAAAGTAAAATTTAAGACACTTTTTTTTAGTTAATAGCAAAATGATGCTTATAAGACTTTTTTAATGACATTTAATGATCTAAAAACTTAATTAGTCACATCTAATATCACATTATTGTTTCCTTTTGCCTCAACAATGATGATACCACCTTAGCATGGTGCAGTGGATTTAGTGTGTTGCCAATCCTGAGAGCTATGCAGACAGTAGCTTAGTAACTGACTAGGTCACCTAAGCCGAACAGCTCTAGAGGAAACACCAGACAAACAGAAGCAACCTGGCGTGCCAGGTTAAGGGTTGAACGTAGGGAGCTAACAACCCTAACTCATAAAAGTCTGTTTCAAAAACTCAAAAATTATCATGTGGACTCAGTGGATAATACCAATCAGACGAATTAAGGATTTGAACTTTGGTACATGGAAGTAGTAGTAGTGCTAAAGGATGTTCAAAACTTTGATATTAAAACAGACTTCAAAATAATAAGGGTATTGAACTAGCAAGATCTGGGAATGAAGAAAATTTCAAGGAGATATGCTTTAGAGAAGGCAAGTGCCCACCCCGGACTGTCATACCAATTACGATGGTTACTATAATGTTATTTAAAACTGAAGTTTATTTTACTGACCAGCACCGAAAGAAAACTTAACTCCAAAGTAGGATAAGAGTATTAAGCATCCTCTAGAAATAAATGAGCCTATTGGTTTGAGCAAATTTTTTTTCTTTGTAATTCTGTTCTTTTTTATTTAAAATAGATGTTAATGTGGTAGCTAAAACTCTTCCCTTTCCTACCTGTATTAAAAAGTGTTATAGTTTGATTATAGAATGAGTGATAAAAGAATTGAGCCACTATTAAGTTTTATTTATTGTTGAATGTCAATATTTCACGTGTGCAATTTTTTTAGGATTTGAATCATCGTAAATCCTGTTATACTGTTAATGCTGATTGTTTACACTATTTTACTCTGTCTCTTGCAATTTTTTTAAAATTTATTTACACGCACATATTTCTTATCCTTAGATATTTATTACTGGTGGAAGTTTAGATGACTGCAGAGCAGCACTGGAAATCTCAAAATCATGTGGTATATGCTTTCTCTATCTTTTTTATGTATCATAAACTTTAATAAAATGCATTAGACTGATTGAAAATAAAGGTTTATCAGCATTCCATAAATGCATTTTCCTTATCTAAATTGATTGCTGAAAATTTTGTCAAAAAATTTCAAAACATGACTAATGAAATATTTTTATTGATCATTGATCTGCATCCAAAAGAAAATTCAGCATGAAGTCTATTTTGATGAGCAGTGAGCAAAATGAAAAAATAAACATCCTGAATTTAAGGCTTTGAGTACACAGTATTTTAAGAGTTAATAAAATATGCAAATTAATTAGTGCAGATATTTTAAATTTCAAAATCAAATACAAAAATGTACTTTCCCCAAATAAAGATACCTATTTTGTAAACTGATCTCAATAGTTTGGTCAAGAAGGTGATCAAAAATTTCGGACCCCTTAATGTTAATGTCACTTTGAGAAATATTTAATTGAAACAAATTGTTGCCTTCAATTATGAAATTCGTTTATTCAAAAATTTCTGAGCAAAAAATAATTTTCAATAATTATTTTTTATTTTTAATAATTTTTTAATTAATAGGCAAAAAAGTTTGATTTCTAAGATCTACATATAAGTTATACCATTTAAAATTACATTTCTTAATGGTCCCAAATGTTTGCACAAATACATTAGCAGTTATAAAAAAGTCTGTCTATTTATAGAATAACTAATCTCTTCTAAAATATGATTAATGAGAAAGGGGTTACTTTATTGATAACGAGCTATAAATTTAATTATTAAATGATTACTTTTTTTCTACTTATACCTGTGTCATATCTATTTTGATATGTCATGGATGATGTTTTATTTCATATAAAGTAAAATAAACTATATTTTGTGTGTTGTTCCAGATATGTTGTACAGTACTGTAGGCTGTCACCCTACTCGTTGTTTAGAATTTGAAGCTTGTGGCGATCCAGGTGGATATTTGCAACAGTTAAAACTCCTTGCACTTGAAAATCGAATAAAAGTTGTTGCTGTTGGTGAATGTGGCCTTGGTACTCATATTTTTATACTATATTTTATTTAGGTTATAAAGATTATGCTTTTTTTTAACACTTATTTAGAAGTAGAACACTAGCATTTTGTACCGCAACTTTCTTAATCACCTTTAAAGATGCATTTAATTGCAAATAAAACTAGTTCTAAATTTATTTTGGGTGTTTTATGTTATAATTTGCTTCGAAAATTCATAACCAAGTCGAGTTTAAGGCTTTTAATGACCGCTTAAGCTAGGCAATTATAATTATATCGAATAGTTTACTTTGTTTAACATCTCTATAATTTGTTATTATAATCTTAAAATTTGCTTTTGAATTTTACTTAGGGAAATATTTGTGTTAATAATTTTATGTTTTATTTGATATTTAGTTGATTTTTGCACTTTTTAAAATATTTAATAATGTTATGATATTCTTTTATGTTTAATATATTGACCACAGCTATCATGGCTGTAATAATTTTGCTTTTATCTCCAACTATTTCAGACTATGATCGGTTAGAATTTTGTCCAAAAGAAACACAACTGAGGTCAGTCTTCTAGTTAATATTTTCCTATGTGCCTTTTCATTGATAAGAAATAATTAAATTGGAATATTTTTCTTCAGGTACTTTGAATGTCAATTTGACATTGCAGAAGCTACAAGACTGCCAATGTTTCTTCATTGTCGGAATGCTTGCAGTGATTTGCTTACTATAGTTCGGCGAAATCGTGACCGTTTTACTACAGGTGTGGTGAGTAAAATCTTAAATTTTCAGTTGAAGAATATTGATTTAGCTTTATTGTATAAATTTTTAAAAAGTGGTACAGGTTCAGCATCAAATAAACTTTTGTTGAAAATAAAGATACAATAGAATTGATATGAATTAGAAAATCAATTTATGAAGATGTATATCCACCTCGCGTATCTAAAGGCAAAGTATCTGTTGAATTAAATAGTGCAATGAGAAAACATACCTATAAAATTCAAATTTGGCAATTGTTAAAAATATGAAGTTGTAGTTAAAATATATAACGATATAGTAATATAAACTTTTATTCTTAGACAAAAAAAAAATTTCCACTCTTAGAAGAAAAAAAAAGTAAGGTGTTTTTGAGGTTCACAGATGTAAAAAAAATATACCTGAGGTAAAATATGAGGTTATGTTTTGCACCCAAAATAACCTCATTTATAAACCTCAATTTCAAGCTCATTTACACCACATAAAATCCTCCTCATATATAATTCACAAATACTTGTAGTTGAGATTGGGGGGAATTATTCACATCTCAAATATACTTCTTCGCTTGAAGTGTAGAAAAAATAGCATGTATACCTCAACAATAACCTCTCTAAGCTGGTTGCTCAAGAGTAGATTTCTAACAACCTCAAGTGTGTAAAACAACTTTATACACCTTGATTATACGCCTTGAGATGCTGATCTTTTACGGTTGTTTTTGAAGTCAACTTCAAATAAACATTAAGTCAACCTTGACATCTCGGAAAAAAACTTACATTTTTGTAAGGGTAAGAGCTTTAAATATTGGAATTTTTTATTTTTTTCCAAAGAACTGTTAAATGATTTTACATAAAACTAATTTTAGTAAAATATGGATTTAGTTAACAGAGAATGTGCAACTGAAAAAAACCCTAAGAGTGAACATCCTTCCTGTATGAAATTAAAATGTGTAAAGAGTTGTAAAACACTTTGTCCAGAATGAGCAGGAAATTTGGCGAGGTAGCAAATTATTGTCAGTCATTATGATTTCTCAACTCATTTAATATAATCTTTAGAAATTAAAAAAAATATTGGAGTTGAGAAATTCATTAAAGATATCTTTTAAAGCCAAAACATTACAGTAAATTTTTACAATATTCTCAATATTTGTGTAAATGGATTAGCAGTCAAGGTAGGATTGTTTGTAAATAGAGCTGATGATTGCCACTGAAATGTGAATGGATTTAATAAATATATTCATTGATGAAAGGGTTATATAAAATATAAATTTAATTATTAATTGGTTGGAAATATATTAGGCTTACTTTTTGACATTAAACTTTAGTAAGTTCTGTTTATTATTGTTTAAAAATTTTGGAAAGCATTGCTGTGAGTTCTGCTAAAGTTTTAACAATATAAATTAAATGTTTTTTTTTTTTGTCAAGAGCATTTCAAACATAATTATTATTGATTTTAAATAACCAAATCTAAAATTGTGGGATTCAATTAAAGTCATTGAAAGATAGTTAAAAAATACATAAATAAATGAACAAATAAATAAAATAATTCATCAAAAATCAAAACCGAAATGGCTTTTAAAAGAATTAAAGAAAATATTTTATAAAACAGATGATTATATTTTATTATGTTAATTAATATGTTTTCCCTTCAAAAATCCCACCAAATTTCTACTTTCCAAAGTCTGAATGATTTGGACTCTATTCACTGGCTGTAAAATTAAGGAATTTTCTTTGATAACAAATAAGAGCATTGCCAATTAGTCATCAGATTTGTTTTGGTTTCAGAATTGTGTTGGAAAGTTTTAACCTAATATATTTGCAACTTTTTTTTATAGGTTCATTCTTTTGATGGAACAAAAGAAGATGCTAAGTCTATTCTTGATTTGGGATTGTACATAGGTATTAATGGATGGTATGATTTATTATTACTTTGCATTTTATTTAAATATTAGTTTAATTATCTAAATTTATCCTAATTTTAAGCATGAATTAGCATTAAAAACATATGTTACAACAGCTTATGTTCTTTAGTTTCTTTTTACCCTGATTTATGTAGAACCATTATTGGAAAAGAAACATTATGTTCACACTGTTACTTTGATGAAAAAACTCTATTTTTAACTTGTTTTCTTTTTTGTTTTAAAGTCTGTTTAATTTAATTCTGCTATGTACTGTTCTACAAGCAGAATAGAGAAAATATATGTGGTAACAGTAAAACGAAATCGATATTTATTTATTCTAAAAGTTTAAATAAATTAATAGTGTTTGTCAAGCAGATAAATATGCATTACATTCAACATATAAATAAATTAGGAACAAGAAAAACAGTTAAGGTTTAAGATATTTAAATCAAATTTTCATTTACTTTAGGTACTAAAGAAAAATTATCTGAGTACTGAATAAAATAAACACGAAACAATAGCAATACATTTAATATGATTTCTTAAAAATAAATTTAATTATACTTAGAGTACATGTTTCTTATATATGCTTTCTTATGTATGGCTATCATTTTATTTTATGTTTCATAAATTTATTTACAATTAAACTTTTTTATGCAATTTTTTCATTTTTATCTCTTTATTCTAAACACAATAAATTTATATATGTTAGCCATGATTCAGAGAAAGTCTATAGCTACAAGATGAAACATACAGGGGGGGAAGGTAAAAAATTGCAATTATTTTTATCTATTAAACAGATTTATCAAATTACCCATGCTCAATCTTCATAAACTCGTTCAATTAAATAAATAATGTTTAATGTTTTATTGGTATTCTACAACTTTTTTCAAAATGCAATCAATATTTTATTTACAATATAGTTTATATTCACTATGAGCTATGTCACATGACCATTTATCAGACTAGACAATATGTGTGTGTGTGTGTGTGTGTTTTGATTTGTATTTAAATAATAATTTATTCTTCCACTCTATATTTAGTTCCCTCAAGACAAGAGAGAATTTAGATGTCGTTGCTAGTCTTCCAATTGACAGGCTTATGATTGAAACAGGCTAGTAGTTTAATTTGTTTTCAAATTCTTCTTCACTTTAATTTTTTAGAAAACCAATCTAATGCAGAAATTAAATTATTATATATGTTTTTGTTTAATAGTACCCTGATGTTAGGCATGTAAATATTATTTTAAAAACAAATCTCAGAAAGTTGCAAGCACCAATTTTGTTTTATATTTTTTCGGATGCATTTTTTTCTAAATTCCTTTATAAGCAAAAGATTGCAAAATAGAATCAGTATTCTTAATTTTTTTATTGTAATTTTTAATAATAAAATAAACACATTAATTTTTGCAATGACTCCAAAATTGATCTTTTGGACTTAAGTAAAATATGATTTAAAAGTGATAAAAGTTAGGACCCTAGAAGCATTTTTTAAAGTTCTGTTTGTTTAGTTTAAAAAATTGCAATTGCAAGTTTTAAGCTTTTTTTTATTCTTCCAAAATACTACATTTCTGTTTTAATTTTAAAATTAATTGAAAATTAAATTATTTTCCTTTTTACTGTTTTAACTGTGGTGACTCCTTAATAAACTATTACAGTTTATTTTAACTTTTATCAAGACTTATCTTTTATTTCAGAAACTTTTTTTCAATAGCTTAAATTCTATATACTCTAAATGTGTTACCTTCTTTCCACCGTAATAATTATATAAATATAATTTTAAATATTCTTTTTAAAAAAATGCATTTTTAATATCTATGTGATTTATTGTGTTTCATATTAGATTTAGCTAAACTAGAGAGACATAAATGTAAATAACTAAAAAAATTTAATCACTGACTAAATTTGCATTTAAATAATAATTCCGTTTGAAATTTTCAGAATGGTCTGTAGTAACTGCCCTTAATATATATATTTTTAAAATTCTTGTCAAAAATTAGCATTTGAGCAAAAGAGAAACAATAAGCATTATCAAAATTTGTCAAATCGTTAAAGAAGGTAGAATGGAAAACTTCAAAACCAATTTGATTGTCTGATAAAACTTGGTTTTTCTTGGTTTGTAATTCACTGAGTTTTATTATTTTCAATTGTACTTTCCATAGTTGAAAATTTTACTCTTAAACATATATTTCCAATCCCTAATGCTTAGTTTTTAAGATTTCGACAACGATTTTACTAATTCGTATTAATTGCATTTATTATTAAACACCTTGTATACATTTATATTTTTTTATACATTCAGATTGAAATTATTTTGTTTGTTCTCTGCATTAGATTCCCCTTGGTGTGAAATTCGCACAACACATGCTGGTGCCAAATTAGTAAAGACTACATTTCCATGCAAGAAAAAAGAAAGATTTGAATTTGGTTTTCAAGTTAAAAGTCGAAATGAACCTGCCAACATTGTGTAAGTTTAATAAAAAATTTATTTTTTAAATTTTGATATTTTAAAATTTAATAAAAGCAAAATAATTAATGTGTATTAGTGTGATCCTAAATCTTTAAAACTCTTTTTTATTTCTTTGGAATTTTTTAACCGCCTGGTTTTTCCAAACAAAAACTAAAATTGCAATATTTCTTGATGATTTCTTTAAAAGACATTGAATTAAATAAGCTTTTTTATCATATAGGACAAGTATTAAATAAAATTCTTTAATTTTAATCTCAAATTGTCATAACTTTTTTTGTACTATCATTAAGATAAATTTGAAAGGATTTGCAACTATATTTAAATAATAAGTTTTTAGAATCTCTTAAAAAGCTTTTATAAAACATTTTAGATTAATTTTTTTTATAAAAATAATTTGTAGATTATAAAAAGTGAAGAATGTAATTTGCTATAATGTTTGATCTCTTAAAAAATTCCTTTTGTCTTAAACCTTTGTGTTGACAATACAAAATTAGATTTTGTAGAAGTTTCATTAAAGTAGTACATTGATAAATTAGCATGAACTGTTGCACAGAATGTACTATTTATTAGAAATTGTTGATATCTGTCTTCAGAATATATTTGTGTATTAAAGATCAACTGACTTTAATAATTGTGCTCTTTTTTCAGTCAAGTTTTAGAAGTAATGGCAGCTATTAGAGGAGAAGATATAAATGAATTATCTGATACACTGTATGAAAATACATGTAATGTCTTTTTCTCTGCTAGAAAGTGACTTCTTAGAAAGAAATTTATTGTTGATTGTATCTTTAGAACAGTGTTTCTCTCCTGGAGTGCCATTTAACAGTATTCTAAACTGTTTTGTGCTAATACGAAATTATTAAATTCTTGAGTATATTTTAGATGTTAAACTGTTTAATGTTTTTTTTAAAAAAGGTTGTTATTGTGAGAAAAATTGAGCTATTGCCATGTTATCAAATTGTTACTCATTACTTAAAATCTTTTGAAGCAAATTCTATATTGTAAGTTTGTAGGATACAGGGAGACACTTTTTATGTTAAGGTGCAAGCTTTTATATTTATTTTGAATTAATCATAATATAAGTTGATCAAAATTATTAAATTCTTGAGAATATTTTAGATGTTAAACTGTTTCATGTTTTTTTCCTTTTTAAAAAAAGAAAAGATGATATTGTGAGACAAATTGAGCTATTGCCATGTTATTAAATTGTTAATCATCATTTAAAATCTTTTGGAACAAACTCTATATTTTGAGTTTGTATATGGAGTTTGGACATGGAACTAGTTTGGACACTTTAAGTTAAAGTTTAAGCTTTTAATTTATTTTGAGTTAATCATAAAATAATTTGATCAAAATTATTAAATTCTTGAGTATAGTTTAGATGTTAAACTGTTTAATGTTTTATTTTTTTTAAAAAAAAAGGTTGTTATTGTGAGAAAAATTGAGCTATTGCCATGTTATCAAATTGTTAATCATCACTCTGTATTGTACGTTTGTAGGGCTAGGGAGCTAGTTTGGACACTTTTTTAAGTTAAAGTTTAAGCTTTTATCGTTATTTTGAATTAATCATAAATTAATTTGATCTTATTCTCTTTTAATAATTATTTTTGTGCACATTAATCTTGTGATATGGGGTTTATCAATTATAGAAAAGCAAATAATTAATTTGACTTAAAAAAGTACGTTCATGAATTATTGCTCTGAGCAATGTTTATCTTTTTCAACATTAGGCTTCATTAGTTTATAATTAAGAGCTCTACTTTATTTCAACAGTATAAAATAATTCTATTAAAAAAAAGTAGCTGGAAATTATTTTTGTCCTTATTTATAAGAAAAAAAACTATCTTATTAATTAAATGGAATTTGACATCTATTATATACAATAGTGGGACAAATTAATACTTAACTTTTAACTGAGAGACAAATCTTATTACTTGTTGAAACAAATCATTAAAAGAATATCAAAAGTGCCATTTTTAAAATTGTAATAAAAGTAACTGAATTTCGTAAATCATAAGCATTTTGAGTGAATAAAAATTTTAAATGAATTAAACTATTAGTGTTTTCAATATTTTTTCATGTATTAAACTATATTAAATTAAAATGCCTTAATTATAAACAAATTATTTTCTTTACAAAATCTATCTACTTTAGTAAAAAATAACCCTAATAAGTTATGAGATTCCGTAAGCTAAATCACCTTAAAAAGCTTAACATAACTATTTCACTATCGCTCACAACTTTGTGAAGTCATTCGTTCATTTAGGTCTATGATTAGTTATGAAAAGTAAATAGTATTTAAAACTGTAACAAGCGTATTAGTATATCTTCTATAATTTAAAAGAATGAGTATTAAATAGTCTGAAGTAGCAGCTGAAAAGCCATAAAAACCTTATTTTATAATTTGTTAGTTAACAATCAAGTATGTTGATGCACAACTGCATATAAAAGTGTAAAGAATATTTCTCAAAATTTTAATGATGAATATCACATTTATAATCAGCAGTCTTCTTTTTCAAATGACTTTTGATCTGAGGTCTTATAAATCTGTACTTTTTGTATGATAATGCAATGTTATTTTATAATCCAATCAACAGAATTTTTTTGTATAATTAAATCTATGATGTGTCTCAAATCATTACATTATGAAAAAAAATATTTTACTAATATTTTTCATTCTGTTGTTTGCTGTTCCAAACTATATGAATGGTGTTTTCAATATAAATGTAAACAGAAACATATCTCTTTGTAGTTGCCTACTGCAGCTTATTGTGCAAGGCGATATTTTCAAACAGATAATTTTTTTTTCAATGAAAGAAATGAATAATATAATTTCTGAGCATAAATCTGCAGCATTTTACTAAATATTAATGTTGTAAAGTAATTCTAATGAATTTAAAGTGAAAATTTGTTTTAGGCATTTATAGAGATATTGTTAAAAAGACAACATGTGGTTGCTATGTTATAAAAACTCCTTATTTAATTTAAAAGTTTTTTCTTTTTTTTAAATTGAAACATTTTGATGTTCATAAGAATTTTATTTATTAAATTAATTGAAATTTTTTTTAATATTTTGAGATTTCTATTACTCTTATCTTATTAGTATTTTCTTTTTTAAAAAAATTTCGACACCAGTATGTTTAGTTTATTTAATTTTAAAATGTTTAATTTTATATATTTCAATTTTAGCATCAAACGTTTTAAATTTGTCAGTCTGTGACCACTTTTATTGAAAATTAATATTTTTTAAATTAATATATTAATCAACACCTTTATAGAGCAAACAATGACTTATGTATTTAAAGTTACATAAGTCATTACTCAACTTTATAATTTGCATGTGTTTTATTTTTTGATTTACATCTTCAACTGTTTCATATTACACTATTTTAAGTTGTTTATACAATATTTTTTAGGAATTGTATCTTTCTTTTTTACCATTATAAATGTAATAAACACCTATTTATTTATTATTTTTTTTTTTGGAAATTAAATCAATGACTTTAATTTACAATGAATGTTTTGTTTCCTTGACTTTGTAAACTGTTTATAAACCTTTAAAGTATTTCTTGCAGATAAATTTTTAAGTCTAATATATTTGTATTTATTTGATTTTTGTTTTGACATCAATTTAAGATTTTATAAACATCTTGTTGTTTTGTTTATATTTAGACAATTACACTAGATTATTAAAATTTTGTCTAAATATATTATTTTAAAAAAATTATGAAATTATATTGCCACCAGAGAAATATTTTTTGAAGATTTATTTCAAGATAGTTTTTGTCTCATTTCATTAACAATTTTTTTTTAACAACTTACATGAATATTAGGATTTTCAGCTTATCTCAAACTCAGTGGCGCTGCAGTCCGAGGAGGGCCGAGGCGTAACATCTCAGTTCTCTCGACCTTTGGATCTCGGGTGCAGATGTTCCGGCTGAATGATTAGCCTAATGTGGAACTCTGTGTGTTTAGTCTTTACTAAACCTGAGTCTAATTACTAAAACCTGGAGCTAGGAATCCAGTCTCCAATTTCTTAGGGCCCTTGTGAGCATCTAAATAATGGAAGTAAAACTTATTTTTGTAATTTTTTTTTTTAAAGTAATTAAAAATTTTTGATTTTAAATGTTTAAAAATATTTTTTAGAAATCATTAAAAATATTTTTTATATTTTTAAAGCAAATTTTGGGAGAAAAAAATTAAAAAACTAAGTAGCTTTTGTTGCATTATTACTTTCTAAAAACTATCGACTGTTCAAAACACAATGTAGTGCTTCCCTCTATGCTGAAAATTGGGGGGGGGGGAGGAAATCTCCCTGTTGCCCGCTCTCAAATCTATTTCTATTTTTATCTATTTTCTTTTTTGCTTGTTCATTGCCGCAATACTTATTTGAAACCCCTAAAACGCAAACTTTTTTGAACAGGATTCAAATAATGTATATTAAAAATGATTGCAAAACATCCGACATAAATGAGTGATGAGTCCGTTCTATTCATTACTTTTGAATCAGAGTTTCTTTTTCAAAGAACTGGTTAGTGAAATGTAATAAAGATGTGTATAAGGAGAAACACTGCACTAAAGTATGGTTGTGTATAGACTATGCATATGTAATTTTTTTAAGGAATAAAATATGTTGACTAGTTTTTAGACAATGATTTGCTTCATTTATCATCAAAACCACAAGATTCATTTGTCTGCATTTTGTTTTTATTATATTTTAAAGATGAAAAAAAAATTAGGGATTTTTTTAGAAGCAGGATTTTTGAAAATTGTTACTCAAGTTTGTTGATAAACTTTCCTTACCTGAGAAAAAAATAACTAATTTTTTGGTAAGCATTTAAATTACAGCAATGCATTGATAAAATGGTCAATAGCCATTTTATTCAACAAGGAGTACGAAAAAAGTACGAAAACTTTCCAATAAAAAGACTGCACATCGAAAACAATGAGTTTGCAAAGTATAAATCTGTAATAAAAAAGAGAAAGAAAGACTTAATTTGAAATGTATTCTAATCAAAAATGAGCTTTCGAAATAATTATATATGAGTATTTTTTTTTAAAACTAAAAGTGATTTTTGAAAAAAATAATTACGTTTACTTAACTAAAATTTAAAATAAATTAAAACTAATTTACTGAACTTTTATTTTGTCGAATTAAAGATGTTGGAACTTAAAACTTCTTAGCGATAACCACCGAAAAAACCGATAGAAAAACTACATTAATTTAGATTTGACGCGTTAAAAAGTTAAGAGTTCAAAATTTCTGATATTTTTTATATTCCAAAAAAAAAATTATTATAGTTTTTTTTTNTTTTTTTTTTTTTTTTTTTTTTTTTTTTTTTTTTGTGTGTGTGTGTGTTCAGGTGCGGCCGTGGGCAGCATATCAAATGCAGATTTTGCACCCTACCCGCACTTCGGGGATTGCAGGGGTGTTATTTACGACATTGGTTGCATGTTTGTTAGAGCTGAAAAGATCGAAAACCCATTTTTACCCTTCTCAATTAATTTGAAACTTTGGCTTCAAATATTGTTTTATTATAAACATCACGTTAATGCAGAGCTTCGTAAGCAGTTGTGCAATATATGAGCGAAACCTTAATACATTTTTGACACCTTACAATTTATCTCCTTTTGCGACTTTAAATATTGTAAGCCGACGTTAGTTCTTTCTATTTCTGTCATCCGGCTGCTTAGCAGCATCTTGAACATATGAGGACAGAAATCTCTAGTTACCAGCAGTCTAGTTACCTGGAAGTAACCGGTCATTTTTATTATTTTTATTCTATCACTCCAACAAGTGTGTTTTGTTGATCTGAATGAATGATTATATACCATCTAAAATAACTAATTATAAAAAATGAAAAGAAATTTTGCTGATTGACGATATTAAGTTTCACCAAGCATGCAGCAGATATTTTTCATTTTAAATGTATTATAGCGTAAACAAATGCTTTGCCTGAACGAGGTAAATGCAAAAAATGAAAATTTGTCTTTATTACTATTTTATTTATGGAAAAAAAGCAACGTGTTTTTAAATGATGACGTTGCTCGTTAACGAGTTAATTAAAATTAACAAATGTTACATCTTTAAAAGAGCTTACTCAAAAATACTCAAAATCCAAGTCAGTTTTATAGTAATCATTCGGAATTCTTGACTAAAAAAAACGTTTTATTATTCATACCACGTTTAAGTAGACTTTCATAAACGGTTGTACGATATATCAGTAAAAACTTAAATGCATTTTTGACACATCTCAATTTATCTCTTTTTAGTGGCCTTGAACATCGAAGTTAGTTCTTTCCATTTCTGTCATCCGGTTGCTTAGCAACGTCTTGAACATATGAGGAAAGAAATCTCTAGTTAACAGCAGGAAATAATCGGTCACGTCGGTTTCTTTTTTATCTTATCACTTCAATTCATTAGTGTGTTTTGTAGATCTAAATGATTATATAACATCCAAAATAACTAATAAAAAAAATTTTGATAAGTGATTGACGATATCAAGTTTCGCCCAGCATCCAGCAAATATTTTTCGAACTCACTTTTCTGATTGATGTCGAGCAAAATGGTGCGAGAAGTAGATTTGCGAAGTGACACCGTCACCAAGCCTACGGCCGAGATGCGCCGCGTTATGGCTGAAGCTGTAGTGGGGGATGATGTTTACCAGGAAGACCCCACAATTAATGGTACGTTTTTTTCTTTTATTATTATTAAGACTAAATCGTCTTGAAATAGGGTCATAAGTAGTGCTAGGAATTACGAAGTTTTAATATGATATATAGTAAAGAAATATCGATATTTCACGATATATCGTTACAATTAATTTACAGTTATATTAGACAATATTTCCGTTAATCTATTGAAATGTCTTAATTGTAATGATAACATCGTAATTGCGAGGCGATATCTTATTTTAATTATAGCGATATATCATAAAAATTTTACTTTTTCATGATTAAATAATGATAATTTTAAAATTTAACTTTTTTATTAATATTATTATTTATTAATATTTCTACTTAAATGAAATTTATTTACAACTATGATAATGTATTATACAATTGTCAGTGTTGAAAATGGTTTCGATATTATGGCCTACGATATTTATTGTTGCTGACATTAGTTTCGATATAATCAAATTAGATAATTATTGTTAATTCGATCTTTATTGTAAAAGATAGTATTCAGGATATATAACGGGAGAATACTTTTTGAATATTGTTATCAAAATATTTTAAAAAATACCAATATTTGATGATATACTTGCCAAGTTATATACTGTGGGCAAAAAAATAAACGGACCACCCTGCATAACTTTTGATCTAATGATCAGATCAAATTTTAAAAATACGACTTTTCTGAAGTTTGCTTTCTTAGAAACTATTTGACAGATTTCGCAGAAATTTTGTATTTTGTCATGTAAAATTACCTTCTTTACAATGATGTAAAAAAATGTCTACCTTACAATTCAAAATTTTTTCGATTATTATTAAATAAAACAACAAATAATAATAAATATTTTTTGCATTGACCTGTGAAAACTTGAGTTTTATAATTGTGTGTAAAAATGTTTCAATTTGCTTAAATAGTTCTTGCGAAATACGAAAAAGTAAAATTAACATTAAGGGGTCCAAATTTAGGACCGTTCTCCTTCCCAAACCATATTATATTTCCCAGATTGCGGCTACATTCAGAAAAAGTATGTTTTTGTTCCCAGATCTCTTTTAACCCACGATAGGGGAGCGACACTTCCCTTGTCCTTCACCCACTGACCGTCAGGTCAGGGGTCGTTCAGATGCGGGGTCGTAACAAGACTTAAATTCGATATAACTCTTAGTTTAAAGTTCGATTTGCAATTATTAATGAGTAAATCAGTTACAGATTATTATAAACTGCTGTGTTCAATCAACACATTCAATTAAAATAATGAATACAAAATCGTACAACATTATTAGGAATCAACTTTTCGCAAAGTTACTAAATTATCCTTTTTTGGGAAAAACATTAATTTTTATACCAATCAAATATTAAACAGGAATTTAAAAAATAAAATTGTATATGAAGTTACAATGGTACCAAACCAAATAATTAAATTCAGCCCAATTGAATCGGGAACTACATCTGTGAAACCAAATCTGTGTCAATACAGTAAAATATTTAGAGATCTTTCAATTAAATAGTTTTTAATTAAAATGCAACAGTTTGTTTATCGTAAAAAACAGGAAATGATTGTAGAATTTGTGCGAAGCTAGCGGGGGCAATGCTTGCTGCAGTGCTATTATAATAAATTAACTAGCATTATAAATACTGAAAAAAAAAACATTTTAATTCTAAATAGATAAAACTTCTTTGAAAAAAACGCGCTGAAAAGCAGCAGAAATTTCAAAAAAAGTAGCAATAAAGGAAACGAAGGAAATAAAAATATGACCACCGAAGCCGACGTCTTCAGGGGGTACCGGCCCCGGTAGCTATAAAACAAAACCATTTCTATTGAGGGAGAAGCATATGCCTAAATTAACTCCCTCAGTACTCTGATGGTTTTCTATAGAAGTCCAGGAAAAAACATGAAATACAAATAACCAATTTAGAAACGAAACTCAAACAAAATCATCAGAAAATAAAAACTCATCTAACCAGGTCAAACATCGATTTCACAAGCAAGCCGAATGAAAAGGAAACACTAAAAACTAAAGAAAACAGCGCCCTCTGTTACAATACGCAGATAGAAAATAAAAAAAGTCAAGAAAAAGATACGTAACAAATAAATAGAATGTTTAACTGGGGCTGCTCAGTTAAGACTTGAATTGCGCCCTGTTAAAAGAAAAAAATATATAAAAACCTAGAAATCTTCAATCATTTTCTTAATTAAAAAATTGACATTACAAAAATTAAAGGGAAAATCATTATTATTCTAACATTATAAACTTTGTATGATAAAATATAATCTTCTTCCCGAAAATGGAGTAATGACTCTGCTAAGTGGGGTCTGCCCTTCCGTAACTCGAAGTTGTTTCAGCAGTCTCTAAGTTATGACAGATTTCTTAAATTGAGCTGCACTTACTAATTTTAAACAGATGTAAAAAAAAAAGAGAGAGAGAGAGAGAATTTAACCATACCAAAATAAAATGTAATTAAAAAGTAAATCTACACCAAACAATTTCTATTTTACATCCTCCCTTCAGAACATCTGTTTCTTTCCCATAAGACATGATAAATCTAACTTACTTTCAAATATCGAAAAATTCCTAAACTGTTTAATTTTTAGAGATTAATTAATTTTAAATAAATAATAATGTTAATTTAATTCTACTATTTTACTATTTGAAGTGCAGTTTGAAACTAATGTCAATGAAAAACAAAATAATATGTAAAAAAAAAAATTTTTTTTTTTTTTTTTTAAATTTTTTTTTTAAAGAAAGAAAACTGAAATTTTGAATATACACTTTAGGCACAGTCAACTGGAGTTACTTTGCCTAATTTTAAACTTTAAGCAGTAAAAATTGCGTGGGCTTCTCCGTCAATTGGAGAGAGTGAAATAATGTTTAGATTTCCGGAATGAATTACAATCTGTAAATCCCCCCCCCCCCGTGAATTTAGTAACTACTAAATTTCGTGCTTGAAAATTCAAGATGTCGTTTCAGCAGTTTGAACGTTCTGTTCTATTTTATCGTGTTTTCTTTTCTTCATTAAAACTGACTGATTGAGACATGAGTAAAAATCTTAGGTCTTACTAATTAACAGTTAAGATGAGTATCACATACTAGTTGGTTGTTGTTGTCGTTGACCATTAAGGCAGAGAGTGCTTTTCTTGTTTATCAGTGGCGCCATCTATCGATAAGAATTCGACTTCTGTAATACCCATACGTCACACCCGTTTATAGGGCGGACCCATTCATACACCCAACCACAGATCGTAATTTTGACCTGAACTAGAGAATGATCACCTCCAGAGGTGTAATTTGTTATGGGAACAGGGAGGACTTTGTGACCGGACAGATTTAACGTGCATCAGTTACCATTTACTACTCGGAGAATCTTCGGCCAGCTGAATTAGAACTCCTGTTCTCACGAACGGGAGTCCAGCGCCCTGCTAGCCAGGCTATCCATACTAGTTGGTCGTTTTGACTTTTAGGGTCAGTTAATGAGAGGTGGAAAAAAAATTTTCAAATTTCCATTGGATCGTGATGTTAGATTGTCAAACGTATTGAGGACATGAAAATTTAGTTGCAAAGAAGTCCACAATCATTTCCCACCAATGATTATATACAGCTCAGGTAGAAATAATGAGAAAAACTTTCCACCTATCCATGCGAACCTATTGGATTTTAATTTCGACAAATACTTAAACCACTTTACAAATTGATTAGCTCATACTAAGAAACTAATACTAAAACAGATAAAAAAAAATTATTTCTTTTTTTTGTCTCAGCTCTTGTCAACAGTACAACTAACAGCCTTGATTACAGTTGCAGAACGGGAGTACAGTGCTCTGCAACAATAATCTAGGCCATTGAGTAGCTACTGTTTGCCAACCAAATCAAACAGTGGTTGGCTACTCAATCACTGTTTGAATAGCCAACAAAAAGTTTTTTTCCTCAGAAATGGGCAATGTATCCCCAGGTGGAAGTACCTTCCTTGTTAACATACAGGGTGTACTATAAAGGCTGCCTTTCATATGTATTTTTGGAATCCTTACATAAAATTAAAGCAGAAAAATATACTTATGGGGGGAGGTATTAAATGAAGGTATAACGGAAAAACAAACAGACAAAAACGCTATCGAAATCTGACAAATTACTGTAGAGGAAGGCAGATGTAATAAATATAAACAAAAGGCATAATTAGAAGTTGAAACTTGAAAGTGTTTCGTATACTTGTCTTTCAAATACTCTCTGTTTCATCCCGCAACAAACCTGTTATGTTGTTTATTACATTGGTTTTCTGAACTGCGATTCGTCAGATTTCTAATGTGTTTTTGTTTTTTTCCGGATTGAATTTTCGTTTAAGTGCATCCTTTTTTGTTTTCATTTTTGATAAGGATTCTAATAGTGGATATATAAAAGTATAAAGGTGGTCTTTACAGAACACCTCGTATACTTTGAATAAAATTGAAAATTTTTCAAATAAATTTTTCAGCTCTGGAAGAAAGAGTGGCTAAGTTACTGGGTAAAGAAGCAGGAATCTACGTTGCATCTGGTACCATGGGCAATCTCGCTGCAAGTAAGTAGGAAAAATAAATATGTAAAAATCCCTTCAAATTTTTAACGTTTTCCTCTTTAGTCTTGGAAAGTATTTCCCAGATGTAGCTAGACACCGATATCCAGATATTCTACTGAATGCACAGAATAAGTGTTCTAGAAATTCATTCTAGCTCCATAGCCCGTTTAGGATGGTGAAATCAAGTTCCCTCGCTTCACTTTTTTTATTTTTTTTTATTTTTGCGAAAAAAAGACACGTTACGGGTCACCCATTTTCTACGTTTTTAATATTTAAATTTTAGCAACGTGTGTTTTGTGTAAAGACTTACTTGTCAAAATTTCTACATTCCCACATGTCTATAGTCACGCTCTTTCACGTACTTTCCTTTCCTTAACATTAGGTTTACGGACGTTTCTTATATACCTATCTCAATCTCTACGAACACGATATTATTTGACGCATGAACGAATACATATACATAAGAATACATATTTAATAAATTCAGATTAGTTGATTTTTATATACCACTATTTCTAAATAATTTGTAGGGTTATATACTTCGGCACTTTATATTCGCTAAATTTACTTAGTGGTTATTTACTAACATTCTGCGTTTGTTCTTTCTATTATTTGCTTATCGGCAACAGTTGTTTATCGCTTGTTTCATTTGAGATAACGATATCGGATAACGGATCGAAGTATTGTCGGTACATTCCTATTTATTATTGATGTGATGCTTGCATGTTTACTCAAACTTTTGTCTGAATTACGATCGCGTCAAATTGACGCATATCCATAGAGACAGGTATACCACAAAGAGAATTTCAATATTTCAACGCTTTTGAAGAAAATAGACTTCAATATATGCTTACCTCGATCAATGGATAAAAGTCATTACAAGAGATAAAATAAAAATTCTAACGGGTCTTGTAATTTTCTTTACAAAACTCGAAATGCGTCAAAATGACGCGTCACGTAAACCTAGTGTTAGGAGTAGAGAAACAATTAAATATTTTAATTTCCCAAATATTTTCATTGATAAATTTATATTTAGCGTGGATACTACTGTGCCCTTTGACCCAAAAAAATTTTTTAAACAAGTATTAAATATTTCTAATTATTTATTTTTTGCAGTCTAATATAAACATTCTACTATAATGGAGATATGATAAATAAGATTTATATATAAAAAAAAACATGATATGTATTGATTAAATGTTAAAAAAACAAAAACAAAATTTTTCTAATTTTTTGTCAATTTTCAGGCAAATACTATTCTCCTTAGTAATTTTTTAAAAAAAAGTATAAAATTAAAGAATGATTTTTCTATTTGATGGTGGGAAAAGAAAAGAAATAAAAATGTGGTCGAAATTGAAGATTATCTTTTTATTTAATATTATAGAGATTTCGCACTTTTACGTTAGTTTTCCGTACGCTCCCGTGCGTAAGATTGAAGTAACTGCGCATGCTCGCGTTTATTTCAGATGCTACGTATCGTTACGTAATGTTGGCGCGATCTACGCTACAAAGACAAAGCTACAAGCACGTTTGCTTATAGCTGTTAAATATTGTTTCTTGTTTAAGCATACCTTCGAATTAAAAACATGGACATGGAATGCGAACTCAGAGAAATGTATTGATGAAATTTGAAAATGAATCATGTGATCTTACAACAATTGGCTCATTCTATAAAAATTAATTTTATTGGTTTTTGTTATACATTATGGTTGTCTGATTGCACTAGCCACATAAGAAACTAGATATATTTTCGCTATTTTGAAATTGTAAATTATATTTATTTCAACTATACAATTTAGTTAAAAGAAGTTAAATAATCAATGGAAATTTAATAATATTTTTTTTAATTATACTTATTATTATTAATAATAATTTGCATTCTTTATCACTGAATTCATCAAAATCTGTAATCTACCAAATTTTTCTGCTAACAGATCCGCAGTTTTACTTCGAGCAAAGCATCTTGACTTGAATTGGGTATAATATGAAAAAAACACAACTACTTCGATTTAGTAGGAACAACATCTGACGCAATGCTAAACGAATGGAATTTAGTTGTTGTTTATTTAGTTATTGTTATTAGTAGTTGTTGTTATTTGTTTTAGTTGTTTATTTAGTTGTATTTAGTTTCAATAACTTTTCCTTATAATGCAATAAAATCTGGCGAGCAGCTATTTAAACGATCGAGCATTTCGTTTGTTTACTTGTGGGTTGAAGTTAGGCTCGCAGAAAATGCCGTTCATGGATTAAATTTAGTAGGAACAACACAACCTGTGACGTAGGCTATATTATACCCAATTGTATGCCAAAACTCTAACGAAATAGTCTACATCCATTGTAAATGTTTGTTTTGATTTTGTGGTCAAAGTTAAAATGATATTCCACTAAGTTAGCGTTTTTAACTTATGAATTTTTGCAAAATCTCTTATTTTCACTAACGGAAGTTTCATATTTTTTCGCGGGGGCATGCGTATTTCCCCGCAACTGACACATGCGTACTAGAAGAGCGCATGCGCAATTACTTACTTACGAGAGCGTATGGAAGCTAATGTAAATTTGCGAAATCTCCCTAATACTAATTCATTAAGTGGACACACACGATTCTCGCAATAATTGAGATATCTTACATGGGTAAAATTGTTCGTTTAATAATAATTAAGAAATTACCATTTAATCAACGGTTTTAACGAAATAACTTTTTGAAATTTCGTAGCACTAAACTTGCTTTTTATTGTAACTTTAAATAATAACATTTGTTTTCTATCATTTTGCGTTTGGTTATATCCAGTATTACGAGAGAAAAAGTTATCTTGATTTGTTCTTTTTTGGCAATGTTTTTTATTTCCAGTCATGGCGCACTGTTGGACAAGAGGACTAGAAATGTTAGTTGGCGATCAAACTCATATTTTCCTGTACGAACAAGGTGGTGTAGCCCAGGTATGTATAGGGAATATTACACTGGGATTTTTCAAAAACACGCACTTTTGTTTATCAACTTAAATCGTTTGTCTTTTCCTGGAATGTTCTAATAATGAGACTTAAAATTATTTTTACTATTTCTTTTTACACCAATTTTAAAAACATTTAAAAATGAAAAAAAAAATTGAAAACAATTACAAACCTATTTTTAACCTCGTTTCCTCGCATGACTAATTTGTAAATGAAAAAAGAACTACACTGAATAAAAAAAAAAACTTAAAAAAAATTCAGATTCAAAAAATTAATAAGCAAAAATAAGGTAAACAGAATTTTCTCTATTTTTTTTCTTAATTTTAGTTGTTTGTAGTTGTTAACCATTTTTTTTTTAGAAATATTGGTTTATTAGCTTAATGAACTGTTCATTTCAGTCATGGCTCATTGTTGGACAAGGGGTCAAGAAGTGGTAGTGGGTGAATTATCTCACATATTGAAGTCAGAACAAGGCGGGGTGGCTCAGGTAGGCATGTTGTGATTGCATCTAATAGTTGCGTACTACAGGGCCAATTAGAACTAATGTGAGAGTAAAATTTAAAGAGTCCTTGTTATTCACATTTGTTTAATTTGCTCAAAAATAATTGCTCTTTACTATTGTTTTGTAAATCCTACTGTACATAAAAACCAAATGATGGCGTCGCAGTTTTCCATTGTTGTTCCTGCAGTTTTTCCTCATTCATTTCCATATTGTTTCGGTTATCATAAGCATAAAATTAATAAAAGTTATGCAGTTGTTGTTTTTCGATAAATATTTTTGTATCCCTAATTGGGTATAATATAGCCTACGTCACAGGTTGTGTTGTTCCTACTAAATTTAACCCATGAACGGCATTTTCTGCGAGCCTAACTTCAAGCCACAAATAAACAAACGAAGTGTTCGATCGTTTAAATAGCTGCTCGCCAGATTTTATTGCATTATAAAGAAAAGTTATTGAAACTAAGTACAACTAAATAAACAACAACAACTAAAACAAATAACAACAACTACTAATAACAATAACTAAATAAACAACAACTAAATTCCATTCGTTTAGCATTGCGTCATATGTTGTTCCTACTAAATCGAAGTAGTTGTGTTTTTTTCATATTATACCCAATTTAAAGTTTTTTTTTCTTCCTGTAATGATATTATTACGCTTTTTATTCAAGAGTTTAAAACTAAGAGATCTGATGCTTTTTTTTTTCATTATTATTATTATTAATTCTGCGCTACATTTTAAGAGTTTTTTTAGAAATTTAGAAAAGTGATCTAATTTTATTAACCGTTTTACAATTGTTATTTTTGTGCAAATAACATTAATATACTGTTATAAATTACAGTTAAAGATATCTGTTAAATGATTTAGAACTTGACGATCAGCTTCATGCGCACTGAGATGCAAGCAATAATGGTATTTAATATATCAGCCCGTTTGGTAAGCGAAAATATTAAATGACGGTTGTGAACTTATCAAATTTGTTTGAACAATATAATGTTACAACAATATAAATGTTATTTTAAAAAATGATTGCTTAGAAAAATGACTTCTGTTCACCAATAGATCTAAATATTTATAGATAATAATATTTGAAAGTGGGAATTGGTGACACAAGCTTGAAAATATTAACTTTAAATGAAAATATTAACTTTTGTGAAAAAACTGCTTTCTGCCAAAAAGCAATAGTTATTGCGAAGCAAGCATCGGGGTTGGTAAGCGGCAGCGAAAAGGCGGCTTATTTACCTCCTGGTGCACTTATAAAAAAAGAAGTCTCCTAAAAAAACTAAGAATCTTATTTAATTATCACCTCTCATACTGTCTCATATTAGCTACCTGAGCCGTGATGGCTAAGGGGATAGAGCGTTCCCCTTCTAATGAGGTGAACCGGGTTCGAATCCCAACGATGGCTGATCGATACGAATTCCGCATCCGGCCTGCACCGACCACAATGCTGACGTGAAATACCCTCAGTGGTAAACGGATCATAGGTGAGAGTCCCCTTGGCGTTAGGCTAACCGTGGGAGGTTTTCCTCGCCGTGTAACGCAAATACTGGTTAGTTCTATCAAAAAGTCCACCACGAAGGTAAATTTCTCCCATTTCTCCTTGACCTAGGAATGAGTTTCCTTGTCCTCTGGATTGGGTTCAAAATTACAAGGATACGGAGTTGAACATCAGTAGTCGTAAATCCGGAATTGGGTCGGTTGGTCAAAGACGGTTATAAAATATAAAATACTATCTACCTGATTTTGATGGTCTGTAATTCAAGTGACGTTAAACGTGCTTTGTAGGGCTCGTAATACTCATCCATCTAAAAAAAAAAAAAAAAAANAAAAAAAAAAAAAAAAAAAAAAAAAAAAAAAAAAAAAAAAAAAAAAATGCTTAAACATATCTTTTTTTCAATTGTTATTTAAGTGTGTTTCAACAAAAAATAATTAAAAGTATTTTCTTGATGAAAAAAAAGTTAGACTTTTGAAAGAACCTATTTTAGATTTTTTCCTTCCTCAACTTTAAACATGTTCGTAATTTTCATAGCAGTTAAGTCCAAATTCTTTTCTGTATAGTGGATGCATTTTCTTTATTGAATTTAAGTATAATTTTTTGGCGCAATGAAAGTCATCTGATTTTTGTTATGAAGGAGGGATATTTATCCCAGAAAAATAAATAAAATTGTTTAGGAAAAATAGATTGATTATGTAATTCTTAATATAATGAGCGTGACCTTATTCCAAATTTATAAAATACAGAAATGAAGTTAAAGGGATCAAGAGAATCATTCTTGTTCTCTCATCAAGACTTTCTGTGAAGATAAATATTCAACAGTTGGGACGGGCCAATAATTCGAAATTAAAAGTAAGTGAATTATTCTCAACGGACAATTAGGAGAATGGGAAGAGATCCATGGTTGGCAATTTATCGAAAGATAAAATAGCCCAAAACAAAGCAATCAATATTAAATTTGAAAATAATTTGACGAAAACTAATCGCTAAAAAGCGTGAGAGAATTAACTACGTGACTGAAACATTTTTGTGGTAAGAAATGAGAATTAAAAATAGATTTTGTTTTCGATTTAGTTGTGGCAGGGAATTAATGAGTTTTACATATGTATTAAAATAAACAGTTAGCAGTTACATTAACTGTTAAGAAAAGAATAACAGGGATGAGATTCTTCCGCGGATTCGCGGATTTCCGCTTCTTTTTAGATTTTTCCATTTTTCCCGCTAATTTCTGCGGAAATTTTTTTGAACAAGTTAAAATATTTTATGAGAAATTTAATTTTCCTCGGAGCGAAAGCATTGAAGTCCTCATTCCTCCCTCTGAAGTTTCTCAAAAAATCATTTCCTTGGGATAAAACTGGTTGACCTTTATACAGAGATGAGAATTTTTCGCTTTTGCCTTTCGAATTTCAGCCTTTTTATCAAAAACTCGAATTCTCTAAAAGTTTCGTTTTTAAAAAAAAAAAATAAATATCCTGCTTTTTTTTTTGAAAATTCAATCGTTAAAATAAAATAATCATATTTATTTACGATTTTCAAAGATAAAGAAAAAATTCAAACTACATCCTAGCTGCTAACCCACCCTTCCGTATTTTTACTTATTCTAGCTATTTTCTCTTCACAGAAAATAAGATTTTCGGTATTTTTATTCGTCCGCCGGATAGCTCGTATTTTTGCAATTCAGACGTCATGACCCTGTTGTCTGGCGTGAAAGCAAACAAAAAAAAAAAATAATAATAAATAAATAAAATAATAGAGGTGGATTTGGGGTGAAAATATTTATTTGCTCATTCACTTAATCTTGTAAATTTTTATTTATTATGTCTAAACAAAAACAATACAAACAAGCCTTTTAGAAATCCCAATTCCAGTCTCTCGCGATTTTAATATCAATCATCGATTTCGTATTTACCTGATTTAAAAGTTGCGCTATGCGATTCTTATTTATGCTATTCAAACATCGCACATTATGATTCTTAGTTACGAGATTTAAAAATCCAATATCGCATTTTGCATTTATGCATTTTTAAAATCGCTATTTTATTATCAAACATCGATTTTCGTATTTGCCTGATTTAAAAGTTGAACGTTGCGAGTCTTATTCAGGCGATTTAAATATCGTACATTGCGATTCTTATTTACGAGATTTAAAAATCCAATATAGCGATTTGTATTTACGCCCTTTTAAAACCCTATGTAGCGATTCGTATTCACGATTTTCGTATTTGCTTGATTTAAAAGTTGAACGTTGCGAGTCTTATTCAAACGATTTAAATATCGGACATTGCGATTCTTATTTACGAGATTTAAAAATCCAATATAGCGATTTGTATTTACGCTCTTTTAAAACCCTATGTAGTGATTCGTATTCACGTGAGCTTAAAATCCTATGTCGTGACTCGTTTTTGCGGTTGTAATATCAAACATCGATTTTCGTATTTATACGAAATCCAATCCAATAAAGTAATTTGTATTTACGCTTTTTAAAACCCTATGTAGCGATTGGTATTCATGTGAGCTTAGGATTCTATGTCGTGATACGTTTTTGCGGTTGTAAAATCAAACATCGATTTTCGTACTTAAACGTGATTTAAAAATTAGACATTGTGATTTGTATTTGCGCGGTTTGAAAATTATGCATCGTGATTCGTATTTACGTGCTCTAAAAATTACGCATCATGATTTGTATTTCTGCATACTTTAAAATTCTATATAGAGTTTCATATTCACGTGATTTAAAAGCCTCATATCGGGATTCATATTGTCTCAATTTAAAAATAAGGCATGTGATTAATATTTNATATATATATATATATTCTTGGATTTCCTCTTTTTTACTTTCTGACTACTCTCATCCCTGGAATAAATATTTAAATTAGCTTTTTTATGATATGTAATAAAAATTAAAATTCTATTAAGAATGATTGAAAAAAAATAATTTAAGAAACTTTAAAAGCAAGGATATACGTAATTTCTATCATTGCACCAAACTAATGAATAATGAATAGAAGCAAAAATTATCTTTCCGAAAAAGTTGCAGTTTTCGACTTTACATTATTTTTTATACCATGCATATTAGCCATGATTGGTCCGATATCTGATGTCCAAATAATAATTAGTATTTAACAGAAAAAACAAATAGAACTAAATTTTACTTGCAGAATGTGACGTAATTACCTTTTGCAATGCATGTTTTTAGAACTTTTATCAAAAGTGATGTGTAAAAAAAATGAATGCATTGTGTGTCGCACATTAATATCCAAGAGTGTAAAAAAAAAACGCTATGAAATTCAAAAAATTACTAAAAATAAATACAAAAGTGATGAGAAACGTTTTTTATTTAATAAGTTTCCATCTTTATTGGCTCAATTGTCCTGGATGGGTCCTGGCTTGAACCAGACACCTCTGTTTTTGGCAAAAGTATTCCAATTTATAACATTGACAGAGTTAGGGTCTTTTTCAACGCAATCAATCCATCTCAGAAAGGGGTCTGTCCCGAGGTTTGGAACCCGCAGGCTTTGCCAGAAATATTTTCTTACATCAATATCTTATTGCTTTGTGACAAGGTGGCCAGCACATTTGAGTCTCTATTGTTTTATGAATATTAAGGCATCAGGTAGTGTTGCACCAAATCTTACGAGAACGAGTTAGTGCTTTTTCCGTATGAATACAAGTAAATCCTAACAAAACTGATTTTCTTCTCATAATTTTAATTCGAAAATCAAAATCGTTTTTTATGCATTTCTTTTTCACAACCTGGATTCACAAATTGTTGTTATTTCTTTTTATTATCTTTCACAACCATGTATCATTTTTTACCTTTTCAGCTTGGCGGTGTCAATGTCAGCACCCTGAAAAATCTAGATGATGGAACGTTTTCATTGGAGGAATTGAAAGAAAAGTTCAGACCAGCAAACCCAGATATCCATGAGCCATCCACAGGAGTGGTTTGCCTTGAGAATACAAATAATCGATGCGGTGGAAGAGTCTTACCACAGTCATTCATTCAACAGGTATAAATTACAGATTTCCTAGATACGAGATTTTCAAAAGTTTGTAAAAGGAAAATAGTTAAAGTTAAAAATAAAAATTATTGCAACAAGTTATTCTTACAGAGGATAATTCCCATCCCCCAAAATTTCTAGTTTTAATTCAAAAAATGTGCGACAGTTGGAGACCGTTTTCCCCGCTGCATTTAGATGCATGTAAAAATCCTCTTCCAATTACAATGTGCCATCTTGGCTGTTGATGGAAATTCCGAAAATAAAGTAATCGCGATCGCAACACTCTAATACTCCCTCTGGGGAGAAAATCGGTTTCATGTCGTGACCCTCTCCCATCCCTCTTCTCAGTTGTATAGGAATATATTACGATATTTTCCCCTTTCTTAATATTTTTCGTATTTCCTTGTCAAAAATATACAGTTTTTAAATTTCCAGGTCGTTTAATTTTAGAACTATGTTTAATGTAGTTTTAATCTATTTAAAAGTGAAGAAAGAAACTAACGTACTTCCTTCTGCTATGACACTCCACCTGCTAATGTTGAAAGCATGCGAAGTGTTGCCATAGGTAGAGAGTTCTGCTCTACGCCACCTGTTGCCCATTTCGATCGCCAAATGTGATTTTTATTCATTGAAAGATTTTGAAAATTCGTGAAGGCATTTTTAATTTTCAGGCTGCTTATCTTTGGATGGTTGACCGTGTAAAGTTAAGCACAGAGGACGCTAGTGGTTAAAATTCGTTCTAAGACTTCCGGGTTACTACTTTCAATTGATTTTTACGCCTGAGTTTGAAAATGCACGCCATCCAATATTATTATACTTCTGCATTCTTTCTATTTAAATTTCAACGAGACAAACAACAAATGAATTTGGAATATTCCACAAGCATGCTATGATTCTACTCAAAAAATAACAATCAGTGCACTAATATAGCCAAATAAGGGATAACATTCAAAACATGGCAAACCTTACACTTTATTTGTGTCATGATATTAATTTTCTTAACTTTGTTTTAGTTTCACGACCCGTTAGAATTTATAAATTACAGAAAACTCTTATGAATGGTAAAATTACGAGTAAATGTAAACCACAATAATAAAACTTCCTGGAATATTAAGCCTACGCCTACATAATACACTACATATTAAGCCAACATAATACACATCGCCTCTAAGCATAACATAAGCGGAGGAATAAATCGCAAGTTTTCTAAATTTCTTCTGGTTTTAAGAAGCTTGTTATTGTTTACATTCAGTCAACCATCCATTCCAGGTTTAATTTTTGCTGTGCCATCTGATGAAAAATTTTGAAATAAAAATAGGAGTTTTGCAGGGAAAAAAATTATTGCCTTTCACTTGAAGTTGCCACTAGAAATTGTTTTGACCATTTTCATGCTAAAAAATTTTTTTTTTTTGTTGAAAATTTTTAAATTCTGTCTTATAGAATATGTTTTATTTAGAATTTCATGGCCAATGTACGCACAATGATTTGTTTTCATTCACGAAATATTTCATTTCCATCCAGGTCTGTGACATATCCCGTGATCGTGGTGTGCCTGTTCATATGGATGGCGCTCGTTTATTAAATGCTGCTGTCCACTCTGGGATACCCCCGCATGAAATAGTTAAAGATTGCGCATCTGTATCTATGTGTCTTTCTAAGGTAAATAATTAATTGTACAGTGTACAAAAGGAGAAACAAAACTACCGAATAAGTTTCGATCTGGTGATCGAATTTTCAATTACTACTATGTAATCTTAATCGCTTATGTGTCAATTTTTTAACAGCGCCCCTGGTGAAACTAATGCGATAATGTTTTACAGATTATAGTTACGCCCGATTACATTATCTGAATTTATAAAAAAAAAATATCAAAAAAGTACGTTTTGTTTTTCTGCATTTATTATTCATTTCTATAAGTATAATACTGTTATCGGTAAGTGCATCTTTAGATAGTATTCTACTTCTTTCTCTCCCAATAATATTTCGATTTTGTATAGATATAGAGCAATGTGCTTATTTTACAGAAACCTCATGGCGAATATCAAAACAATTTTGTTAAATAATATTTATGCAGTTTGAATCCTTTACATTATGTGCAATGTGCCGAAAAAAAAAAGAAAAAAGAAAACCGGACCACCCTGAATAACTTTTGATCTAATGATCGGATCTTCGCGTTCTAGAATTCAATCTTAATGGTTCGAAGGGAAGACTTCAAATATGCTAATAAATAAACGCAGACGATATTTAAAGTCATGAAATCAGATACACAAACGTACTTTCTCTGAATAAACATACCTTTTTTTTGACGGATTCGAATTTCTGACCCTCAAAATATAGAGAAGTAGCCGCAATCTGAGAAATATGGTCCCAATAGTTTGGTCTGGAAAGAGCTGTAAGTTTGGATCCTTTAACGTTAATTTTACTTTTTGCGTATTTTGCTATATCTCCAGAACTTTCTAGGCGAATTTTACAAAAAAATGCGCACATAATTATCCATAATTATCATTTATCCGAAGATAATTCCACGCAAAAAATATTTTTCAATAAATATTTATTATTTTATGGTCAAAAAAATGTTGAATTGAAAGGTATAAAATTTTTTGCATCATTTTAAAGAATATAACTTTACAAGGCACAATACAAAAATTTGAGCAAAATCAGGGAAATAGTTCTTGAGAAATCGAATTTTGAAAATCAGAATTTTTTGAAATTCATATTCTCAAGAACTATTTCCCTGGTTTTGCTCAAATTTTCGTATTGTGCCTTGTATTCTTTAAAATGATGCAAAAAATTGTATACCTTGCGATTCAAAATTTTTTCCACCATTCGTAAGTAAATAAAATAAAAAATAATCAATATTTACTAAAAGTAATTTTTTGCGTGGAATTATCTTTGAAAAATGAATTTTATTATTGCGGATAAATTTTTTTTAATTTGCTTAGAAAATTTTAGAGATATAGCGAAATACGCAAAAAGTAAACTTAACATTAAGGGGTTCGAACTTTGGACCACACTCTTGACTATTTGTCGGGATCATATTTTCCAGATTGCGGCTAACCCCTTTTATTTTGGGATTTAGATATCCGAATTTGTTGAACAAAAGGTATATTCGAAGAAAGTACGTTTTGTGAATGATTTAGTAACTTAAAATATCGTCTGCATTTGTTAATTAGCATATTTGAGGTCACCTCCTCGAACTATTAAGATTGAGTCCTAGAATGTGAAGATCCGATAGTTAGATCAAAAGTTATTCAGGGAGGTCCTTTTTTTCATTTGCCCATTGTATATATATGCTGGATTGTTGTAATTAAAGTTACTCTCTACCTGGTAACTTTAATTAGAACACCCTGCAAATATGCCCATATAGTGTCCGTTCTGGTATGAGGATGACGATAAGACTTGATTCATGTGCTAAATGAACCACCAAGAAATGAAATCTACAATTACAAAGTTCACATTTCGACCAAAGGGTGGCATTGCATGGATGGAAAAAGACTTTATTATTCGGACTCTCTGTACCAAAATTGTTCTGAAACATGATAATTACAAACGAAAGAGCTGATTGAAGATGAGATCGCAAATTAGAATGTATTATAATTGGACATGAACTGAAAGCAAGAATATAACTGGTCACATTGCTGCTCTATATCAAGAAATCCTTCACGTTAAGGATGAATTTTCTTATAACACATTTTGGACACATAGATCATCGCCCACTTAGCAAGTCAAAACATTTTTTACGCCCCCTTACGGAAAAAAACCCAATAAAAATAAATGAATAATAAATAGAACATTTCTTGCTTAATTTTAAATCTTTTGATTTTTTTAAAAATATTTTAACATACACCTCTACAGTTATGACTCTACCTTTAAGTTATTGAAAATATATCTAAAGACAAATGTATTTACATTACAAACGTTTTTTGTACCAATTTTGAAAAAACTTGTACGTAAAATTAAGTGTCTGCAAATAAGTAAATTAAATTTATCACTTTACTGTTGAAATTGGACAAATCTTTCTAGAGCTCTCCTAAAACTTTCCATCACCCACTAGGGAGAGGGTGTATGCCCACGTTGGGAACTTTATGGTCTTAACAGCATAATTTTAATTATATCAAACCTATACACCTGATTTATTTATTATTCAGTGTTTAGTTACGGTGTTTGTTTTTGATACAGGGTATTGGAGCCCCAGTTGGATCTGTTGTTGTTGGTTCTAAGGAATTCATCGTTAGGTACGTATTATGATACGGCTATATACACAATAAAAGCAGTTCTTGTTTGTTATTCAGACTGTATAGTTAATTATGTCACTGTAATGTCAAGCACTATTTTTTACCCCTTAGGGTGCGCAGATGTCGTAAGGTTTTGGGCGGAGCCATGAGACAAGCTGGTATTCTAGCTGCGGCAGCTCTAGTTGGGTTAGATTCCGCTATGGAAAGATTAAGCGTTGACCACAAGAGAGCGAAAAAACTAGCACATGGTAAGAAAAATTTATTATTCTGTTTTTCAACAAAAATATCTTTTTTTGAAAATCTAATATCAAAACTATCAAAATACATTAATTTTTACATTTAGTTTTTGTATCAAATTTTCTGGCCATCTCAACAGTTTCAAGCTGCAGATGCCAAGATATATCAAGCATATGAAATCAACTCTGCGGTGATAACGTGGCCTTAGAAATGTTGATGGTTGTACAAAAGACCCATTCAATGATAAAAAACTTGACTGCTCTCTATTTTCCCCGCCAGAGGTTGAACAAGAGGCAACTTTAAAATTAATCTTTATTTTTTGCTGCAGAATGAAAATGTCGTTAAATTTTTTAAATTTGAAATTATATTTGTAATAGCTTCTAACATACTTGTAAATGCTTACAATATTTAAGATCATTTTTCTGACAAGCCATTTACGATAAGACTGTTTGAAGCACGTTATGATACCCTGGTCCATCGGCTGCAACTTTGCTGTTGTGTTTGGCGGGAGAAACTGCAAGTTTACTGCTTTCAAATTAGGTAGATCACTATGCGCTGTGCATTTATCCATAAAGAGTATCTCTTTTTTTAGCGAAGAATTTCCGATCCAATTTTCTTACATAGTCTTCAAATAAAACTGACGTCATCTAAAACTTTTTGTTAGACTTGTAATCCAAAGGATACGTTTTTACTTGAAACATCGGGGATTTCGGTATTTTCCGATAACAAGTAAGGGCATTTCCTCCAACTAGGACAGTCAAACGGTCCTTGCTCATTTCACCCCCTGAGCAGTTTTCATCCTTAACATAGTCTTATTTGGAAGACATGTAAAAAATAAGCCCATTTCATCAATATTGAAAACATCATTTTATCTGTATCCTTGAAGTAAATTTGGTAACGTTTCATTTAACCACTGTTCACATACTTCAAGAGGGACAGCTTTAGCTCCTCCATGAAGATTGCGAAAGACATTGTGTGTGTGTTGCAAAGGAAGGGGCAAGGGGAAGGGGCTCTTAGTTTTTTTTTTCTTGCTTTAAAAGATCCCAAAAAAATCGAGTTAAAGGGAGTAAAATGCGAGTAATCGAGAATAATTAACATGAAATTGAAGATAAAAGGGTCGGGACCTCATAAAAAAATCGAGTTATAGTAATATTCGAGTTATCGTACTTCGAGTTATAGCGAATTGACTGTATATCGAAAAATGCATGTCAGATCACAAAAAGAAGCTGTGATATCTGTTGTGTTACCAATATATTTTAAAAAGTTTGAATTGTACTCGTTCCTCGTTCATTCGCATTCACACACTCTTTGAATATGTGGAATTCATCATCACCAGTTCGTCGGCCCCTTTGATCAGCACCTTTGAGCGAAATCGATAGATTTAGGTTTTAGTCATTGCACGCTTCGCGTATAGCGCTATTAAATTAAAAAGGCTGGCTACAAATCACGTTCTGGCAAAAGTAAGGCTGCTTGTTAAGTGAGTTTGCAGGCACAGAAATATAGGCTTATGTATTATGTATATAGTATATCAAGACTTTCGACGTGATCAGCATCTACACCTACGCATTTCCTCTGAACCAAGATGCTGTAAGCAACAGTTAAAATTTTACTTTTTTCTTTTTTGGCTCTTAAGGCAAGACGTTCCAATGTGACATATCATGCCTTCAAAATGAAAAGACGCCAAGCATTGCTTTGGATTCCCCTGGAATTGTATCATGTTTTTTTCTTGCATATCAGAGCCCATGAGTTCCGTGAAAAACAACGCTTTTTCACTCGTTGAAGTTTGCCACTTATCTTCTTGGACTGACGATGTCTGTCCCGCGATTAATCATGACTCATTGTGAGATTCTATATGGTGCTCCACCACTCTCTCCCAGAATAACGATGAGTGTTGACTCAAGACAAGATCTCAGCTTAAATCCTTAAACGTTAGTATATCAAACTGAGTGACAGTTACCTCTTAATTTTTATAACTACAAGCTGTATTTATCTTCGCAGGTAGTATTCATTTTTTTCCTTCAAATTTTTGAGCGATGGTTAAGAGACACTAATGAAAAAAAAAATGATTGCCGCATAGAGTAAATTGCACCCGATATTCGACATTTCCTTGTGTAATAACACCCTATCTAACGACCCCCAAACTTCATAACTCCGTGCTGCCGAGGTAAATTTCTAGGGTTGATCTACAATAAAAAAATAAATATTTCTATTTAAGATTTTGAAGTACACCAGCAGATTCTGATGTCAAGGGATTCAATTTGGTATCATTGAATGCAGCTTTTGAAAATATTCAAACCTTTGATCTGTTGTGCATAACTCGTGATTATTTTAGACACTTTGTGTAATATGTAGTTATAATGTAATTGTAATGTTTATTTATTACAGAAATACACAACTTGAAAAGTGATCTTTTAACAGTGGACCCTGAAGTTGTGGAATCAAATATGCTGTTATTGAATTTCCCTTCTCCTCGTCTGACATCAGCACAATTTGTAGAAAAAATGGCGCAGGTAATATATATATATATATATCAAAGTTAGGTTACAATACCGTTTGATTAATTCATTTATTAAATTTTTAATTTGATTATGTGATGTTGTCTGTGTTTGACACATCACTTGCTCTTTGTTATTAAACTCTTCATTATTAAACTCTTCATTATTAAACTCTCCATTCAATTCAACTATATTGGCATGGGAAGGCTCTACGGTTATCTCCATTTAACACAGCGGAAAATCTTTAAGTACCGTGGAGTTCCCTTATGCCGAGCAAACTTTCGTAGAACTACTTTAATATTTACAGAAATGGTCAGGCAACTTTACGAATTAGCTCTATAAAATTCACTGAATAATAAAAACAAATAAAAACAGTTCTTTCTTTTTGCTTTATTTTAAGACCTTAATTTTTACGAACACATTTTGAATCATCCCAAAAAGTGATAAATTTAATGAAGAATTTTATTTTAATTAGTCGAAATAGATGAAATTATTTCAATCTGATAACGTTATTTCGAAGTTGTTTTTCTTTAATAATCGTTTCTTTATTATGTTTTTATTAGAAGAGTTCTTCCTGATTTTTTTTTCCAGAAGTAAAATATATATATATATATAAAGCCACAAAATTTTTTTTACAAAAAAATGAGACTTTTAACCTTCAGCTTATGTCATAATACCTCGAAGCGAATATTCATCAATAAATCTTTGTGAGTGAGGGAGAAATCTTCAAAGAAAAAAGTAATTAACAGAAAATCAGCACTGACAGTATTTATTCATTTTAAAAAAAATGTTTCTTCTTTAAATTAAAGCGAAGTTTTAAAAGAGTCCATCAAAGTAACACACTAGGTGTGGCCGGGATAGCTTGTAGGCATGGCGCTGGTCCTGCCAACCGGGAATTCTTGGCCATAGATGGAGCCACAGGAAAACAAGAACAATTATTACCCTACCCTTTACCTTAATCAAAGAATATATAAGTGTAAGAATATATATATGTAGAATATATATACTCACATTATATATTCTTTGACTTAATGGCCTATGGCAATTACCCACTAGGTTTAAAATGGTTAGTTGATCTAGTGGACTCAAGATATAGAAAAATTAAATAATCTAGTGAACAATTTATACATTAATTAATAAATATATATTATTGAATAATATTAGTAATTGAAGGGCGAGTGAACAATATGTATTATTGAAAGTATATGTACATTTCCCACTCACAATATATGTTATGAACAATATATATTTTAGTGAACAATATATTGAATAATATTATCGATTGAAGGTTAAGTTGATCTAGTAATAGTTGATTCGAGGCAAAAAGGATTAATTAAATCTGTAATAAAGTAAATTAATCTAGAAAATACTAGATGTAAATTATTAATTATTCTAGTAATTTAAAGGTATAAAAGAGTTACTTAATCTAATGAATTCAAGCTATAAAATAGCTAATTAATTTAATTAACACTATAAATAAAAGGGTTAGAAAACCTCCTAGAAAAGAGCAGGCCTCAGCACGGGTTACCATAAATATCCTTTAGTAGTCCAAACGTAATGACATATTTCGTATTTTCAACCACTGCGCAGCTTAGTACCCCGAACGTAATGACATCTTTCTTATTTTTCATCTACTGCGCAGTTAACTTCGTCACATCGGACTACTAAATTGATCTGTGCTGAGGCCTTCCTACTTCTAGGAGGTGTTGGTTAGTTTATGTAGTTACACTATGAATAAAGGGAACATAAAAATTTAGTGAACGCTTGAATTCAGTAATTGATATTTGCTAATTTTCTTAATCTTTATAGATTAACCCAGGAGACAAAGAGAAAGTTATTGTAAGATGTGGTACGTGGTTCAGAAATAGAGTTCGATGGGTTCTACATTCAGATTTAACTCAAGAAGATTTGGATTTAGCACTCCAGAAAATACGCAGCATTCTCGTCTAATTGTGCCATTAATAAAGAATTTGTTTTCTTTTGATCGTTATCTTCTCCTAGGAAAATGACTTTAATCCACTGTAAATGATTTAAAATAGCTTTTTTTCCCCATTTTTTTAAAATTTTATTTTAGTTTATTTCACAAATAAGGAAGCGCGTGCAAAAATATTTTTATTCATAAATTTATTCATATTTTATGAATAAAAATATTTTATTCATAAATATTTTGTAAAAAAAAAAAAAAAAAAAAAAAAAAAAATTTTTTTTTTTTTAAAAATGAACAAAAATTAAAAAATTTCAAAAATAAATTTTCCGTTTAAAGATAAATAAATAAATAGAAAAAAGCAGATATTTTTTTAGTCACTATATGCATTGATTTTTAAAGGTAAAATGTTCATTAATTTACTTAAATCGATCTTTTCTTAAATTAAATCGTACTATATTTGAAGATTTGAGAAGGATTTTTTTTTTGTTACCAAATCATTTAAGACTCTATCTCTTCTGCTAAGTGCATATTACTCGAAATTAAAAAGCGAATGTATTAATAACTTTTAGTCGAATGACTGTATTTTTCGCGTACTTAGATGCAATCTTAATTATTCAAGGAACAAACCTTAAAAGTATTCTATATTATAAGTTCCAACATTTTTACGAAAGTCTTAAGTTTTTTATTTTTGGAGCAGTGTTGGCCTTTACGATTTTTTAACATAATTACAGACATATAGTTTCAATTTAAAAAAATATAATAACAAAATTTCATTTAGTTATTTATTATGATCCTTATTATGCTGATATAATTTTTCAATTAAAAAAATTAGAATTTCTTAAAAATGAATATACACGTGAAAGATTTTAAATGTTTTACATTTATTAATAATGTCAGAGAACAGGCATTTTTATTCTTTTATACATTTTTAAATTTTTATGCTAATTTTTAGTGTTTTCACAAGTGAAATGAATGAGTTTAAAATATGTTTCTGTTAAAACATAAATTTCAAAGTATTTAGTGTGTTGAGCAGGGCTGTGGTATCTCAAGGGATTGAGCACTTGCCTCCCAATAAGGTGAATCAGGTTCGAATCTCAGCTATGCCTGGTTGATGCGAATTCTGCTCCCATTTCGTGCCGATCACAGTACTGACGCAAAATATTCTCAGCTGTAGATGAAAGGTTGGAAATAATAATGATAGGTTGGATTCCTCTTACTGTCGAACTAACCTTGGGAGGTTTTCTTTATTTTCCTCTCCATGTAAAGCAAATGTGGGTTAGTTCCATCAAAAAGTTCTCCACGAATTATAGTTTGCTCAAAATTACAAGACTACGGAGTTGAACATTGATAGTCGTAAACTCAGAATTGGGTCTGTTGTTTAACGCTGGTAATTAAATAATAAAATATAATGTGTTGAGCGTTAAATGAAAAATTCTACATTATAGCCTCATCATTATCAGAAAGCATCTTAATTTTTTTATGTTTCTCTTGCCTCGCATTATCTTTGTTTTTTCTGTAAAGTTTATATTTTTCAAAAAAAGAAAAGCTTTGCTTATAAAATGCATACTTATTATAATTGTATGTAGGAATATGTTGTTGATATAATTAATCGTAAAAAATGAACGCGATAATTTGGATTTGAAGAATTAAATTAAACTTAGGAACACAGAATAGTGTCACACAATAAGAAGTTATAAATTCGAGGTAATTTTACTGGTTAACAATATGTAACGATAACCTTATATATTATAAAAAATGGAAATGTGATAAGAGTAACTTCATAATATAATGATAATCATGCATTAATTTAGAAAAGATTTTTTGTTGAGTCTTTTATATTTTTAAAAATTAGGAAATAAATAAAGTGAAAGAAGCAGAAAGCACATTTGCAGAAGTTTACAAGGTAAATAATATAAAATGGTTGCATCAATGCAGGCATGCTTAATGCAATAGAATTGTTTTTGTTTTCGCTTTAGTTTTAATATAAATACTCCATATTGGTTTCGAGTATTCTGACATGATTTTTATTACAAATTAGGTGGAGGTAAATAAAATGAGGCAAATGATTACTAGAGCCTCGTCTTCCAAGTTATCTATAATCAAGTATTTTAGCTATATTTTTCATCTTATCTGGATTATAGAAACTCTGAATATGTTACTAACCTGGTTTGTCAACTGAGCTCTTCAAATGTTTACACTTTACAATTATATGTGGTATCTAATTTCCCCCCCTTTTTTATTTTATTCAATCAAGTCAAACTCGAGCCTTAAAAATATAAATCTTAAGAAGGAGAAATTATATTTTTCAACGAGAATGGATAAATAATTATTATTTGCAGTCTAAAAAAAAAAAAATTAAAAAAATACTTCCGTAAAAAGCCATTTAAATTTACAATAATTTTCGAAAAAAATTGAAATTTAAAAATAAAACTTTCATTAAGTTCTTATCGAAAATGGCCCTCTCAGCATGTCAAATTTGAACTCTGTAGTTGAATTTCAGTGGACAATAGATCTGTAGATCGACACACATGGTATTTTCTACAACAGTAAATAATTCTTGAACTAACAATCTAATATTCATTTTTTTTCTCATGTCGTACTTCTTGACACTTTTATAAACACTTTCGTAGTTACAAGTTCTTAAGTCTCAATCAATATTTTCTTACAAATTAAAATTTTAGAAAAAGTTAGTGCTAAGTAAATTAACAAAAACGTCAAATTTCAAGTGTGTAATTGCCTTCTTGCCACCTGCAGTGAGGCAAGTATGGTACTTTTTGCTACAAATTCAACAGTTAATAATTCTCCAACTAATAATAAAAATCTTACTTTTTTTTTAATTCCTTCGTACTCTCTGTACATTTTTCTACGTACCTACCATAGTTTTAAATTTCTAAGTTTTATAGTTTCTGAGTAGTAAAACAAAATTATATACTAAGTTAAACAATCGAAACGGTAGCGGTCCTTTTCGATTTTTCAATATGGAGACATAGATAATATTTTTGGAACCAATTCATATTTACAAATGCTTTGTTAAATAATCCAATTATTTGATGTTTAATAATTAACAATAAAAAAAAAGTAATAAAATAAATTTTTTTTAAAAGTCAATTCCTACTTAGGTCAACAAAGAGAAATTTCATTTTAGTTTTTATTAAATAATTAAAAAAAATTTTCCCTAATAAAAATAAAATTAATTAATTAAATTTTTTAATGAATAAATCTTTGATAACATCAAATGTCATCCATTATAAGTTTAAAAAAAAAATGAATTTGAACTTGAATGGATGAATAAAAAATATTTTATTAACGACTATTAAGTAGGAATTGAAAAAAAAAGACGCCTGGTATCAGACAACTATAAAAGTATAAATTTGGTGACGTGGCCCACACGTGCTACCACGTAACGTTATCTGACATAGTGATTATAAAATAAATATTTAAATGTGCTCAATAAACTATTTATTTGTTCAAATAGAGCTATAATTTTGAAATTATTATTCATGTTATTTTTAAAATATGGGAATAACTGAATCGCTTATAGCAAAATTTAAAACAATGATTAACGCTTAACCAATCAGAAATTTCCTCTTGTTTTCTGCTCATCCATATTTAATGGGTTCTTCCCAACTTCGTCTGTTTGGTCACGTGGTGTTGTAATGCCCGACCGACTACGTCCATTGCTTACAATGCAGACGCATAATTTAAACTGAATTTTACTTTGTTGTTCCTTTAAAAAAAATTTCTTTTTGCATAAACTTTTCACTTTATTTTGTAAATAGATATTTGCAAAGAAATTTTTTTTCCTATTTCGTAATAACTAAGCTTTTATTTCTTATTATTCTATAACCGTCTTGTATCTTTCACATTTGTGTTTACTTTTATCCTTTATTAAAAACACTTTAATATCTTNTGTCCAATGTTTCGTTCACCCTGACATCTGTTTGGTACAGTGATTGATCTTTCCATCTTTATGTCTTTGTTTGAGTATACGCAAGCAAAGGAGAGGATACAAGCATCTATATTCATTGTCTACGAAGTACTTCGATTGGTTTAAATAAATTATCAAACTGAGCATGCGCGTTATTAAAATTCTGCCAAGCAAAAATGCTAAAAGCGCCATTCTAGTAAACCTGACAAAACGATTAAGCGATAACGATGAAAACGATGATGTAATCGACCAATCAAATGCCTCTATTTATTAAAAAGGCGGTCAGCCAAGCAACAGCCAATTTCAAAACGGCCTCACTTTTAACTGAGAATTTTTCCCATAAAAGCTAGAAGCATGGTAATATTATTTCAAAGAGCTTCAGAAGTAGTTATCGTCACCCATTTTAATATCATAAACAAACTATGGCTCTAAGGATTTCCTCTCAAAAAACTTTATTCTCAGGTTATTTTATTTGCACAATTTCAAATAATTTTCAATGATTTGTTTAGCTAATTGATAATATTATGTTTAAATCCGAAATTTGTCTTTCTAAAGCTCTCACTATCATTATACTATGTTTCAGCTTAATGACCTTTATTCTTAGTTTTTTTAACCTCTTATTCTATAATAGATTACTTAATAAATCGTTCAATGATAAGAATTATTTTTATAAAATAAGTTTATATTATTTTTTTTTAAAAAAGTGTTTTAATTGATGATTATTCTAAGGTTAAATAACATTTTATTTATTGATTATTTCAACTGCGTGATTTAACTTTACATTTCTGTTTTAAATGATAATATTATGGAATTAAAATAACTATTCTTATGAGTGTCATTAGTATTAGGGATTTATAATGCTCAAAAGAAATTGTTTCTTCTTGTATTATTTATCTGCATTTTTAAAGCTTTTTTTTTGTATAATATAAAAAGCCATTGTTAGTGAAACTGTTCAATATTGTGGTTGTTAAACACTAAATTTAGATTTATTTCTAAAGCCTCAGTAACGATGTTGAAAATACTGGGTAAATGCTATAACTTTTTGGGGGAAATTTCTATTTACCCGTGGCACCAGTATCTTATACCCGTACTTTTTATATACCCGTGGCACCAGCAGCAGTGGCAGAAAAATCACCAAATCTTGTCAGCAGCCTTCCAGAAACTAAAAAAAAAAAAAAAAGCATCACAGAAGGGGGCTCCAACTCAAAAGATACAACTCGTAGACACCACCAGGCAAATATTTTTCTTAAAAAACATTTTCAAGTTCAAAACCTATTTGGCACTTTGGCGATAATAGTTGGCGCAACAGATCAGGATACGAAAATGTCCCAACTTTTTGTATTAAATAATTTGATTTTATAGCAAAACCACCTGTTTTATCTTTTTAATATATATGTAATAATTATTCCTTAAAAACAAAACGCATCCATGATATCACATATGCATATTATGACACGTCAAATATCCCAGAAAATGTAGAGAGGACGAAAAAAAAGAAGTTATAATGCATTCTTTTGGAGGTGTAATTTTCATTGTAAATCAATTGAAAAATATTTTTGCATAATGAAAGTAGTATTTTTTTCCATTGAAATTGAGTAACTAAAACTTATTGCAAAATTATCTATTAATTGATTATATTTCATTATAGAACACAGTCCTTTCATATAATTTGTTTTTATTCCTAATTAGTGCTAAAAAGGATATTTCATTTTTAAATTATTTAATATACTAGTGACATTATACAAACATAATAGATTTGGTTTGTTATATATTAAAAATATAATCTATATATTTCTTCTAAATTGTTTATGGTTTAGAAATTGATCTTAGTGGCATTTTTTAAATGACACAAAATTAAATTTTTTTTATCTCATTCATACAACCTATCCTATAAAACGTTTCATCCAAACACCTCAGTAAAATTTTAACTAACTTTTTACAGGGCAGAAATTTTATTCTTTATCTTCTTTTTATCATTTATATATTTAGAATACATAAACAATAAAGAGACAAAATAAATTGTTGCATTGTTGACTTATATGATATAAGGAATAATTTTAAATTTAATGTAAAAAAGTTTATTACATAGAAATCTAATGTTTTTAAAAACATTTAAATACTATTTTTAATCAAATGAAAAGAATTGAAAGAATTTATAGTAATGTTTATTTCTTTAAAAAACAAATAGATAAACTCTTCCAAAATTTGACAAAAAACATTGCACATCCAACTAATATAATTAAATTCTATGTAAAATCATTGAGTCAATTATATGATATAATCATTAATGAATTTATTAAAAATTTCTTTGTTAACTGAATCTATATTTTTACCATGTGCAAATCCAATTCTTCTAATATTTAACAAAGAATTTTTTTTTCACTAAAATTTTTTTAAAAATGTTAATAATTTTGATCTTAAAAGTGTACATATCACATGAAATAAGTGTAAAATAATTTTTTTTTCCTAATCTAATTTTATAAAAATAAATAACAAAAGATTGGTAAGATAATTCCTTATTTTACTCTTATCACTACTGTGTATTTTTTAATGTTCCAATAATTTTTTATTTTTTTGTAAAGAAAGAAAGAAAAAAAATTATTAAAATTTAATTTTTTTTTTAAATATAAAATTCCGAAATTTTGCTCAGTTGAGCTCTCCGGTTTTTTTTCTGTATATAAATCATCTGTAATAAAGTTATGATATATAATGATATAATTCAATAATGTTATTAGTAATTATGATTTTAATATATACTTATTGGGTAACAGCGCATATTGAAAATCGAATACATTTATCAGTTTTCTAAGTTTTTAATAGTTAGAATTGCTTTAACTGGTTATATGTCAAATTAGTTTTATAATTACAATTTAGGAGATTGCTTACATCATGTCACGACCCAATGACTTGTCACTTGCTCATAAACATGTATAGAAATACATATTTAATAATTCTTAATATTAACTATAATATGGAAATAATATATATTCCTATCAGCTATAAATAACAAACCACTATATTTGTAAATATATAAACATGGGTTAATGGTATTTACCAGGTTTTCCCATGGTTTTTACCAGTAAAAACCTAACCCTATTAAGCCTACAACATACATAAACTTTGAGCCACATTAAATGATAAAAAAGGATCCAAGCTGCATATGAAAATAACTTTATATCACTGATATTAAAAAAGCAAATATTGTATATAAGATTCTGATTTTTTATATCTTAAGAAGATAAAGAGTGAAAATAAGTTTTAATTTTATGTAAATTCTGGTTTACCACCAGTTTTATTTTGTTGAGGAAAAAGATTTTTACTTTATAAAGATTTTAGCTAATGTGTATGGCACTAATGGATTTAGGTTAGCTTACTTACCTGCCATAATTTATTTGTGTGTAATAAGTTTTATGATTACAATAAGTTAATGGTGGTTTGTTGTGTTTTATAAATCTAATTATAACTTCTTCTAATTTTAATATTTTTTGTTGTTGTACAGTTCAGTCACTTGCTCGATTTGGAAGAGGTATTTCAACTTCTGGAAGATGTTTAAACTACAGTAAGTATTAATAAAAATCTACTTATTTTTTAAAAAAAAATTTAATCTTGCATTTATTTAGAAATTGTAGACTAGGAATATAATAGATATCTGGTTAACATACTGCATTCAGCATATCCTGCAGATATACCGAATTATCACCAATAACTAGATATAGCGATTATTATGTAGCCGATAAATTTGTAACATGAAACTATTAATTAAAAGCATTTAATTTATTTTTATTAATATTTGAAAAATAAAAATATCACTTGATTAAAAACGAATAAAAAATCAAACACTTGTGTAATTTTCTGATGAAAGAAAAAACATCAACTGTTCAACCTTCCTTCGTAAAATTCATTTGTCCTTCTTTCCAAATTGATGTAGAAAAGAGAGTAGTATCAATAGATTGGCCAGTATGAAAATGTATATTTTTTTTATTAATTCTGATTAAGTTCAAAAATAAGAGTATGAATCTAAAAAAAAAGGATCAGTAAAAAATTCACCTGTAATTTTTCTTAAAAAAATATACATTTATATTCTTATACTAATTGAAATCATATTAATGTTCTGAAAAATAATGAAATTAACTATCAATTTAAAAATATTGTGTGCTGATTATTAAATTTAAAAAAAGAATGTAATTAAAAAAAGAAATCTATATATATAATTCTTGTATTAATAATATAATACATAAAATTATATTATATAAATATTATAATATATATATAAATTCTGACTGGATACCCAGTATCTGGTTGAATCAGTGTCAGTTGTATCATCACTGCTGATTGCAAATTATTTCTTTCTTTATATAAGAAATAGTACTTTTTATTGCACAATAGGTATTTTATATATAATGCAAAGCATTCACTGTCTTTTAATAAAGTTTATACAAACCTAAAAAATTTGATACCAAAAGACAACCCTATACAATTTTTAAATAATTTTTCATTTTTATTGCAGAAATAATAAGTGATGAAGATCCCGCAATGGACTTCAAAAGCTTAACAGATCGTGCTGCTCAGTGGGCATTTGTTAATGAATTAATCAGAGGTACCTTTTTATTTATTGAAAACATGTTTTGCAATTTATTTTCTACTATTGCTGCATTTTAATATAAATATTGTTCTGATTTCTAAACTTATAAATCTTTGGATCATGAAATATTATATGATTCAAAAATGTTTATTTAGTTCAAAATTCTCAATATATATCCTAAAAGTTTACTGAGAAAAAAAAATTCTAACCCAGGTATTTTCATTAAGTAAAAAAGGAAAAAAATGCCTTAAGTTGTTTTTCGAAGCTTCAGCTGTATTATGAAATGATGTTTATTTTCGAATAATATGCTATTTTTATAAATGCTTTGAGCTTACAGCTGTTACTCATGACTGTTAGATCTAGTTTAGCCTATCTATACACCTGGGCTACCCACATGAATGTTTGCTAGTATGTTGTTTTCAAAACTCTTAAAATAGTTCCATCTCTATGAACTTATTTTCAATTCTTAATGCTATATTGTTTATCATTGCAAAGAAAAAAGTGAAGCATGGATGATCCACAAAGCAGATAATCCACTCATGGATAATCGGGAGCGTACTGTATTCATATTAAAGTAAAAATGTGCTGTTTCCTACTTTATATTTAAGAAAGCTAGATCGCTCATAACTTCAGACTGATTCAATTTATTGCTTTTATTTATGCTGTAATAGTGAAATAATCAACACTATAGATAACAAAGATTAAGGAATATTGTTTTAGAAATATCTACTACCCTGGGACCATCTATGTGGAATTGCAAATCATTTTTTTTTTTTTTTGAAAGTAAAAATAAATTTTCTGTTCATATTAAAAGAAAATTTATTTTTCAAACAGATATGAAATCAAAGTTCATCTTTACAAACAGATGTAGTACATTAATCTTTGTACTCATTATATGTACCTAAAAACATAGATTATTTGACTGGATATCAAAAATAGTTCCATTAAAAGACATTTTTGATCACGAGATTTCAAATGTTTTTATATGTGTATTTGTGAAGGTGCGTAATATTTGTTTTAAACATTCCTATTTATGAAATTTATTTAATTTTCTGATCTAACTAAATTCTATTAAAACTAAGTTTTTTGATGTTAGATGTATCTTGATGATTTAGTGCAAGCATAAAAATTATTAAAATTTTTGTTGAATTCGATAATTTTTATTGAAAACAATTACCTCTGTTGTAGAAGATGAAAATTCAGGCTTAGCAATGTAAATTTAATTTATAAATAAAATTAATGCTTATAATTCAAATGCAAGATAGATGTTGACATTGATTGATTAGTGATAAATTGAAGATAAATACTAATAAAAAGATGTGACAAGTAATAATAATAACCAACTTTTTGATCTTGAAATATCAATGAGCATCATATATTGATAAAAGAATGCTTTATAAAAATAATAATAATTATATATTTTTTTAATTACAAATTTAAAAGTACCGAAAAGAAAGTGCAATTGAAGGAGGTGGGCTCCCAACTGTATACATTCTCATCGTTTCATATGATTAAGTATGGTGGTATAATTAAAATATTCCTATTAATGAAAAGAAAAAAGTTTTTGTTTTATGTTATAGGTATTGATAGAAATCGGCATTTTAAGAAAAGGCATTCATCTAAGTGTTAATGTATCTGGGTATCTATATTATATTATGGTACTGAATCAGTAAATATAAACAATGTATACTATTTTCAAGTTTTCAGCCCAAGACGCAGCAGGTTTTCATAAAAAAATATTTTAAAATGATAGATTGTCTGAATGATTATGCAAACTTATTTGGAGTTATACATTTAACCTATAAATAACTAACTTTAATTTAAAAATTTCCTACTTAAAATTTTAAGAAATTTTTGTTAAAATATTAACTCTGAAGATTAATAAAAATCAACTCATGAAAATCTGGAATACCATGATTGGGCGTTTTAACATGGGCTGTTATGGAGTATCTGACCCTTCTCCTGTGATTTTTTGATTGTTGATGTAAAATTTGAGGGGATTATTATTAACACAGTTATTGTTTGCTTTGGTTTAGGGTTAGGAATCACTGCAGCTCACATCTTCAAAGAACCAGCTACTATTAATTACCCTTTTGAAAAAGGTCCCCTTAGTCCTCGTTTCAGAGGAGAGCATGCTTTGCGTAGATATCCATCTGGGGAAGAAAGATGCATTGCTTGTAAATTATGTGAAGCAATATGTCCCGCACAGGTAAGTTTTACTGCTGACTCTATTGAGTATTTCTTATTTTCTTATTTATAAAGTAATTCATTTCTTCTGTAACCAATTGTTGGCCAATGTTGCAATGGCAGTAAATGCTTCATAATTTAGAGGCCAATGGTATGATGGCAGCAGTGTGGTCAGCATTCTGTACTGCAACCAGTCTGGTACAGTGTAACCTCCAGGAGAGACCATCTCTATGAAGCAACCACTTTTGGGAGGTACAGAATTTTTTCCATAGACTTTCTATTAAAGAAAACCTTTAGGAGAGACCATCAAAACCTCCACATGTGACCGGGCAAACCTCAGCACCAAATACAGAAATGGTCAAATAAGGAAATACGAAAAAATATCAAAATATAAAAATAATTACGAAACAAATAAATAGATTCCAATGTATTGAAAATATTTGTGAGGGGCTCTTATTTAGAAACCCTTTTTGAGGATCTCTAAAAAGGATTGATAGCCTCATATTATAGTCAGAGTGCGCTAAAGACGATGCTTTTAGAGTTGAAAGTTAAATTAGAAAAAAAAAAAGTTATTTTAGAAAAAATTAGACAAACTTCTTTGAACTAAACTAACTAGTTTCTAGAGTATAAATTTAAATGAAAACTTAAACAAAAAAAAAACATCATTGTTTATTTATTTAAAATAGCTTTATCATTCATAATTGGTAGATTTGTTTTTACACATAATTATATCAGTTGGGATTATTTTTGTAGACTCTAAATTTCATTCATCAATCTATCTGTTCAATCTATCTGTTCATCTGTTCAGAAGTGGCATATCCGCAACAACAAAAAATGGCACTTGCTAATATTAAAAATGTTTTCGAAAAATCACGTACCTTCGATAAAAATGTCGAATTTAATGGAGGTAATCTTTATGAATGACCAACCTCCATCAGCGACCATTTTACTGTGGCACAGAGAGTGGTAAATTCCGAGAGGTTTCACTGTACTTATCAATCTTAATCTGGGTAGCCTTTAATCAGCTACCAGAGATAGAACTCAGCATATACACCATGAAACTGAGTGCTTTAACTACTGTGTCATTATGGCTGGTTACTTAATGCAAATGATAGTATGAATCTTTTATTATTATTTTTTTATATATAAATATATACATTGATCCTTTAGGGGTATTTCTTGATAGTAAATATTTTTAGCTAGGGTGCTTCAGTTTAAAGGCAGCTTTTTAACTTTAGGGTCCATAAATGAAATGTAGCATCATTTGTACTAAATGTAATAAACTTATTTTATTATTTAAATCTATGTGATTAAAAGATAATAATTCCTTAATGCACATGAAATTTATGGATGGGAAAAATAGTATTCTAAGATATTTCTCAACTTTTTTTGTCTTCCAGCAAATTTATTAAAATCATAAAATAAAACTTTTATCTCACTAGATCCATTGACATTTTTTGAATTAGTAAAATACACTGCTAACAATTTTATTTAAAAGAGATCAATCTCTGTTTTATTTATTCTGTTTCAACACTGTTTTTGGTGAGATTAATTCTTCAGTTTCAGAAACTCTATCATGACTTTGTCCTTAAAAGGAACAAACGCAATCTTGCTCAAAATCTTATTTAATTTTTTTCCTCTAAATTCTATTTATTTATTTCATTTTGCATTGGGTTTATGCAGCAGATTTAATTGCTGAAGTTTATTTATTATCAATTGCAAATATTAGCTTTTTTGTTAGAGGTATTGGGACCCTATGCTCTTAATGCCTAGCTGTCTCTCTGGTTTTTGTTCCTTTATTTCGAAAAGTTTTTAACTGAAATCTTCAAACAAAACCACAGACTGGAAGCTGAATTGCTATGAATGATTGATTTTGAGAATTTTGAATATAATGCTGTTTAGTTTTTGTTATTTTGTTTCCATAAATGCTAATTTCATCTATTTGTTTTAGTTCTGAGTATTTCATTTGTGAAATTTAATTGGTATTAATTATTATAAAATTTTTAAAGAGTTATCGTGCATTTTTTATGTGAAACAATAAGTAGGTATATTTATCTTTTATGTGTTTTGCCTTTTACATGTTTTCTGTTTATGTGTTATAATTAATCTATTTGTTAACAGATTAATTATAACTTAAATAACTTGGAAGGTATGGATTTGAGCTACTAATCACTTTTATTTTGAAGTTTTTTTATACATATTTATCTCAATTCTAATATGGTAATGAAACATAGGAATTTTTTCAATTTTATGAAGAAGTCATTGGAGCTTCGTGTGCAAAAATATAAACATAATAATTGCCATAATAATATGCCATGTTGAAATTTAAATTTTCTAATGATTGGGATTGTTTTTGTGTATGTATAATGGCAATTTTAAGGTTTTCTTGTTTTTGAAAGTATTTAATGTAAAAATGTTAAAAATTAAATTTTAAGTGCAAACTATTTTTATTCTTTTCTATGTGATTTTCTATGCATTTATATGCTTATTTCTTAGTTTCTGTTGGAAACTTTTCTTCATTTTCTGTTTCTTTCCTAGTTTAATGCGGTTCATTAATCAAATTAGAGAATAAATAATATATTGAAATTAATAAATTAACTTATTCACTGTTTGTTAATTTAGGTATTAATTCTCTTATTGTTAGGAATCATATTTGGCTACAATGTATAAAAAATTTTATGAGTGATTTTGAAAAGAGCAAAACATTTAAAACTCATTTTTTAAATTTTCATGTCTTCTACCACATTTGTTTCTTAATTCTTGTTTGATCATCTAGTTTAAACTTAATCCTACTCATTTATTGGTCAGCCTTTTTCTAACTTATTTCTTCTACAGCTCTATATTTCCCTTTTTCATTTCATGTTTAGACACTGATGAAGGTTCTTCATTACAGAATTGAAATTATAGTATGTTTTTTTTGTGGTATTATTTGTGAATTTTATCAGATTAACTTTATTTGTAAATAAATGAGTTCCTTAAATTTTTATTTTAACATTAAATTAACCATTCAGCCTCTTATGAGAAGTTTTATCTTTTTATACCCTTTTTAACTACAAATAATAATATTGGTTTTAGGCTATAACTATTGAAGCTGAGGAACGTGAGGATGGAAGCAGAAGGACAACTCGTTATGATATAGATATGACTAAGTGTATTTACTGTGGCTTTTGTCAGGAAGCCTGCCCTGTTGATGCTATTGTTGAAGTGAGAAATTGATTTGTTATTCAGATAAATTATTTATGATTAATATTAATTAATTAATTGAAATATTCATAGTTGCCAACTCTACTGGATTTTCTAGTAGACTACTGGATTTTGTCAGTTTCTCCTGGTCTACTGGTTTAGTTAAAATTCTGGTTTTTGTACATTTTAGAAAATTCCCTAAACTTGAGTAAGTTTCCTAAAAAAATCCCTATTGAAATAGAATTTTGCTCAGATTATTGCTTGCTTGCTTGAATATTTAAATAAGCAATACTAATACATAAGGAAGTAAACCTCATTTATAGAAATCAGTTCAAAACTTTTTTTTTGTTCTAAAATGTTCTGTTTATTTTTATTCATAACTCTCTTTTTAAATTAAATAAAATATTCTTTTAACTATCTATAAAATAAATGCCTATTAATATTCGAAATTATGAGTAAACATAATACATATCATTTCAAGTCTGTTTAATGTCTATCATAACTGGAAAATATTGCAAATTTTTTATTTTGATGACTATAAAAATCCCTAAAATTCAATTATGTGCAAAATATTTGGTACATTATGGTTACGAGTTAGCTTGGGTAAAGCTTATGGACACTTATCCCCAATTGTGGAAATAAACTGAGCCGCTTCTCATCTCGTTCCCGTCAGCATATTTAGTGGAGAGAGGATTTAGTTCTGTCTTCCAGCTGCTCACAAAGCAAAGAGATATGTTGGACATTTACTTCAAAGGAGACCCGCGTTTAAATCTGAGGAGCATAAAACCTGACATTCAAGCTTTAACTTGAAATACACCAAGCACAGGGCAGTCATTGAAGTGGTAAAAATGTACTTTCTCAATCTTCATTTTTTTCTCAAATTTTAGTTGCATTACAAAACAAAATTTGTAGAACATTACAAAATTTAGTTTAACTTTTTCTTGATTACATTAAAATATGAATTTAAAAAAATGTACTTTTGTTTTGATTATTCCGTTTTAAATATAATTTCTTTTTGGAAAAAAAAGATTCACAATATTTTTTTAATTAATAAAAATGACAGGATAAGTGTGCCTCCTTGTTTGCATTACAATTTAAATTAAAATCAAATAACATTGCATATTTTCAGTGTTTGGTTGCTCACAAGCAACACTGAATGGTTTTTTGAACAAAAAGAGAAAGGGGCGATATGTGTCAGCCAACCCCAAGAGAGGGGCGATGGTCCACAAAAGGTTGGGAACCACTGGTCTAGGAAAATTGTAATTTTTTGGAAAAAAAACTATATAAATTTCTATATCATACCTGGAAAATAACCAGTTTTAGAATTGTCAATAGCAGTAATCAAGTATTGAGTCAGGGAGAACAGGGAAAACCTGGAATTGTCAGGGAATTTTATTTTCACTCTAAAAAGCAGGGAATAGTCAGGGAAAATTGTAATTTTTTTCAAAAAACTTAAAAAATTCCTATATGGAAAATAACCAGTTTTAGAATTGTCAGTAACAATTATCAGTTATTGAGATTCAATTTAAATGATTCTAATATCTACTACAATTATTTTATAAAACTTGAATTTTTAGTGAAACTTTTCCATGTTTCCATTCTCATTCTATTATATATTTTTGCTCTCAAAATCTAATATTTGACATTATAATTTAAAAGAATCAAAGTTTTCTGATGAAAAATTGCATGGTATAGGTAAGATATAGTATGGATTTTCATTGAAATTTACCTGATACACCTGGAAAAGTTTGGGAATTTATTTTATGAAACTGAGTGGGAACCTTGTCTAAAACCTCCTAAAATTTTTTAATAACTTATAAATATTTTAATTATTAGTATTTTTTAATTATTAATATTTTATAGTAAAAATTAAATTATTAACATATTTAATATGCTTTGAAGTGACGTCCAACTGCTGTAATACATTTCTGCACTCAACATTAAAACTTTTTTTAACAAGTTTTAAAGTCATCGTTAAGAATTATCTTATCTTGCGACAAACAGTAAAAAAGCAATGATGTCAGTACTGTAGATTATTCTGACAGAGAACTTTTAAATTTATCTTTGCAACATTTACAGCCTGGTACAGAAGTGCATTGCTACAGATGGCTGTTACTTTGAAACATAATAAATGGGTGTGAAATTCGTATAATATTTTCAGGAGTTATTAGATCACTTCTGAAAATGAATGACTGAATTTTGTGTACTAAAAAGAGTAATGCATGCCTTTACCGTGGAGTTAATTAAGAAGCCTGTTTTAATGACTATTGAACATTAGATTTGGTATCCAGGTGATTTGTTGTTAAAATTTGTGAATATATAATTATTAATCAATTGAGCTTATATTGATTGTTATTAAAAATTAATTATATATATTGATGTGACAAACAACAGAGGTGCACATCACCACCCAACAATGGCCAAGCACCTAGTCCCATTTTTAAGGCTCTATCTTTTAACGGTCATGGTAGGAATACCAGGTAATTTTGACCCTGGCCAGATGATATGGACAGAATCTTGGCTGGTACTTTTCTCTCCAATCAGAAGAAACAAAAGGACTTTCAGTCGCAACAGATTTAACATGCACTTTATTGCATATACACACCAATTGTTTTGTCAACCTCCAGGATCAAACTCACTACCCCCAGTTCTCCGATCAGAGATAAGCGACATCTTAAACAACTGTGCCACCGGAGCTCTTGGGAGGCACAGGATAAATCATAGGAAGAGGATAAAACATGGTGTAAGAGTAGTATACCTTAAAATAATTCACTCATTGAAATAATAGGGTGCAAGCATCAGCCAATTCAGAGAAAAAAGTTTTTGTAAATTAAGCTTAGTTTATATACTATTTATCTCTCATAGAGTTCCTGAGTATCTCTCGCATACTGTTTATATAGCCAATCACATGCAGGTCTAAACGTTATTGCTTATTGTAGCCACTCTGAAAAGATTATGATTCAATTCTATAGAATGGTTGTCTCCTTTTCTTAAATTTAATTTTTTAAAATTATTATTTACAAATAATAATTAATAAATTAAAAATTTAATTTTATTTATTAAAATTTTTATTAATTATTGGTAGTCATGATTAGCCCCTTTTATTTATTTATTTATTTTATTTTTTCTCATATGTTTCAATATAAAATTTTGATTTATTTATTTCGATATACTACTTATTAAAAGTGTTAACATGAAGATTATTTTTTTAGCATTTTTAAATGATATATTTTTTACCCTTTACTGTCTGAAAGTATTTCAAGTTCATTTCCCAGTAAGTCCAAGTAATTTTTCATGCAAAGAGGGACTGTAGACTCAGCATTTTTGTTTTAGTGAAAATTTTGGAACATATCATTATTAATCAATTGAACTAATTATAATTAATTGATATAAAAATTATATAATTAATGAAGTAATTATATAATTAATTATATATTGTTGTATAATGCAATGTATGTTGAATTAATTATATAATGTATTATATAATTAATTCAATTAATTATATCATATAGTTAAATCTATATAAAGTTATAATTATTGTAAATAGTAAATATGGGTAATAATAGTGCAGTAAGATGATACAAACTATAAAATGATTTTTAGCCATATACATGGCATATTGGACCTAGTAAACCACTGTTTAAGCCATATTGGTCTGTTAAGAATTAGTTGCATGTTCCTCTATAAAATTATATTAATTTAGAATATCTATACTAAGAATAATTTTAAAATAAAAAATCTAATTTTTTCCTCTACTATTTTTTCTAGGGGCCTAATTTTGAGTATTCTACGGAGACTCACGAAGAGCTGTTATACAATAAAGAGAAGCTATTAAATAATGGGGATAAATGGGAACCAGAAATAGCTGCCAATATTGAAGCTGATCATTTGTATCGATAATCAATAATAGTGTTTAGATTGAAAATGTTGTAGACATAAATTATAAAAATGTCACATTGTTTTAAATTTGTTATAGTTATAATTTATGTGAAAATAAAAATGACAAAAACTCTACATTATATATTTATGGTATGTTTTATTTGGTTTTGCATTTCTTATTATGTATTTGCATTTTTAAAAATAAATTCAGCCAAAAATATTTTTTAAACATTTACTTAATATTTTTAATGGGATCCAACATGCATTGAATTTTAAACAGTATGACAGCATATTGTATATATGCAGGTATGTGAACACTGTTTTAAATTTCGCTCCAGCGCCAGTTTTTGTAAGGAATTTCTTTTTTTTTTTAATCATATAAAACAAAGATAAAATTATCGAAATACTGAATCACCATAAGAAATTGATTAAAAAATAGATTACCTAATAATTGTTTGAGAAAAAAAAATATTAATTCTTTTATTAAGGTCATATGTACTATAGCAGTAATTTATAGTCAGGTAATTGGAAATAGTCAAGTAATTGGAACAGGTAAAAATCGATTAAATTTTTACCTTATCATAGCTAAGTCAGGTAACTTAACAGAAGGATATATAATTTACACATATGTGTAACGGATTTATGATAGACCTCTTATCATGCTAATTACAGTTTCAAAGCTCCTAGCTCTTTTTGCCTATTAAAATTTTCAATTTGCTATTCAAATGTTTGAAATTTAGCATTGTTGAAGCTTTGTTTTACAATGAAAAGTTTTTATCTGTTTAAGTTCTATAAACTGAGGTTATTTTGCCCAGTGGTTTGAAGTAGCGTGCTACAAGTAGTGAACTGTCCCTTTTTTGTCGTACTTTGTAATGTAGTGTGCTACTTCTTTAAAAAAAAGTAGTGTAGTGAAAAGTGCGATACAAACAAAAATTTTATCAATTTTTGAAAATTACTTTTAAAGTTAGTTCAGAAAAGGAACAAGGTTTGTACAGTCATGAAACCTTGATGTTATTTCAATGGAAGAGTGCATATTTTATCTGTAATTTTCCATATTCTTTATTTCTTTGAGGAAGTAAAAAAGCATTAAACACTTGCATTGCAAATATTTAATATTTTTCTAGCATTTCTTAAATTAAATATTTGCTGCAAAGCCGGATCTAGGCACGCGTTTGCAGCCCAAAACACTTTCCTCTAAATCAGTGATTTTGTAGTTGGTACCTTTTTTGAACTTTTTTTTAGAAATTATGACAGAAATGTCTGATAAAAATATAGTTAAGACAGTTTTTTAAAAGGTTTCATGAAGTATCCTTTATTTATATATTATATTTGTTTCATATAATTAAAGTAAAATGGTAACGAAAAAATATTAAGACTATAATAAGTGGTTTCTATAACCAACCATTACAATAATTTAGTTTCTAAAAAAAAGTAGTATCATTAAAAGTGACAATATTAGAAAATTTTTTCATTGAAAAATTATCTTTATTTTAAGAATATAAAAAAAACAATAAGAATATTATGTACAGCAAAATTAAAGCTTGTTTAATTAAGAAGCATGCACATTCTTATAATGTATTTTCATAAAGATACAAAAAGCCCTCTTTTCCCCAAATATTCCAATGATTTATGTTTCTCTTTTTCCTTACAAACAACTTTTAAAACTAACTAGATTGAAAAAGTTTTTATTTTATTTTATAGAAACTTGTTATGCAGGTTGGTCTAAATTCATATAGTTCGAATACAGAGTCGGATTCCTAAGAAATCGAATTTTAAAAAAGTTTTATATTTGAAATTTGCTTTCTCAGGAACTATTCAATCAATTTCGCTAAAATTTTTATTTTTTCCATGTTAAATTACCTGTTTTTTAAAACAGTGTAAAATATGCCTACCTTACAATTCAAATTTTTTCTGACTATTATTAAATAAAATAATAAATATTTACTTAAAGTTATTTTTAGACAATTTACACAATTATAAACGACCTTGATAATTGTGTGCAAATTTTTTTCAAATAGCTTGAAAAGCTCTCGAATTATTTCTCAGATAGCGGCTCCCCTCTAAATCTTGTGATTCGAATTGTCGAAAAAATGGCATGTTTATTCAGAGAAAGTACGTTTTAGTGTCTGGTTTTTAAAACTTAAAATATCGCCCGTGCACTTGTTAATTAGCATATTTGAAGTCATTCCCTTGAATCATTAAGAATTAATCCTAGAACTTGAAGATCTGATCATTAGATTGAAAGTTATCAGGGTGGTCCGTTTATTATTTTTTTTTTTTGCGCACTGAACGTTTAAAAATTTATAATTCAAATCTGTCATTTTTTTTGCTTTATGTCTAATTTGTTCCGTTGTGATGCAAAGAGGATTTTTTTGTATGCGCTTGAAGCATTACAATTAAAAAGAGATAATTTTATTGTTATAGTTAATTTTTATTTATTTATTAATCTATCTTTATTTAAATACAATATAATCTTTTCGCAGTATTTGCCAAAAGGGTTGAAGACTTCAAACAATGCTCTTATTTCGTATTGCATGAAGAAAGAAAGTGAATATAAATATTTTAGGAACGGCACCAGTAAGAGATTCACTAGTACGGCATTTCTGTTCATAGATAAGCCTCTGCCAATGAACCTAGTTCCTGGCGCAGTGAAGGACCTGGAATGTTAAATTTCGCTAAAAACAACGACGTAATCATTTTATTTATTCATAATATTTATCTTACACCATCAATTATTCTTACTTAACGATATTTCCAAGAAAAATAACTTCACCACAATACATTAACTCACACCATTTTCAGTCCCGCAGTGGACTGATCGTTAAGACACGGTTCCCAGCAGATCACCGAAGTCAAGCATCACTGGCTGCGGTCAGTGTGCGGGTGGGTGACCACTTGGATCAGTCTGCGTAGGGACCGAGGGTGTGCGGTATTGGTCCTCGTTAAACTGTGCTACCGTAAAGTGCTCGACTTCGCGCGCAGGTCGTCGGGCTACCGAAGCGGGGGTGCCATCCCCTCCGCAGAGGATCAAAATTGTGATGGCATGTCTTCGGATCATCCTCCGGGATGTTTCCCAGACCGTCGCCAATAGCCCATTGTGCAGCTCTAGTGCGACGTAAATTAACAACAACAACACACCATTTTCATGTTTTTTATATGAATTGTAACTAAAATTCAACCTTCGTTTCCATCTTCAAAAAAAGTAAATACAACCTTTGAATCTATACAATAACTTGTGACGTCAGACATAGAATGTTTGCAAAGGCTGTTAATTTTTCAACAACCGTTATGACTTCTATTGATTTTATGATGACAGCCAAACATTTCCGTATCTCCTTTGTTAGTGAAGAATCCCATCATATGTTTATAAGAATCCGCAGATAATGAGAAACGGTAATAGACCGTTACCTTTTTATGTTATGATGGTGAGTATCATCATCTATCCTAAAAAAAAAAACCCCTACCGGAAGTCTTGAGGTCCTTTTCTGACGTCATAGCCTTTATGTGACTATTTCTTTTTTTTGACGTTCGGGTTTGTATGTATATACTTGGAATACTCAGTTGTTCTAAATTTAATTTTTGTGCCGTATTTTTGCGAAAAATTGTGTTCTTCACATTTTAAAATATCAGATGAAGATATGAAAAAAAAAGTACGTAGGGAAATTATCCGATATTGATATGCAGTTACCTGGTCGTTGAGATGCGGAATTACGAAATTTAGTTTAAACCAGCAAAAATTCTTTTAACTGAATCTTCTTCCGGAAGTTGAAACAACCCCCACAAATACTGCTCCTTGAAGTGGAGAACATGAAACGTGTTTGTGAATAAGCTGAATAATGAAACAATCAAAATACTTCAAAATAAACTTAAAAAAAAGGAAAGAATTTAGAATGTTAAAATAAAATTAACCAGAAAGTGTGCAATAATAATGGAAATTTTTAAGCAATAATTTACTCGCCATTATCCTACCCGTATTATAATAATATTTTATTCATTTAATTGAATAATATCGCTTTAAAATGCTTTTATAAATCTTATTTTATGTTCTGTTTCTTTGGAATATGTCATGCTTATATATTCAATTTAACTATCGTTTGCAAGCTTTGATAGGAAATTTTCTGATTATTTGCGTAAGTTGTTTTCGAAACCAATTTTTTCATCTCTCTTTTTTTTCCGATTTGATGAAAACGTTTTGAATTTTTCATGAGAGCATTTTTCCTGTGTGCATATAATGAAACAAAATGGTTGATTCTCTAGTTGAATAGTTTTTTCATCAACTTGTTTGTTAAAGCTTTGCAACATCCGTATTCAGTGGAATTTGCATATCTCCCTTTTGAAGCAAATTCGGATGTAGACTCGCAGCGAAGATAAAAGAGAAAACGATTGCTTTATATCCTTTAAGTAAGCAAATACATAAAGAAATATTTTATCGAGAAAAAGATTGAATAATATATTATCTGCACAAAAGTAAAGTAATATTTTGCGAGCAAATTTTATATCACTAATTTTCTTTTAGTTATAGAAAATTTCGGAAATAGCGTTTAAATATTTTATTGGAAAATATAACATGTTTTTAGAAAATATAAGAATAATTTCTCTCTTAATAGTATTTTAAGGAATTTTTGTATATCTTTTGCTATTATGTAACTTTGTTAAGATTTAAACTAATTTACCTTTCGGTAATAGGGGAGAGGGGGTTGGTGTGTACGTGTGGATAAAGTTGAAATCTTGAATAACTTTTTTATTTATTCGTCAAATCTCCTCAGTGGATATCGTGAATTGGCAACACTGTTCAACAAAGTATATTCAGGGTGATCCGTTTTTATTTGAGCCACTGTATATTGCGGCAAAAATAAAAATAAAAACACCCTGAATAACTGATCTAATGATCGGATCTTCATGCTTCATGCTCAATCTTATTGGCTGGAGGGGGGTGACCTCAAATATGCTAATTAACAAGTATAGAAAATAAAGTTATGAAATCAAACTCAAAATAGTACTTTCTCTGAAAAAAAACATGCACTTCTTTCAACAGATTCGGATTTCTGACTCCCAAAATATAGGGGGTAGCCGCAATCTGGGAAATACGGTCCCAGTAATTTGGTCCCCCTGATGTCAATTTTACCTTTTTGAGTAT